AGCGCCGGCATTGCCTGCTGGACAGGCTCGGACAGATCGGCGTCAGGCACCCGCACGGCGGCGCTCCGCCAGGCTGCACGGAGGAGGAGCTGCAGGAGTGGACGGAGCACAGTCGGGGCATTGACCTTAGGAACCCTAAATAAGGAACGAGGCCCCCTTTCTCCCAGAAATTAAACTTCGGTTTCCCAAGGAAGCCCTAAGGAAGACCTGAGGCAAACTGTTAAATAATCGAAGAGCACCGAGCCCCTCCCCAACGAATAGGGTTCCTTCGTCAGCGCCGCGACTGTACCTGGAAGCTCAACTGACGCGAGTCGAGGTTGAGCGACCGTTGGTGGCCGCGCTATATCTCTTGAATGTGGCTGTTGCCGTCGGAGGTCTGCTCCGCTTTGGACTGGCCTGCTTACTCTTGAGTGTGGCCGAGACCGCTGGAGGTCTGCTCCCCGCATTTGGTCGACATTGCTTCGTGAATGTGGCCGGGAAAGCTGGAGGTCTGCTCCACCAATCGCAGTTTGGGCTGGTCTTTCTCTGGAATGTGGGCTGAGACCGATGGAGGTCTGCTCCACACCTACTTCAGCACCTGGTTGAGGCCGCTGGAGGTCTGCTCCGCCTTGTGTCGTTGGTTGGTGGTATTCTCGTATTCTTACTTGAGGCTGTGAGTGATGAGACCTGCTCTACGCAGGCGAGTGAGTTGATGAGCAACTATCGCTTCTGAATGTGGCTGAGACCGACGCTGGTCTGCTCCACCCTTGCTTTCTTGTGTGGCTTCGCCATTCCGCCGTGCCACACCTGTGCCATGGGCCTGCACGTTCCTGGATTGCAGCTCGGCGTCGGCGCTCCCGGTCGAACGCGCGCAATGCGGTGCCCTGTCCCTTCTGGCACCTGCACGTGCGCGGAATGCACAGCGGCACACCTCCGCAATCGAGCGGGCAGAAGGCTCTGGTAGTGAAATCCGATCTCCCCCTCCCCCTGAGCCCCAGATCTGATTTAAACAAAAAAGCATCATCATCGTCATCACCATCCCCATCACCATCATCACCATCATCAACATCATCATCAACATCAACACCATCACCATCCCCATCACCATCACCATCATCATCACCATCATCAACATCATCATCAACATCAACACCATCACCATCCCCATCACCATCACCATCATCATCATCATCATCATCATCATCATCACCATCATAAGCATTGGCATCATGATCATCATGATCATCATCACCATCATCATCATCATCACCATCGTTATCGTCATCGGCATCGCCATTATCGGCAGCATCACTATCACCATCACCATCAACATCATCAAAATCAGCATTAGTATCATACGCATCCTGATTATAATGCTCGTCCTGATCCTCATCGTGACCGTCATCGCCATCATCACCATCATCACCATCATCACCATCACCATCACCAATCATCATCAGCAGCATCAGCATCAGTATCATCATTAGTATTATCATCATCATCATCGTTATCATCATCATAATCATCATCATCATCATCATCATCATCATCATCATCATCATCATCATTATCGTCATCAACATCGTCACCATCATCAAAAACATCATCGTCACCATCATGCTCAGCATCACCATCACCATCCCCATCATCTCCATCATCAGCAGCAGCACCAACATCACCAACATCCGGATCATCATCAGCATCAGCATCATCACCAGCATCGTCATCATCATCATCATCAGCATCAGCATCAGCATCAGCATCAGCATCAGCATCAGCATCAGCATCACCATCATCATCATCATCATCATCATCATCATCATCATCATCATCATCCGAATCAGCATCATCATCATCCGAATCACCCGAACCATCTGCACCACCATCAAAGCCATCAGTCGACAAATCGTCATGGTGGCCAGCATCATTATCAGGGCGGCTGCGCACCTCGGTGAGCATCTTGGACGTGCCGGGGGCTCGGACGGGCCGTCGGGAGTGAAGTATTTTGGCCTCCGGGGAGCCTCTTCGAAGCCCCTTGGGAGCGTCTTGGGAGCCACTATAACAAGGGATACGTCGACCCCTATCCCAGGCTTCGTGGGGTTTCCGAATGGACCATAAATTTGGGGCCCAACCCTGGGATATACGATGGGGGGGTGCCCATCCTCGATAGGGGTGCGTCCGAATAGCCCCCTTGGGGAGTATCCCAGGGTTTTTCCATTCTTCTGAGCGGCCAAACTTTTTGGGCGAAACTCGGGGATTGGGGGAGAAACATCGCCTGCGACACTAGGGGCCGTCGTGGGAACAGGTGGAGTTGTCTGGTTCCGTCCTGAGGCCATCTGGGGCCGTCTTGGCGGGCTCGAGGGCTGTCTCGAAGCTACCTTCGGCATTCTCGGAACCAACTTGAAAGGCTTTGGGGGCCCCAGTCGACCGTCTTGGGCCTTCCCTGGGCTCCTGTGAGGCAGTTCCTGGACCACCCTGAGGCCTCAGAGGCCCCTGGGAAGCGACGAAAAGGCGAGATCTTGGCTTAAGGTCCCCCTTCGGTGTTTCGAAGATTGATGCCTCCTGGGAGCCTCTCCGAAGCTTCTTAGAGGCCACCAGGGGCCGTCTTGGGGTCATCTTGAGCTGTCTTGGGCCGTCTGGAGGCCATTTGGGGCCGCCTTTCTTGGGATTCTCGATGGCCCTTTGTGGACCATCCTGAGGCCTCAGAGGCCCCGCGGAAGCGAACAGGCGAGATCTCCACTGACGATGGCTTCCCTCAGGTATTTCAAGGACTTTGGTCTTCAGGGGGCCTCATGGGAGCCTCTTGGGAGCCTCTTGGGGCCGCTATGTCGTTGAGTCAGCATGCGGTCTTTAATCACAACTGCAAAACTCAGATGGCACTCATCACCATCGACAGTTCTGCGTGTTGCAGGAGGCGGATTGAAGCATCAGTGATGCGCAATGGGTTTAATATGGTCCTCCTCCTCGTCCTGCTCATACTCCCTCTCCTCCATCCTGCCCTTACACGATCTATTCAACCTCCTGCTTCCCCAATTATCCTTCTCCTCCTCCTCCTTCCCATCCTCCTCAGTGACCTCCTCCGCGTCTCCCTTCCCCCCTCTATTCCTCCCACATGCCCTTTGGCTTTACAGCTGTCTACGCTAGCAGTGAGCACGTAGGCGTAGCGTAAACTTAAAAAAACGCCGTCCGCATCACCGCTGGAAAAAACACACATTAGTACTCGAGTCCACCAGCCCTCATGCGGGGCAGCCCTCGTGAAGAACCCACTTCGGGGATGGACGGACCCCCCTTTCGTAAAACGTGGTTCAGCGAAAACGACCCGAGGCCCAAGCCTGGCGGGCGCAGGCCTGGAAAATGACGGCCACGGCACCATCTCGAGAACCGAGCACGGACAATCCACTGATCGACGTGTCACTCTTGGGGGTTCTGTCCACCCACGACCACTTGCGATGCGATGCGATGCGATGCGACCACCGTTGCGGACAGCGTCCGGGCCTAGGGCAGACCAGGTGGGTGAGGCCGTGGCCTCTAGGATCTGAGGTGTCTGGGTTCATGCGATGCGAGACATGTAGAAAGTTAGGAGTCCACCCCCGACCACGTCTGCCACATGGAGTCCTGGAAGCTCCCCGACGTCACACCTGGCGAGCCTCTGTGGCCTTCAGAGACGAAGGGGCCCCAGGACACACACACACATAAATACACACAAGTAAAACTATTCCCCATATGTTCCCATCTTTGAGGGTTTTTTGTTGTCCCCCCCACTTCCCATATTTCGACATATTTTCGGGGGAATCGACGATCCATTGTGTCTGTGTGGGTGTTTGCCCCTCCTGAAGATAGTCACCCGGATTTTTCTTGGGCGGCATATGGCCAGCGGAACACCTGCGAGACCAGCTCGGAGGCCTGCGCCAGCAGTGCGCACACATGGGGGCGACGTGCCCGACCAAGCCCGACTGCCAGACATAGGGGGCCACATGCGAACCCTACAGTGGGGGCGTTGACCTAAGGAACGCTAAATAAGGAACGAGGCCCCTTTTTCCCATCAGTTAAAATTCGATTCCCCATCGAAAACCTAAGGAAAGCCTAAGGCAAGCTGTGAAACAATCAAGGAACACGGAGCCCCTCCCGAACGAAAAGGGTTCCTTCTTCAGCGCCCCGACTGTACCCCTACCCCCCGCGATTTCTGAAGGGGAGGGTGGGGTTCGCTTCGCTCGGGAGCTCCCGAGCGAAGTGAACCCCACCCTCCCCCTCCGAAATCGTGGGGGGTAGGGGTAGGGTTCGCGTGTGGCCCCCTACAGACAACCACACCGCCAGAAATTTCGGGCGCCGGCGGATGCGGCAGCGCGCGGAGCGTGCCGGGCGGCGCTGGTTGCGCCGCTCACAGGGTGTGTGGGGGGGGCGACGGCCTGCTGCCGGCGCAAAAGGCCGCGCCCACGGACAGCCAGAAGCTCGCAGTTCTGCGAGGAGTCGGCTCTCTGATCGCAGCTGTGGTCACAGCATGTCGGTGTTTTCGGGGGCGCGCAAACATGGACTAGCGACCCATGGATTTGGCGCGCGGTCGCCAAATCCATGGGTCGGGGGAGGTGCCCTCCCCAGAATGCGGCCGGTGCCGCCTCGTTCGGCGGCGGAGATCCGCGATCTCCCATGGAAACGGGACCCGTCGTTCATCCACGCCCCCTTGATCCATGTTTGCGATCGCCTGGTGTTTCCGAGGCCAGCACTTATCCATCACCACCCCGTCGGGAATCGCTCCCCCAGGGCCCCAGGGGGCAGAGGGTGTCTCCCCAAGTTGGTGGTGCTGACGGGTACTCTCCGATCCCGCAGCCCTGGGGCCGCTCAAGCCCTTCGCAGGGACGGGCTTGCCATCCCGAGCATGTTCTCGACGGCCCCAGGGGGGGGCCGGAAGCGGGCCCCGGATGGCGAGCATGCAGCAGCAACTTCGCCCGAGTGTTTGGGGGCGCTGGAGGTCTTGGGCGTTGGGTGGTTTCCGGCCTCGGAGCGCCGGTCGCAGCAGCGCAGGCTCAGTTCCCCCCGAGCGAGACGTCTGGCAGCGGCGCGGTCTTCTCGGGCAGGGCCGTGCTGCTGGGCCGCGGATCCTCGGGGGGCCGCAGTGCAGCGCAAGGCAGAGGGCGGCGAAGGTCGAAGGAGGCCCTGGGGGAGAGTGGCAGCCGACGGCGGCAAAGACGACGACGACGACGACGTCTGTGGGGCATTTTTGGCTCGTTTTCGGCCTCAAGGGCTCCAGGACCTGTCTGGCGGCCCCTTGGGGCCAGAGACCACCGCGGGGGCCCCCCGAGACTTCTGGAACCCCCTGGCACCCCTAAAAAGGCAAGCGAGGTAGTTCTCGAAGCAGAGCCAGTGGGGAAAGCAAGCACCAGCATCCAGCTCGGGGCGCTCTCTTCATTCCTTTTCACTGGCTCCCCTAACACAGGGTCTCGACAGGCCAATCTAATCCACGAGTAAAGCAACATAGGTCCCTCTGGAAAACGACGTCCACGGGACCCAGGAAGCGGCCGAGAACGACATTCCCGGAGCCCCGCCCGACAGGTGACCGCGATGTCCAGGATCAGGCCGCAGAAGAGACCCCTGCAGTCTCCAGAGGTCCCTCAAGGCGCCCGGGGGTCCCTGGCAAGCCTCTGGAGGCTTCCAGAAGCTCCCCCAACAAAAACAGAAACGTCCAAACGCCTCAAGCCTTCTACTGCGCTGGCAGCGACACCGGCATCGTCTCTCGGTCGCCTCGCAGCGTCGAGCCGCGTCAGAGGGGCCCAGCTGCGGGTTCCCCCCTGCGGTCACCAAGCTTTCTGGGCTCGAGCCGGCGACGACAAGGACGAGGACGACGACAACCATCGAAGAGGCTGACCACGAGGACGACGACGACGGCGGCGGCGGTGACGACTAGGACGGCGTCCTGAAAAGTCAAGACGGATGTTGGTCACAGTGCTCGGCGTCTGGAGTCCCCTTCTGAGCCCCGAGACCGTCCAACAGCTACTCGGCCACCCCCACCTCCTCTCCCACTCTGCCTCTGTCCCTGCTCCTTCTCCTCCTCGTCCCCCTCCTTTTCATTCCCCCCTGCACGATCTGGCACTGCACTTCTTATCAATGCTGATACTGCGCTTCGTGGTCATAAGGCTCTGGCGGCCACCGCATCCTGGCGTATGGACAGTACGGACTTGTCGTTGCGATGCGATAGCAGCGGTGGCATCAACCAGGGAGCCGCCGCCGTTCGAATTCCCATATGCTCGTTCAGGGCTCTGTCCATGTCATCTAGGCGCCTGACAGCGTCAACTATGATGACGCATCGGCAGTGAAAGCAAACGCCCGTGCCAGCCAATGTCAAACGGTTGGACTGCATATGCACACGCAAAACTCGGCGAGCATGCACGTGTGCCAACCAATGCCCTCATGGATGCTCAGATAACATGTACTTGCGGCGATAATCTAAAATAACTAATGGCTCAATCCTGACTGCCATCATACATGTCGTTGCTGTCATCATCGTCCTTCCGCCAAACGTTGGAGAAACATGCAGCTCTAATGACGTCCGGTATGGCACATCTATACCATACACTACTTCAATGCGACGTGCAGTATGTAAGTGGTTGCTGGGATGCCGCTAAGGTTAAGACAACTCGCCAAGGTGGAGAAGGGAATACGATTGTCTACAAGCAGTGTCTGCACTTGAGGCAATCGCACCAAGTCCAAGCAGCAACGTGGTCGGCGCTAGACGGAGAAAACAATCCCCGAACAGTAGTCTGGTCTGAGCTTAAGTCGAGAGTTATACTCAGAGCCAAAACGCTCTCGCGTTGTTTTGCATTCTGCTTGCTGCGGAAGAGCGGGGACTGGCGGCAGTGTCGCCCAGCACACCTCCGAGGACTGGAACACAGTTGAACAGCAAACCCTGAAGCGCAAGGACTGTCAAAAGAACGATGACTGGAAAGAGGGTGAGACACACCGACTCTCTCTCTCTCTCTCTTTGTTTCCCTGCGTAAATCTTGGCTCTTGCCGCCATGCTGCGTCTTGCAGGACCGAGTCTGTCTGGAACATCACAGGAGAGGAGCGCGAGCACAAGCGCAGAAGCCGGGATAATGCATTGCTGATGATCTGAAGCGAGATCGACCCAGATCTCTGGCGATGAAACAGAAGCGTCTCCGACATTCTTCGCGAGTTTCGGCCTCCGGGGGGGGGTCTACGAGCCCCGGGACCGTCAGAGACGGTTCAATATGAAAGGCTGGTACTGGGCCAACAAAAAAAGGCACGGGTCTGGCGAATGGAAAAATCGAGTCGTCGGAGGACTGGGATGCGGGATGGGGAGTAGGGCAAAGAACCGGAACGGCATTTCCATGCCCTGGCCGCCTGCATACCTGGCGCGACTGGTGAATGAGGCTGTAGACGTCGATGCTGCGGGCCATCCCCTCCGCGCGAGAGTAAATCGCGTTGGCGGACGAGGCAGGCAAGGGCCGACTGCGAAGCAAGGCGGAAGAGTGCTGAGACTCGCATCGAGGGCGCGCACCAAGACCCCCAACGACTCGACTTTCTCGAGTCGCCAGCCCCTGGAGTTCTCGACCCCGTTCCTGGGGCCTGTGGTTCGTCCCGTGTCTTGTTTCTAACGGCTCCGTGGTCTGGAGACGGCCCCTGGACTTCTTCTTTTTCATTTAATTCAGAGTCGTGTGGTGAACCCGAGAGGGTACATGCCCGTTTGCTTCTCCCTTTTGGTTGTGCTTTAATACCAACTAACCGGGACAGCAGAGTGAAATGGCGAACAACCCCACCAGCGCGAGTGCGCGGAGATCTGGGCACGCTGGGCCACATCCCGCAAACAGAAAGAGCGCGCACGGACCCTAGGTGCTGCCGCGGAGCGCGCGTGAAGGCGTGAGACTCGATGACGGCGCGCATGCATGCTGAGGGCGTGCTGTAGACACGAATAGGTTGATGATCCATGTCCTCAGACCTCTGGCGGCTCAGAAACATATACGGCGGGGGCACTGGATAAGGAAACCTTGGGTAAGGAATCCAGGGTCTGGAAGCCAGTGGAACTCCAATTGTGGATCGGCCATGGGTACCGCCGCCGCCCTCGACAGATAAGGAATCCTCCAGGGTCTGAAGGCTCTTGGGCGCATTCCTTGACCAACGCCCCCGCCGTAATCAGCATCGGGAAGCCATGTCCAGGCTCTGGACGACTCGGGAAACAAAAAAGCCCCCGGGAGGAGGTCGAGAGGTCAAGGGGCTGGCCGCTGGAGAATCACACATCGAAGGGCCCACCAGCTTGCAGCTGAGCATAGCGCAGGTGGTGGCTCTCTCCTGTGCACGCCAGGGGAGGGATCGCCGAATTTGGCGTTCCCCATACAGCGCGATCCGCATGAGGGGCGTGCCAGATTCGGCAGCGGGGTGCTCCGCGGCATCCCCCCTCCAGGGCTGGAGACTGATCTCCATGGGAGCACGATCCGCGCGAGGGGCGCGCCGCAGTGGACGCCAAGCGCTGCTTGTGTGCCTTCCCCGCTGAGGCCACGGGTGGAGTTCCCCGTGGGGCACGAGCTGCGCGATGGGTGAGCCGACACGAGCAGGGCGACGCCGTGCGAGCTCCCCACCCCGCTGAGGCCACGGGGGGAGCTCCCCAGGGGGCACGATCCGCGTGAGGGGCGTGTCGCGGGGGAGCGCTGTGCGAGTTCCCTCTCTTGGGCCAGAGGTGGAGTGCCCCAGAGGGGGCACGATCCCCACGAGTGGTGCGTCGAGGTGGGCGGCTGACACTATGCGAGTTTTCCTGCTGGAGCCACAGGTGGAGCTCCGAATGGGGCGCGAACCACGCGCGGGGTGTACCGAAATGGACGGGAGAACGCTATGCGAGTTCCCCCCTGAGGCCATCGGCGGGGCCCGTATGCGAGTTCCCCTGCTGAGGGTTATGTGATGTCCTGGGCCCCGTGCGCGGCGCGAAAAGGACCAGATTCGCCCCGTCGGTACACCGCGGAGGGGGATCCTCTCTTGGGACAGGAAAATCCGTTCGCGACGGAGGTCGATGTAAGGCTGTCCGCAATGATGTCGCCCAAACCCTGCGCTGATGAAGAAACTCAGTGTATGGTGCACGACATGCGTTATAGGCGTGCCGCAATGAGCAGGGGACACGATGCGAGTTCCCGCGCTGCGGCCATATCAGGAGCTCCTTACAAGGCACGGTCCGCGCGAGGAGTGTCAACATGGGCGGGGGAAAAAGGCGTGGGGAGGGCAATATGCGAGTTCCCCCCCATCAAGGTGTGGAAACCCTGGGGTACGACCCGCGTGAGGATGTGCCGAAGTAGGCGGGTGGACGCCATGCGAACATGCCTACTGGGGCCATCACGGGAACTGCCTACCGGGCACGATCCGAATTCGCCGGCCCAACGGGCCAGGGCGTGCTAAGATCTCCGGTAACTGGTTAACAGTATTAACAGTATTTCTAGTTCGCGCGCGCGGGGCGGCCCCTGGGGGTCCCCCGGCGAAAAGTACCCCGACCAACGCCCGGTCGCCGCCCGGTCGCCGCCCGGTCGCCGCCCGACCGCCGCCCGACCAAGTCTACTCAGAGATGGTTTTCCTTCTGGGTGCGGCCTCTCAGGCTCCCCAGAGCGCGCTCAGAGTGCCCCAAGAGGCCCCCAAGACTGCCCAAGAGGCCCCCGAGACGCCCAAAGAGCGCTCGAAGACGCCGAAGATGACCCCAAGACGGCCCAAAAGGCCCCCAAGACAGCCCAAGAGGCCTCCAAGACGCCCCAAGAGCCTTCCAAGAGGCCTCCGAAGAGAGCCCCAAGAGGCCAAAATCGTTGATTGTCATTGGTTTTTTCGATGTTTTTTGTGTTCTGGCTTTTTCGGCTTCCGGACGCTCCAAGACGGCCCAAGAGGCCCCCAAGACCGCTCCAAGACGGCCCACGAAGCTCCCAAGACGGCGCCGAAACGACCCAAGAGAGCCCTCAAGACGGCCCAAGTGCCGCCCAAGACGGACCAAGAGGCCCCAAGACGGGCCCAAGAGGGACTCAGGAGGGATACCGAGAACTCAAAAATGGAGCCCTCCGTCCCAGAAGGCGCCCAGGAGGTCCCAAAGAGGCCCCAAGAGGCCTCCAAGAGGCCCCAAGATGTCGCCAAGAGGCCCCAGGAGACTCCCAGGAGGCCCAAAAGAAGCCCCAGAAGGCTTCAAACATGTCTCCCAGGCGCCCCCGAACGGCCTCTCAACAGACCCCAAGAGGCCCCCCAAAGAAGCATCTTGACGACGACTCTATTTCGCCCCATCGAGAGACGACCCCCAGGGAACTGCTTCACCATCAAAACTCCCCACGCAACGCGTCCGAACGACACCCGCCCCCAAGAGCGCAACATGGGCAACGAACACACAGACAAAAACCAGCGATGCCATATCACGGGCCGGCGGAATGAGCGAAGCGATTCAATAAGTAGTGCGCCGACATGGGTGGGGGAACGCTATGCGAGAACCACTGGGGCCATACGTGGAGCTCCCTATGGGGCACGGTCCGCGTGAAGAACGTGCAGACTTGGAGTCCAAGACTTGGAGCACAGACGGAAGAGGATGAGAGAGAGGAAGAGGAGGAAGAGGACGAGGAGGAGGACGACGGCGAGAAGATGAGGAGATCCGTAGCCATTTTGGCTCAAGCCATCGATTATGAAAGACTCGGCCCCCGCATTTCTGGAATTATGTTGACTGGTACTGTACGGTCATTTCGAGCATTGAATCGCATTGCTTCCGCACTCATTGGGGGCGCAATTTGCGGAGGAGCCTCGCGTCGAGTCTCAGCTGTGGTCGCACCAGCTGTCATCCGCACGACGGCGACCTTAGGCAACGGCGTGTGGCATCACGTGGCTGCTCCAGCAGTGCTTGCGGATGACGCCACAATTGTGACCACCTCCATGGCCCAGTGGATCGCTGGCACCATGCTGGACACGACCTTCGACAACCTGGGAAAGTCGGGCCGGGCGAAAGGGGGGGATAGCAAAGGGGGGGGTTTGAGAATCAGCTCACGTAGCTGATTTCCCCGGCGCCTCCCGGCGCCGGAGGCGGCTATGTATCGAGGAATGGGCCCCTCGGCGAGGCCGAAACCAGCTGCATGCAGCAAATTTCGTACCCCCCCCCTGTCCCAATCGCCCCCTTCCGTTCGGCCCGACAAAGGCGTGCGAGGCCCTTCGCGAACTGGTGCCGAGCAACCTCGCCAAGAGAGTCCGACGGGTGCCTCGAGCCGCCGCGCCTGCCCGGCAGCCGTCCGAGGAGGCCTCGGGGCGAGGCGCCCGCCTCGTCCCCCCCCGCCGCGGAGGTCGCAGACCCGGCCAGCACAGGCAGGCGCTCTGGCGCAGCTCTCGCCCCGCCCCGGCGGGACGGGTGGCACTCGGAGCTCAGCGCTCCTCCGCTGCCACAGGATTCGAGTACTGGGGGCAGGGCCCAGTGATGGAGGGTCGCGTGGAGCCGCGGGGGAGGGGGGGCCGTGCCGCCCCTCGAGGCCGGGGCGCCCCCGGGGCACATGTCGGCGGCGAGCGAGGGGGGAAGTGAGGAGGAGAAGGCCTTCTCAGAAGGTGCGGAGGCCCCCCCGGCCTCCTGAGGAGCTTTCCGAGCCTCCCCCGAGGACGCAGCAACAAACTTTCTCAGAAGGCGCGAGGGCTTCTGAGAAGTCCCGCCGCCTCCCGCCTTCTGAGAGGGCCTTTTCCTTCTCGTGCTCCCCCCCTCGCTGACCGCCGAACGTGGGGCCGGGCGCCGCAGATTTGGCGGCGCGCACAAGGGGGTGCGGGGAGGGGGGAGGGCTTCTTAGAAGCAGGGGTGCTTCTAAGAAGCCTTCCCCCCTCCCCCTACCCCCCTCTGCGCGTGGCCGACAGATGCAGCCCCGAGGCACAGGGGCGCCTCCCCTGCGCGGCAGCGCAAGGCTCCTCCGAGAAGGCGCGCCGGCCACAGCAGTGAGGTCGGCTCCCCAGCGGCGCTCGGGCGCGCGGCACCGCCGCGGAGGCCGCTCGGCCCTGGGGAGAGGCCGCGAGGGAGGAGGGGCGAGGGGCCCAAGGCCTCCTCCTCCTCCTCCTCCTCCTCCTCCTCCTCCTCCTCCTCCTCCTCCCCCTCCTCTTCCCTCCTCCTTGCTCCTCCTCTTCCCTCCTCCTTGCTCCTCCTCCTCCCTCCTCCTTTCTCCTCCTCCTCCTCCTCCTCCTCCTCCTCCTTGCTCCTCCTCCTCCTCCTCCTCCAACGCCGAGAGCCAGGAGGAGGAGCGGCAGCGGGAGGAGCGGGCGGCTCCCGCGGGGCGGCGCCCTCTTGAGGGGCCTGGTTTTTCCACCATGAGCTGGAGGGGGGGAAGGAGGAGGAGGAGGAGGAGGAGGAGGAGGAGGAGGAGGAGAAGGAGGAGGAGGAGGAGGAAGAAGACGAGGGGGAGGAGGACCCCCTCCCCCTCCAACTCACGGTGGTGGTGGTGGTGGTGGTGGGAAACAGGCCCATCACCTGTCGTTCGTCGCCGCCGTCCTGCCGCTGGCGGGCAGTGGCGCCCCACACGAGGCGGACTTCACCAGCCCCGACACGCTGGCCGTCGAGGGCTGCGCTGCCTCCAGGCGGCCATCGACGGGGCGACCCTCCACGAACTCGGCATGGCCTTCGCCGAGGCGTCAAACGAGCTCTATGATTTCGCCTCGCAGCGCAGCCCCGGGCACTACACCGACGGGGAGAATCTCTGCGCCGACCACTTGACAGAGTGGGACTCCGACGGGCGCTCCCTGCAGCGGGCGCGGGGGCGTATATTGCCTCTCTTCCCTGCTCCTGGTACCCCCTGGCAGCGAGCGATGGCGCTTCGAGGATCAGGGTGTGTCGTGCAATGTGCGTTGGTGCGCTTTGGGGGCCCCACCTCCAGGGCTGTCAGGTTCAGCTGTTGAGGGACAACAACACGCAGGCGCAGCACGGACGGCGTGCTACACGACTTTCCTTTTTCGGCACGCCTGCTGCTTGGCCCCACTGATTGAGTGGCGCAGCATGTCACGATCTGCGAAGTGGAGGCACGGAGGTGTGGGGGTGGAGGAAGCAGCCGAGCATTCCCACCCCAGACAGGGCCGCAGGCTGCGACCGCCCTTCGCTGGGAGCCGCCTGAGGCTGTCAAGGGGCTTCGGTCGGAAACGCCTATCTGCATCCGCACTTCTTCCCTCCTTCCCCAAATTGTTCCTTCTTCTCCCATGGGGCTTCCGTAGCGCCCCCTACATTGCTTGAGCATCGTGCACCGAGGACCGAGTAGATGAGGAAGTGAGGCGCGCGCCGATGCGTAGGCCAAACAACACAGGTAGGTTGATCGAGTACAGTGCGCGCGGCGTTGCTGAGAAGCAACGGATATCCAATACCACGAGACAATTGGGATACGCCGAGCCGTGTGAAGCCTGGGTCTGATACGACTCATGGGCCCCGCTCTCAAACATTCAACTGCGTACCTTGCTTTCTCCCGTGCAATGTGACAACAACACCAACAACATGTCGGTAGCACTCGGTAGAGCGTTTCATATGCCAGATGCCCACTCCATGTCAGGCTGACTCGGCTTATGGCTTTCAGCAAACGAGGGGTCCAGCCCAAGCATGGACATGGCGCTCTGGCGCAGGGATCAATAGAGGCACGCGGGTGACACCGATTATTTCAAATACTGACGCCCTGCTGATACAATAAACCGACGAGCAGCAATGCGACTGAAAGCAAGATATCTATAAGACCAACCTTCGGGTGATAAGGACGTGGTGATGAGGACGTTTGTCTTTTGGGAGGATGGGTGCAGCTTTCGGTATGTGTCTGGCTTCGGGGGAGATTCGGTGAATACATATGTATGGCTTACACATGCATATATACATACACACATACATACATACATACATACATACATACATACATGCATGCATGCATGCATGCATGCATGCATGCATGCATGCATGCATACATACATACATACATACATACATACATACATACATACATACATACATATAAGTCGACAGACACCTACATACACAAATGTGTATACAGTCCATATTAGATAGACACATCTACTGCGACCGACCTCGATACCTACATATGATAGCGCGAAGCGGAAGATGTCAGGCACCGAAACAGGCAAACCGCTTGAGACATCCCCACCATTGAAGCCTCGAGAGCCCCAAACGGCCGAACAAGGCCTCAGCATGCATCTAAGATGGCCCATGAGGACCCCATTACGCCCCCGAAGGAGCAAATCACAGCGAGTAACACTACCAGGTTCGATGCTTCTTGTCTGTCGCACGTTGCTCCTAAGATGTTCCTCGTTTCCAGACGGCCCCCATGGCCCCTGAGCTTGTCCAAGACGGCCTCAATCCAGCCTAGAGGCCGCGAAGTGGAAGGCCCCCACATGGGCTCAAGATGCCCCCACGATGAGCCACAGAGATCCCAAGACAGCCACAGTTTTGCTCATGCTGGCCCCAGGGTGGGCCCAGAGATCCCCAACTTAGGAGGTCATATGCGAACCCTACCCCCACCACCCCACGACTTCGAAGGGGGGAGGTGGGGTTCACTCCGTAGGTGGTGTGGGGTAGGGTGGGGTAGGCTTCGGTCGGACCTCCCGAGCGACGCAGAGCCCCGCCTCCCCCCCTTAGAAACCGTGGGGTGGTGGGGGTAGGACCTCGCATGCCCCAGGACGAGCAAGACTCTCCAGAAAGCCAAAAGGAGGAGGAGGAGGAGGAGGAGGAGGAGGAGGAGGAGGAGGGGAACGATGAGGAGGAGGAGGAGGAGGAGGAGGAGGAGGAGGAGGAGGAGGAGGACAGCCCCGATCCCCGAGCCTCTGATTCCCCCCCGGGAAAGGTCCAAAGAGGGCCGCAGGGTGCCCCGGAACTGCGCCAGTGTGGGCGCGCGGCGGCGCAGCCAGGGGCGGTCCGGCGGCCGAGGGCCAGAACCCGTCCCAATGACAGCCCCCCTTGTGCGCTGGTTTTAGGTCGGGCATGTCCCTCCTCCTCCTCCTCCTCCTCCTCCTCCTCCCTCCTCCTTTCCTCCTCCTCCTCCTCCTCCTCTCTCCTCCTCCTCCTCCTCCTCCTCCTCCTCCTCCTCCTCCTCCTCCTCCTCCTCCTACTCACACGACTTTCCCGGCGGCGCGCGGCTGGTTCCGCGGCGCTCGCGATCAAAAAAGTGCTCGGTCCAGGCGGACTTCTTCGTTTAATAATAATAATACAGCATCACCATCAATCCTTCAAAGTGGTCAAACATAGTTTTGAAACATCGGCCCCGCATAGTTGTTGTTACTATGTTTGAGTATTCGTCCTGCAGAAGGACATGCCCGATTTGACGCTAGTTCGGCGGACACTGCCTTTGGGCCATCACGCAGGGCCTGTCTGGGGAAGAGATGACCGAAGGGCTATTGAGGAGAACCCTTATCGTGTCGGGAGGAAGGGGTTGGGAGGATGAAGGTTATGAGCAACAACATCCGGATGCAATGAACGATACCTTCGGCCGCCTACGGGTAGGCATATCCTCATTTCTGCCAGCCCTATCCTCCCAACCCGATAGTTGTCTTCTGGAGCTATGCACATCTGGAAGAGCGTTACACTATTGGAAACAACATGCAAATTCGAGCAACATGTCGAACAACAACATAACACAAAACATATCACGGCTTGTCCCCTCGGCCGCCAATGCAGTCCCCGACACCCCACGTCTTTTTTGTGACGTGGGGCACAAGGCCTCTCCACCTCTTCCCCGGTACTCGGACTTTCATCCTGCCCAACGCCTCTCGACCTCTTTCCCTGGTGATCGGTCTTTCATCACGAGGTGTTTTTTTGGATTGTCGATCAGCCAGGAAAACACACATCCTTTCGCCAACCACGTAGAGACGTCTCGAGCGCGACGTGCTCCCGTCGCCAGAAGCCTGGGTTCTAGGACTCTTGCTGGACAAGCCCGGTACGAGATCACGACTGCAGAACGCCCTAAAACTGGGGCAGAGCCCGCCTTGAGGCGCAGGCAGCCGGCCAGGAACTCGTCGACGTCGAGCTCCCCATCTCTGTTCTCATCGAGGAGCTCGAACCTCGGCCCGCGCGAGGAGGGCCTGGTTTCGAGGTTTTGGGGTGTTTTCTATATCATCTGTTGGCCGAGGACGGCGAACAACCTGGGGCCTCAGAGCCTCAGAGCCCCTCTCCCTACACGACCCAACGACGTCGCCATTTTTGTAACGACGAGGAGCCACGAAGCCTCGCCCTTCCCGAGGACGTGCTTCCCATCACGAGGCGTGGCTGGACGGCCCCAGGAGACCGAAAACTGACGCCAACCCTTCCGTCGCGACTATCTCGCGACGCGAGGCCAGGGTGGACTCTTCATGTACAGTCATCGGCCTGACCGAAGGAACGATAAATAGGAACGAAGCCCCTTACTTCCAAGGAACAACGCATAGGGAACGATACATAAAGAATGCGAACCTAAGGAACGACCGAGCCCCTTTTGACTAGTAAGTGTTCCTTATTCAGGCCGCTCACTGTACAGTAGATGGGGTCCGAGTAGATGTGGTCGGGGGATCTCGCCGCATCGCCGACACCTCGGCGATGCATCGCCGATGCATCGAGGATGCGCCAGCCATGCCCTGGCGACGTCGGCGATGCATCCACGACGTCGGCGTGGAGAAAGTTGGGCCCCACGTCGAGCCGCACCGCCGATGCATCGGCGATGCGGGGAGATTCTCCGACCCCATGTTTAACAGCCTCGAACGTATCCCTATCCCTAAGATTGACACGCCAAAAGGCGATGACAATCTTAGGGATTCGCCCTCAAAAATTAAAGGAATCCCTAAGATTGGCATCGTGATGAGGAGGTGCCCAGCATAGGGATAGGGATATGTTCCAGGCTGGTAACATGTCTACTCCGACCCCATCTGGGAGGCCAAGATCATGGCGACCAGGGATCCCAGGAGGACGCGCTGGCTGCGCGCCGCCTCGGCGACGCACAGCACTGTCGGAGGGCCGAGACCCCCGCGCCGCCGGACCCGACGGGCGGGAGCCGCGGCCTGCTCGCACCTTGGGCCTCCGTCCGCGCTGCACCTCGCGCCCGGCAGCCGCTCCGTAGCGACCCGGGCCTCCTAGATTCGGGTGTTGCTAGAAGTGCCCCTGGCCCAAGGTGCCCCAAGGACTTCGAAGGAGGCCCCCACGGCCTCCAGAGCAGCCCTCACGAGGCTCAGAGGGCTCCAGGGGCTCCAGGATCGAGCGAAAAGCTGGGGGTACCTTGGGCCAGGGGCACTTCTAGCAACACCCGATAGATGGGGTCCGAGTAGATGGGGTCGGAGGATCGCGCCGCATCGCCGATGCATCGGCGGTGCATCGGCCATGCATCGCCGGCGTGGGCGACGCACGGGCAGCGTCGGCGTCGAGAAAAACCGGGCTCCGCATCGAGCCGCATGCGCCGAGGCATCGGCGGTGCGGGGAGATCCTCCGACCCCATCCACTCCTCCTCCTCCTCCTCCTCCTCCTGCTCCGACCCCATCTAGGAGTGAAACAAAACCCACGGCGCCAGGCGTTGGCCCGCTCCCGGCCTCCTGGGGGTCCTTACGTGCCGGGGCCCTGGGTCAGGATGGGATGAGCTGGCCCCTGTCCAGGGGCCGGGACTTTATATGCGGACCCCGTGCTGCCTCAAAGAGGCAGGGCATCGCACCTCTGGGGCTCGCGGCCCGCGGCCGCTCAGGAGCGACGGCGCCGACCTCCAACCAGAGGAAATCAAGCCGGCCAGATTGTCGCCATCTTCCACCTGCACGTCCCTGACCCCGCGGACCCCCAGCGACTCGAGAAGATCGCCGCTGAACATTTTTCGTAGTTCGCAGCGTACCCTACTAGGCTCTCGACCCTATTTCGGCGGCGAGCCTGGGGGGAAGCGAGAAGGGGCGGGCCTTCTCAGAAAGCTCGGAAGTCCCCTGGCCTTCTGAGAAGTACCCTAAGCATTCCCCGAGGACACTGAAACAAACTTCTGAAGGCGCGAGGGCTTCTGAGAAATCCCGCCGCCTTCTGAGAAGGCCTTCTCTTTCTCACTTCTCGGGAGCGGCAAAGAGGGGGGTGTCCAAGAGGGGGGGGTGCAAATCATGACCGGCGGCATGTGCGCGGCCCAGCGGGGGGGCCAGGGACGTCATGAAATAAGAAGAGGCGCCATGAAATCTAGGGAAATATCATGACCCCCGCCATGATATCCCCCCCCCCCTAGAACATTACCCCCCTCATTTCCGCCCCCGAACTTCCTCCCCTCGCTCGCCGCCGACCATTACCCGGGGCGGTATTCAGATGGACGTCTCTGGAGTGCGCTCTGGCCAGAGATGCCGAGGCACATCTGGCCGTGGCCAGGAGGGCGCCCCGGGAGGCCCCAAAAAGGCCTAGAGCATCCGGGAGCCGCTTATCCTTCTCCTGGATCCTCCTCCTCCTCCTCCTCCTCCTCCTCCTACTTCCCCTTGTCACCCACTCTTTCTCCTCCTCCTCCATCTCCTCCTCATCCTTACTCCTTCTCCCCCTCCTCACCCAGTAATTCTCCCCGTCATCTCCGCTCTCCTCCTCCTCCTCCTCCTCTTCCTCCTCCTCCCTCCTCCTCCAGCCCGTTTCCTTAGAACTTGCTTCCCGCTGTCGCATCCCGAAGCCAGTGTTTAGGGTGGTCCGGGTGTTTCGCCTGAGACTTTATCAGCATTTACGACCCTGAAGCGTCTACAAATGACAAGAACTCCGCATAGGGAGGGCGGGTCGTTTTCAGAATGCGGCTTTCGCCTTAGCGCCGCGCGCGTTCCTTTCAAACATTTGCAGCAAAGGTTTCACGGATTGAGGGCGGGAGGTTTTCAACATGTGGCTCTCGCCTTAGCGCCGCGCACATTCGTTTTAAACATTTGCAAGGATTTCACGGATTAAGGGCGAATGGTTTTCAAACTGTGGCTCTCGCCTTAGCGCCGCTCACATTCTTGTGAAACAGTTGCAAGAGGTTCACGGATTTACGGCGGTTCCTTTTCAAACTGTGGCTCCTGCCGTAGCGCCGCGCACAACAGTTTTAACACATTCCCATGATCAGCGTACCGAGCATGTTTTTTGTTGAAGGGTTCAGGACTATGAGGATGCATCAGTTACGTTGGCTCGCGGTGCTGAAGTCCCAGGAATGGTTTTCTGGCACGGTTCAATGTCGTCAAGGCGCAACAGTCAGGTTGACCCGCGGCGTTGAAATCTCGAGCATAATGTTTTGGCATGGTTCAGGATCTTCGCCGATGACTCTTGAGTTTCCACGAGTCCTCCTCCTCCTCCTCCTCCTCCTCCGCCTCCCTCTCCTCCTCCTCCTCCTCCTCCTCCTCCTCATCATCAGCAGCAGCAGCAGCAGCAGCAGTATCATCATCATCATCATCATCATCATCATCATCATCATCATCATCATCATCATCATCATCATCATCATCATCATCATCATCATCATCATCGTCCTCTGTGTTTCCTCCTTTTTCTCCTTTTCCTCCTCCTCCTCCTGCCCCTCGTCACCCACTCCCCCTCCTCCCCCTTCTTATTCCTTCTCCTCCTCCTCCTCCGCTCCTCCTCCTCCTCCTCCTCCTCCTCACCTACTCCTTCTCTCCGTTGTCGCCGTCCTTCTCCTCCTCCTCCTCCTCCCTTCTCCTCCCTCCTCCCCTCCTCTCCTCCTGCTCCTCCTCCTCCTCCTCCTCCTCCTCCTTCCTCCTCTCCTCCCTCCCTCCTCCTCCTCCCTCCTCCTCCCTCCTCTCCTCCTCCCCCTCCTCCTCCTCCTCCTCCTCCTCCTCCTCCTCCTCCTCCTCCTCCTCCTCCTCCTCCTCCTCGGCTCGCCGATTCTTCGAAGGCCACGCAGGATGGCGTGGCAGGGCAGGCCCGCCTGAGCCCTCTTTGGTGACGAGGCCGCCGCTCCCGCTGCGGCCTCGCTGGCCCCCCCTCGGGTCGCCCAGAGGGATAGGGCCCCCGCAGCCGCTCCGTGTCGTGCACGTCCAGCCCGAGCGCCGTGAGGTAGTAGTGCACGCGATCGTCGTTGCAGAACTCGGCGATCTCGTCCTTGTTCACCGTCCTTGGGGGGGCCGAGGGTCAGCTTTTCCCGACCATCCTATGGTGCTGGGTCCTCGTTGTGAATCCGCAGCTCCCCGTTCCAGCCCCCTCCCGCGTCCCCCTCCCCCTCCACCTCCCCCTCCACCTCCTTCTTCTCCTCCTCTTCCTCCGCCTCCTCCTCCTCCTCCTCCTCCTCCTCCTCCTCCTCCTCCTCCCTCCCCTTCTCGGCACACTCCTCACACGCTTCGTGGCCCCATGAGGGGCTCCACCAAAAGGCCGCAGAAGGCATGTTCGCATGGCGTCGCCCTGCTCATGTCGGCACACCCGGGGGGAGCTCTAACGGAGGCACCAACGGAAAAGTTCGCATGGACTTGCCCAGCCCACTACGACACACCCCTCACACACTTGGTCGCCTCATGAGGAGCTCCGACAAAAGCCCCGGTGGAAGAGTCCGCACAGCGTCCCCACGCCCACTTCGGCACACTCTGCGCACATGTCGTGGCCCCGTGGCAAGACCCACCCACGGCCATTGTGGCAGGGTCTTCATGGCATCACCCCCCTCCAATTCGGCACACCCCTCAGATGCTTCGTGGTTGCGCAGGAAGCCTCAGCCACGGCCCCAGCGGGGGGGGCATGGCGTCCCCCAGCCCGTCTCGGCACGCCCCTCGCACGCTGTCGCGCCCCATGGGGAGGTGCACCGAGAGCTCCAGAGACATGGTCCGCATGTCGGCACACCCCTGACACGTCTCGGGCTCCACAGAGAGCCATAACCTGCGACCGCGGAAAGAAGGTCTGCATGGCGTCCCCCCGCCCATTCCGAGCGGAAGAGGAGGAGGAGGACGAAGAAGAGGAGGAGTCCAGTGCAGCTGCTGCATCCCTTCAAGTTTCTGGTCTCTGAGATGAAAAAGAAGTCTCAAGCGACAGCCCCACGTTGAAAAGAAGCCGCCCACAATCTCTGAACGTATTGCAAGGCTTGCAATCGAATGTGCGCGGCGCTACGGCGAGAGCCACATTTGGAAAGCAGCCCCCCATCCATCCTTGAAGCTGCTGCAAATTGTTGAAGCGAATGCGCGCGGCGCTAATGCGAGACCTCCATGTTGAAAACAACCTCCCTTCCATCCCTGAACATTTAGCAAGCTTTGGAGAGGAAGGTGCTTGGTGTTGAGGCGCGATCACCATTCTGACAAGGAACCGTCCTCCATCCTTGAAGCCGCCACAGATGTCAAAACCAATGTCCGCGGCGCTAAGGACAGAACCACATTTTCAAAACGCACCCCTCCATCCTTGAGCCTGCTGCAAGCTTTCAAGACGAATGTGCTGCGCTGAGGCGAGGGCTCCATTTTGAAAGCCCGCCCTCCATTCCCGAAACTGTTACGAATTTCAAGCTTCAGGATCATAAGCGGCGGCGGAGTCTCATGCGAAACGCCCGGCCCGCACCACAACACACGTTTGAGGGTGAGACAGGCTTGAGTTGGGATGGGGGAGGATGAAGAGGAGGATCGGCAGTCGAGGGAGGAGCATCAGGGGAGGGAGGGAGATCAGGATCAGGGGAGGTACATAGGGGAAGATCTGGCCACGCCTGGAAGCGAGGGGCGCGTGCTGAAAGACTGGACCAAGACAGAGAGGGACCAGCCGTGAGGGAGCAGAACAAAAAACATGATCGGCACGTGCGAACGCGATGGGGAAGCTCGTGTGGCAGCAGCACCCCCCAAAGTGCCCAGCGGAAGCAGCGCGCGGGACTCCCAGAGCCGTCGGCATCCATCTCCAGGAAAATGGCGCGCATCTCCTTGAGCCACTGCTCCTTGACCTCCATCTCCTCGGTGCTGGGAGGGGTCTCCCCTGCACGGTTTCCCCCGGGGCCGGAGGCGACCCGAGGAGGAGGAGGAGGAGGGAGGAGGAGGAGGAGGAGGAGGAGGAGGAGGAGGAGGGGGACGGAGGAGGAGGAGGAGGAGGAGGAGGAGGAGGAGAGGAGGAGGGAGGAGGAGGAGGAGAGGAGGGGAAGGAGGGAGGAGGGAGGGGGGAGGGAGGAGGAGGAGGGGAGGGAGGAGGGAGGAGGGGAGGAGGGAGGGAGAGGGAGGAGGGAGGAGGGGAGGAGGGAGGGGAGGGGGGGAGGGAGGAGGGAGGGAGGAGGGAGGGGGGAGGAGGGGAGGAGGAGGAGGAGGAGGAGAGGAGGAGGAGGAGGAGGAGGAGAGGAGAGGAGGAGGGAGGAGGAGGAGGAGGAGGAGGAGGAGGAGGAGGAGGAGGAGGAGGAGGAGGAGGAGGAGGAGGAGGGAGGAGGAGGAGGGAGGAGGAGGGAGGAGGACAGGCCGCCTAAGCCCTTCGGAGAAACCTTTCAGTCTCAATGGGACAAGACAGGGGCTGGGCAGACACAGGCCGGAAGGCCCATGCGCCTCTAGAACCCAGCGAAACGGAGAGGTGCTGACCCAGAGGCAGCTGGCGCAACGACCTCGCACCCTACTCGTTGATTGAGGCTCGCGTGCTTCATCAAATCTGCCATGCATGCCGTCAGCCATCATGCAGAGCAGCAACCTCAAAGAGGGTGCGTACGCAGCAGCCGCCTGGCCACTACGGCCTGGTCCAGAGCGCCTCTGCACCATCCGCGTAGAATTCGGCGCGTTCAGACACGACCAGCTACAGTCGGACCTCGGACAGGAAAACATCCGTCAAGAACATGGTACCCTCCGCGGCCCAAACTGACGAACATTCGAGGGTGCCCTCCCCAGGATGCACATGATCATCCAACAAACGCGAGGGACATTAGGGTACCCCCCCGAACCGACCTCGATCTTGTACCTCGGCCCGACTGTACGAAACAACCCTCCCACGCGACGCACCTGCGATGCAGACCAGCTCGGGCACGGCCCCTCTGCCCGCTGCCAGGGGCGGGCCTGAAGTGGTGGGCTGGCCTCTGGACCACGAATGCCAGGACCAACGGCTGCTGGCCCGGACCTCCGGCTCCTCGACTGTTCCTCACCTTGCGAGGGCCTCAACGCTCTCGGCGCCTTCCCTGGTGGACAGCTTCTCGCCCCAGACGACCCCGTGATGCCCTTCGGGTCCACTGAAGTGGCCCCCCAGACGCCACGACGTCGAGAGGTCTGAGGTCCCAGGACAGATGGCCAGCGCGAGCCCGTTCGGCGTCCGAGCCCGCTCGGCCGCCGAGCGGGCAGCCGAGCGGGCTCGCTTATCACGAGGTCGGGGCAGTGGAGCTCGCTCGGCCCGCCGGGCGGGCTCGCTCCCGAGCCCGCTCGGCGGGCCGCTCGGGCCCCAGACGCCGAACGGGCTCGGAAGGAGACTCTGGCCTCTGCGCCGCCGCCCGCGCCCAGCCCAGCGCGCGCCCAGCCCAGCGCGCGCGCGCGCGCGCGTCCGACCCCTCTCAAGCTTCCGACGTCACGACGTCTGGAATCAATGGTTTGGGTGCTTCTCTGTTTTCTGACTGCCTACCAGACCACCCCAACACAACCCGAAGACCCCAATTTCGGGTTGGGGGGGGGGTAAGGGTTCCATCCGTGTTTTTTCAGTGTTCCCCACCCCCCCCACTGGAAATGGAGGGCAAATTGAGGCCTTCGGGTTGGGTTGGGGTGGTTTGGTGGGTGGTGAGTTTTCGGCCCCCAAGCAGCCGCCACCGGGCCCACAGGACCATCCGAGCACGACCCGAGCTGGAGAGCCGGCCCCGCGCTGGGGGTCGACAGTCCGCGAGCTCTGGGGCCTACGGGCTGAGCACTCCTCCTCCTCCTCCTCCGCCTCCTCCTCCTCCTCCTCCTCCGCCTCCTCCTCCTTCTCCTCCGCCTCCTCCTCCTCGGACGTACCTGGGGGATGACTGGGTCAGCTCCATCACACTTGCGGGGCGCCTACCGCCACAGCTGGTACCTCACAGAGGAGGCAAGAGCGCGGGCACGGCATTCAGGAAGATGGTCAATTTCGGCCCTGTGAGCGTTGATGGTGTTGAAGAGGAGGGTAGCAGCGGCAGGCAGCAGGAGGCTCTCGGCCGAGGGGGAGGAGAGACCAAGTCGCTCGATGGGACATCCTGGGAGCACTCTCTTCTGGAGGACCAGCGCTAAAATGGCCAGGAACCGAGGGCAAGACCAATAGTGTGGCAAACTGTCAGAGCTGGATGATATTCCACATGGCACACAGCCTAGAACACAGAGGGCAGGCTTCTGAAAGCGAGCCTCCGTCGTCCATCCGTTGACGAGGAGTTTCAAAATCGCATTCGACTGAACTGGTGGAAGCTTCAAGAGACAGTGCTGGGTTTCGGACCAGGGCCAACCGGCGAGGGTCTCCAGGGATATCGGGAGCCAGGCATTTAATCGCTTGCAGAAAATACCGACCAATGGGTCGGGAAACCGAACTTCTAGGAGTGTCAGGGCGAGCTTTCCCTGGATCTTCGCACGGCGATTCGGGGGAGGAGGAGGGAGCGAGGTGACGGCAGAGGTGGCAGCAGCAGCGAGGAGCTCACGAGCGGGGTGGGAGGAGGTGACTAGATCTTGCCCAATGTTGGCAGGAAAGCAAGCTGAGGCGGAAGACAGGAATTCCGCGAATGATGGCTGGCACCAGAACGAGGGAGACAGAGAGCCAGCAGCACGGGTGGGGAGAGGCAGACATCGGTCCGCGGTTTCACGGAGAGAGGCAAGGACGGTTGGCCAGCTCTGGAGTGTGGTGGCGCTGGATCTCAGGAGAGTGGCCGAAGACAGTATGAGAGCGCTTGGGAACTTCGGCCCTCCCCACCTCCAGAGGTTGAAAAAACCAGCGCGAGAGATCACACAGTGTGGCGAGCGCCACAGGCGGGCAAGAAGCGCGGCCTCACCTGAGAGAATCTCCGCTGGGAGCGGCATGAACTGGGCGACGTACGTCAGGACACTGGTGACCCTTGTCGAGTAGAGCTGAGCCGTCACACGATGTGGCCCTTGTTGTTGTGCCAGGATCAAGCCACGGTCTCTCCATTTCTGGATTGGTGCGCGCCAACTATGAAGATGCACTGCGGGTCCGAGATAAAGACCAAGATATAGAAGTTCTGGAACAATCTTGAAAGAGGACCATGTCGGGATATGGTCGGCGATCCATTGTGCGTATCGGTCGTGAGTCACATCTGAGAATGAGCCGCATAACGGAACAATCTTGCACTTTGTCGGCTTGAGCACAAGGGCAGCCACACGAGCGGCAACCCGAAAGATACGGAAAAAGATCTTGAGCACCCTGATGGTCCTGATGGCAGCACCGACGTCGTCGGCGCAAGCACGAACCAGCCCGAGGGCACGACGATTGATACTCCAGTCGAAATCAAGCATGAACGGGTCCGCGGCCACTGCGAACAAGAAGCCCGAGCCAGGGCAACCTTGCACTATGCCGCTCTGGATGTAGTAGAGCAGCGCAGCGTTTCCATAGACAGAGTTGTTGATAGACGAGGAACACGCATTGGCCGACCAGCATTGGACGCAGCGGTACAGCTCGGCGAAGAACCAACATAGCGCCTCGGGCAAGCCCGCGCGACGGAGAACCAAGAAGAGCCATTGATGGGCCACACTTGGGAAGGCCTGCTGAAAATCGAAACTGACGAGCAGAGGCATGGCTACGGAGACGTCGTCCTGCTGGGAGTATTCCCTCGAGGCCCCATCGAGCTCCACAATGTTGTTCCCAAAGTTCCTGGACGGCACGAACCCCCTCTGAATTTTGCACACCACCTCTGGGAGAGCACGAGATAGCCGGCGTACGATCGTCCCCGTGATGATTTTGACGTCCGTGTTTTTGAGGCCAAGGGGGCGCAAGTTGCTGGGGGCCCGCACACAGCCTCTGAGAGTGTCCTCGGTCTCGGAGCCTTTGGGGATGAAGACGCCTATCATGTCGTTGAAACCTACCATCATAGCATTTCCACCCAGAATCCACCACGTGACCGACAGTAGGACCGATGAGGAGAAAGAGGATCGTTGATATGCGGCGTATGGGAGACCGTCGGGGCCAGGGGCTGAGTGAGACAGCCTCTGTATGTAAGACTCCATCTGGGGCTTCGTGGGCGGGGCGATGTTAGCGAAATCGATCTTGGGGCAGAATCTATTCAAATACATGTTGGCGGCAGCCTCGTCGATATTTTTGTGTTGGAAGACGGGACCCCAGTGCGTGGCAATCTCGTGGTGCATTTCCTCGGATGACGAGACAATCGGGCCATTTTGAGATCGAATTCCAGTAAGCTCCGTGCGCCGTCCGAATGGCGCCCATATCTTGGCTCGCTGTATGAGCCTCCGAAGCCGCTTCCTGAGCTTCGCACGGGCGTGAGCGGGAGCCTGCTGGGCGTCTGCAGCAGCAAGCTCGCGACGGAGAGAGGACCGGGCGGACTCGGCTTCTGCAAACTGGAGCTCGTCCAGCAGAGTAGAAAAGCGTGCAGGGTCCACGAAACGCACGCGTCCCTCCTCAGAGACCTCCAGGATTTCTCGAGCAAATGGATAGCGAAGGAGACGTTCAGCTAACCAACGATCTTGGCGCCATACAGCTCTGGATGAGGAGCGCATAACCAACAGCTTCGAAGTGGGGTTCGAGGGTTCGTCCTGGAAGAGCGCGTCCCTGGCGTACCTGGCCCCCTCCTTCAGGACGGTTTTGTACATTTCCAGGGCCAGTGGGGGTGAGAGCTCCGAGATATCAATAGCGGGCCAGGTGGCATCCACATACTTCTGGAACTGCGGGCGTTCAAACAGGCATCTGGGAATCGGCCTGTCGTCCAGGGAAGGGGGAGGTCGAGCACGCAGCGAGGCCAGGATGGGAGCGTGATCTGAGAGGCCCCGTTGTTCTAGTGATTCAGGGAGGTCCCGAACGTCCGAGGTCAGATGTAGCAGAGTAAGGATCCAGCCAGGCCAGGATATGAAGATGCGGTCGATGGCGGATGTGTGTTGGCGAGAGCCATTGTAGTGCGCATTGTCTTGCGGGTCGAGCTCGACCATCGCATTGAAAATCTGCTGCCAAGGTGAGCGGAGCAGCCGGCGGAATTCGGGCGCGGCAGGGTCTTCAGCCAGCCCACCAGGAAGGGGGTGCGCAGGCAGCGGGGCGTCACGCGGAATGTTGAAGTCGCCCGTGACCACGACCAGGTAGTGTTCCGTGTCGCGGCTCGCGATCTCGAGCTCGTGGCGGATGACGCTCAGGATGCGGCTGGTCTGGGCGGGGGTAAGCCCGAAATTGTGGATGTTGAAGTGCGAGATGAAGTGGAGGGAGCCGTTGACGGAGCCGTTGACCGAGCCGAGGCAAATCTTCGTGTGCAGGGCGCGCCCCTGCACAAGCACGGTGGAATCGACGTACTTACCATCCCCAGGGAGAGAAGAGACAAGCACGGTGGAATCGACGTACTTACCATCCCCAGGGAGAGAAGAGATCCTAGGCAGCAGGGTGACCACGCCGCCTTTGTTCAGCTCGGAGAAGAAAGAGTGGTGTGCCTCATACCCCGAGGCTGAGAAGTGTAAGAAGTCGGCTACGTCGAACTCACTGCCATGCGTCTCCTGGAGCGCAATCACTCGAAAGCCCTTGAGCATTGCGCCGAGGTAGGTGGTCTTCAGCGACCGCAATCTCTGATCATGATGAAAGAGAGCTCTCCCATTCCAGGTCCCGAATCCGAGCTCAGAAACAGACGCGCGACTAGTAAGTCGGAACCAGTCGTTAAAGGCACCACTGTGCCCCAGAAGAGGAGGAGGCAGCGCCAGAGGAGGGAGAGGCCAGGGCGGCGGTGATGCGGGCCTCCAAGTTCTCGCGGGACATGTTCGCTGCGGTGAGGTTGGTCGTCTCCCACTCGACCAATGTCGGTTCAGAAAGCCTGGGCGTGACCCTGATGAGCGGCTTCCAGTTGGAGCTGATGATGCCCGTCGACTTGTCGGCGTGCAGCTGAACATTCGGGTAGGTCTCGGACATCGCGCGTCTGGCAAGTTTGGTGGCCAGCTCACGCCGCACCTGGCACAAGTTCTTGTCCGCCGAGACGTAGAGGGGGCTCGACTCCCCCGTGGTAGTTTGTGCCTGAAGGCGACGGAATTCGCCATCTCCCACCCGCATAGCTGATAGGGCTTGTGAAACCATCCTGGAAGACCAACCAGGGGCACCACGAACACGTACGATAAATCTCTTGCCAGCGGGCTGCCCCTCCAGGCGCCAGAACGAATCTTCAAAATTGGCGTCCGCCAGCCAGGGGGTGATGGCGGTGCGGACCGAGGCCATAGTGACGAAGGAGTTGGAGCGGAGGACGAGGACGGAGGGGTCGGTTTTCCGCTCGAAGTTGCTGGAGGCTGCCTCAGGGGAAGGGACGGGGTCGGAGCTTTGGACGAGGAGCAGGGCCTTCTTGAGCTCGGAGATCTCGCCCGCCATGATGTCCATGCGGGTCTGGAGCGTCTTGGTGGTGGCCTCCTGCTTGGCGAGCCGCTGCTCGACCTGGCAGCTGAGTCCCTGCACGTGGACGGTGATAGACTTCTCAAGCGCGGCCATGGCTTGACGCATAGCAGACATGCCTGAGAGGACGCTGGTCTTGGTGCTCTCGACGTAGGCCCGAAGTTCGTCGATGCTCCCAGGAGGAGCGGCAGGAGGAGAGCGGTCATCAGAATCACCCATAGCACCAGCCGGCGGGGTGGCTGAGACGAGCTGGCTCTCGGTGAAGTAGCCGTCGTCGCTGGAAAGCCATGCGGTCTGCGTGGAAGAGAGCTCTGCGGCGGCGGCGGCCGCGGCAGCGACGGAGGAGGCCTGCGCGCGGGCAGAGGCGCCCCCGCCTTTGCCGCGGCCTGCACCAGTGGGGTATGGGTCGGCGGAGCCCTTGCTGTCGGCCTTGCCTTTGGTCTCCACGAGAGTGAATCCCTCCGAAGCAGATGCATGGGCCATGTGAGAAGAGAGACGTGCAAAGAAAGGTGTCCGCCAGCCTCTGACAGCTGGAATGCTCTGAAAGGAGAGCTGCCTCACTCAACCTCGGGCCGGTCCCGAACCTTGAGCCAAAATGGCAACGGACCCTCCGCCTCCTCCTCCTCCTCCTCCTCCGCCTCCCCCTCCTCCTCCTCCTCCTTCTCCTCCTCCGCCTCCTCCTCTTTCCCCTCCCCCTCCCCCTCCCCCTCCTCCTCGTCCTCCTCCTCGTCCTCCTCCTCGTCCTCCTCCTCGTCCTCCTCCTCGTCCTTCTCCAGCCTGGAGGTCTGGACTCCCGCCGCGACACAAGAGGCTGAAGGGTGGGCCAGAACTAGCTTTGAGCAGGGACCGACAGCCCCAGCATTCCTATAGGCACGCCACGACATGTCCTTAGAATCCCCGCGAAATGCTCGAATCACAAAAACAAAGCTCTCAGAACATAAAGTCGACGCACTACAACAAGACAGTATTGTTAGGGCATTGCTTGGTGGGTTTACAAGGCAAGCCGGGCCGCTTCGCCGCTGCTTGATAGCCGCGGCTTCTCAGACTCAAGGCCCTGCCAGAGGAGGCCCAGCTGCGCCGTTTGCCCTCGGGCCTGGGGGGTCCCTCGCCCCTCCTCCTCCTCCTCCTCCTCCTCCTCCTCCTCCTCCTCCTCCTCCTCCTCCTCCTCCTCCTCCTCCTCCTCCTCCCCCGCGCGCAGTGGGAGGGCTGGTGACCTCGGGCGACCGTCCGAGCGCGTACGCACGACTGCACGGGCCTCTCTGGAGGCCTCCAGGGGGCCCCTGGAGGCCCAGAGCTGTCCCGAGGCCTCGGAGGTCCTCGGGACCCAGAAACGTCCAGACATCCGAGGCCTCGGAGGGCCTCGGAGGGCCTCGGAGGGCCTCGGAGGGCCTCGAGACCCAGAAACCGAGGCCTCGGAGGGCCTCGGAGGGCCTCGAGACGTCCCAGCACCCCCACGGCGCCGACGCCGCCGACATCGAGAACACAAAAACATGGTTTTTTTTGCTCCGCGGGTCGAGAGCACGCCTCTTCCGGTCGAAGCTGAGCGGGCCGCGCGAAGCTTGGATCAGGCAGAGGAGAGGAGGGAGGAAGCGGCGGAGCCTCAGAGCGAGGCCGGGCCGAGAACAAAAGCACTGAGATTCGGAGGCAGCCGAAGTCGCCCTCCCCGGCCGGAGTCCTTCTGCACCAGGAACTCCCGCTGTGTCCTCGCCGTCTCCACGGCGTTGTCCACGAAGACACCTCGCCCGACGGCTCATGCGCAAGGCTCCGACCTCGCTCTGCCCCGCCCTTCAAGAACTTGGCCGCACTATGTCCAACGTTTTCTGTATGTGGACGCCCGCATCGGTCTCTAGAACAATCAAACAATCATCCGTGACGAAGAAGCGGGTCCTGAAGAAGGAGTCGAAAGTTCTGAGGGCCCACGCCACCCCCCCCCCAAAAAAAAACGTCAGGTGTGAGAGCGGGGCATGTGCGGTCTGGAGCTCCCGATGCCACCTCTTACACTTGATGCCCTGCCTCACGTCGACATGTGAGTGCCCTGTCGCCCCAGACTCACCTTTGAATGTATAGGGCGCACATGAGAAAAATCACAGCCATCGTCTTTGACAACGCAGTAATTGAATTGACGCCGAGGGCATGCCGCACTCCTCGAATACACTAGGGCCCCTCAGAACACTTTGCGAAACACGATGCAATGTATCCCTAGGGCAAAATACGTTGCGGTCCTCAAGGCTCCGAGGTAACCTAAGACCCGCATCCCTTAAACTACTCATGCTGTCCCCATACAAGATCACCAGACCTTGTAATTAGTTCACACTGACAGACCCTACCAACATGTACTGACAGAACTCGAAGCCATCATAACACGATTACGTGAAGAGTAGCTCCATTCTGACAGGTTATCAGCGCTTGTCAGCGCGCAGTCATGCGTCCGCACCAGTAATGATGTTCAACACTGCGAGCATGGTGAAGGACAGGTAGCCCACGAAACCGACGGCCAAGATAGGACCTTTCGGATCAGAGAGGACTTCGAGGGCCTCCCTCTGTCTGTCCCCCCATCACTGCCCACCCCACTTATACCTTCTGGCCGTCGTCGGGTAATGGTAATCCGCAACCGTGCCTCCTGACACGTCGAGGCGTAGTAAGGGGGTTTCTGTATTCTTAGAAGGCCCTCCCCCTCTCTGCCCGCAGACTCGCGCGTGCACCCTCCCCCCTCCCCGATCTCGGGCCCCCTCGCACAAAACAATGGGTCCGAACTCCCGAGGTCGCGATCCCTCATACAAAAAAAGGTTGACCTGCGTCCCGAGGTCTTCAGAGACGGCCAAGGCAGGCAAGGCGGCCTGAGATGGCCTCAGGGCGGCCCAAAGAGGATCTCCAACAAGGCCCGAAGCAGCCAGCATTACCGACGATCCTCACGCTCCCGAGCGACGTGGCCCCCGGTACGGCTCAACGGCTCCCAAGAAGTCCCCCAGATGGCCCAAGAGGAAGCCATGATGGCACAAGAGGCGTCCAAGACGGCACCCAAACTGCCCAATAGAGACTTAGAAGGCCCTTCGACGGCCCCACGACGGCCCCCCGACACCCCTCACACAGCCATGAGGGCCCCAAGACGGCCCAAGAGAGTCCCAAGATGGCCAACGAGGCCCCTAAGAAAGCTCAAGAGGGCCCCAAGGCAGCCCCTGGGGACCCGCAATATCATCCCATAGGAGGCCAAGACAGACCCAAGACGGCCCACATGAGCTCCATGAGAGCTCCTTAACCACTGAAAATGAAACATACCACATTTGACTGCCTTCCGCTTCCTCCTCCTCCCCCTCCTCCAAAATGCCGGGCTGGCACGATGGCGGGACTTGCCGCGAGCAACTGGATGGCAAAACAAGAGGTCGGGAACAAAACACCTGTCCCCCGTTCCGTCGTGTCGGCCGTGGTCTTCTTTTTGGCCCGAAAAGGGGTGCAAGCCGCAAAACCAGACTCTCGCCAGGCTCTCTCCAGGTGTCGGTTCCCGCATTCTTCACATGGCACTCGGAGCTGACACTGACAACAAATCCACGCTTGATGCGCGAGGACATTTGCCTGACGAGATAGCGAACAGCGTTATGACGGGCAAACCGAGACAATGCCAATGCGTACCCACAGACCCCTGGCTCAAAACGACACGCACAGTCCAGTCAAGTCTTGTCGAGGAGCCTATGGAGGCACCTTGCTTCGCACGCGAAGACGGAGGCGTGACCGTGCATGCAAGAGAGGAACTGTGGCGAGGGCAACACCGAAACACCTACATCTATATATGTGTGTATGTGAAGTACATGCGTACTTACAGGTCGTACCTAAACCATTGCGCATGACCTCCACATGTATTTCCCAACCGCTTCCAAACATAAACGTTCCTGATTGCGGGTCGCATTCGCTAGATTCGTGCCGTGGTCAAGTCGCAAGAGAAGATCAATGGCATCATTCAATGTGCGCCGCGGTCTCCCTCAGCGTCGGAGCGACGTCCAATTTTTAGACACACCCGTCAGAATTCGTGCCACGAGGCGCCACGTTGAGCGGTCCAACATAACAAGCCAGCCTGACATAGGAAGAATGTCCAAAGCAGCGCGTGCTTTTTGCTTGCAGTATCGCCCCGCATCTGTCCTACTTTTGTCGGGGAGATTGCCCAAACTAGCTATCCTTCGGAACATTCCTGAACGCGTTGATGTAGTGAGTGACCGATGCTGCACTGTCGTGGCCGTGGACGGGAGACCGTAGACAACAGTGGGCGTAACAACCGAGTCAACAAGCTTCAAACGAAGACGCAAAGACATAGCTGTATTGAACACACTGATTTGATCTTTTTGACAACGATGTGCCAACCGTGTAGTACACTGGTGGCACATGGGGCATACATGTGGGCGGCCCCCTGGGGTGGGATGGATTAGAGATTAGAGACTCGAAGGAGCGCATGTTATCAGACTCCGTCACTCCTCTCCCCAGGAAACTGTCCGACGAGGCGTTCCTGCGCTGAGAGCTGCATCTCTCCCGACGGGCCTGTCCAATCCGGGATGCTGTACAGCGCGAGGGGTATCCTGAAGCTGGGAAGCGTGCGCATACTGCACCCGGTGTAAAACAACGCGTGACGACCATGCGACAACCTGGAGGAATGCCTCTGCAAACTTCCCGGGGCCGGGGGTCAATATGCACCCGTAGGCCCTGCACGTTCATGGTGCTCCAAATCTTTGGCACATCTTGTTACGCAACGCTGCATAGAACGCGACGTCAACTCCAAAGCACTTGAGGTAACCGGCATCGACTTCTCTCGGGTAATCCGCGTTCACTTCGGGCTCCTGCCAACCCACCAAACCACCTTGCTCTACCTCTGCTGGTTCCGCGGGCCTTCCACAAACATCCGCCAATTAGAAGAAGCCACGCCTTTGCGAGGCACTTCCTGAAACAGCCCGAATTTCGGAAAGCCTCGGGCCGACCGTACTATGGACGGGCACCACTGGCCGAGCAAGTTTCTGTCGCTGAGCTTCGGTCGCAACATCATCACCTAAGCGCGCTGGGGTGGCTCCTGTACCAGCTGATGCCGTTGAGCATGCTGTGGAATAGAGTGTAAATCGTCGACCAAAGGCTGCCGAAATGCTCCGCGACCACCAACGCGTCTCCATCCGAGTCCTTGAGCCTGGCCGGGCCAGATGGCAGCAGAGAGCCAAAGTGAATCACGCTGTTCTCGAATTGCGAGGGCCAAACAGGCCAGACAACGCTGGCATCCGTCCCACCGTCTCGTCCCTGCCCAAAGCCCACTGCACGAGCGCCAAACGAAGACGACTACGCGAACCGAATGCTGCCTCACCTGTGTCCTCCCAATTTTGCGTCGCGCGTGCGCATGAGGCGAGCAGGCGGGACGGGACGGGCCCTTTCGGGATTGACACGACAATCGACCAACCCAGGCCTGTTAGGTGGTGATCGAGACCTCACTCAGGAAGCGGAGACCTACATATTCGAAAGCTTCACTGGTGTACACACAGAGCAATTCGTGAATCTGATCGCACACGTGCCCCCCCATGAATGACAAGATGCGAAGATACGTGTTTACGTGTGTGTGTGCGCGTGTGGTCGACGCCCAAGGTCGAAGCATCTCTCAGAACGGTTCTGCTTGTCTGAGGAGCCCGTGCTCGTGCACACGATGGCCAGCACTTGCAAATTGTATGTCAGCTGGGCCAGCTCAGAGCTGGAGCTGGCGCAGGATAACTGGGTAATTACGTGAAAAGGCGCACAAGCTCAGATGCAACAGAAGTCCTGGACCTGTGCAGGGAGTTCTCCTCTGACAGAGGCATCGTTCGAGTTCGACTCTCACAAGAAGAACAACGTCGACCCAGACCCTCCGTGGGACCTGGCAATGCGTAGTTTCTTCGGGCTGGCACGAACCGAGCGCGGTGCACAGCCGCAACCGCTCGCCAATCCAGGGCTCAATCTGGAGACTTGGGTAGCTGCGCGACGCGACAGGCCGCAGGCCGTGCAAAGTCCGGTGCACTGCTTCCGACGACCACAGAGGAGGCAATGTACTAGTCATCGTCGGGATGATAGCTCTGTTCCTGACCTTGCAAGAGGGCCCCTCGCTGCATCGCACGAGGCTGCATCAGGCCCCGCATTTCGTTCCCGAGTGCAACACGAGGTGCACTGCGCGATACCTCTTCCTCCTGTTCCTCCGCCGCCTCCTACTCCTCCTCCTCTCCTCCTCCTCTGCCTTCCCCTCCCTTCACCTCTTCATCCTCCGCCTCTGCTCGGCGTCTCTTCAATATCCATCTCTCTTGGCAAGAGGAACTTCACGTAATCGGATGAGAGGTTCGTGAAGAAAATGGCGAAGACCTGCGGACTTGGCATCGGGAGGCTGCTGAAGCGGCCGATGCCTTCTGGGGCCAAGATAAAAGGAGAAACAACTTGGAAGCTTGGGATACTTCCCACTTCTGGAAACCTCCGGGAGACATCCAGAGACCTTCGGGGGCCTGGACGGCAGCAGGGACTCGAGGAGCAGCAGAGGCAGGGACAAGACGGAGGACGGGCGCGGCAAGAGGGGACAAGCTTTGTGTAGAAGAAGAAGAATACGAATAATAATAAGAAGAAGAAGAAAAAGAAGAAGAACAATAATAATAATAAGAAGAAGAAGAACAAGCCACCTGAACATAAACCTCTGGCGCTGCGCGCGGATTTCTTGAATCTGCGCTGCACCCCCTCCCTGGCGCGCAGAGCGCGCCAGGGGCGGCGCCGGAGGCGTCGCCAGGGGGGCCCAGCGCGAATCGAAGAAATCCGCGCGCGCGGAGCGCCGACAGTTTATGTTTATAGCGTTTTTTCTTCTTCGATGGATTCCCCTGGAGGAAAACGAAGGTGCAGAGAACGGGGGAAAGGATGACGAGGACCGCGATGGGCGGAGCATATCAACGATCTGCGCCGCCGCCACGGCCCACCACGCGGCTCGGCCCGTGGCGCAGACAACACCCCACGGCGCCCGTCGCGAGCGAGACTGCAGCGGCGCCCCCTTGAAGAGCATTCGGCCGTCGACCGAACTCAGCGGCTGTGCAAACTGGGACGGACCCGGGGCCAGGTCGCACGCCCAGGGCGGGCCTGCGGGCGTCGCTCGAGGTGTATTCCGCCGTCAGCCACTGCTGCTACTGCTGGGCCGCACACCGTAGGAACGCCAGGATGAGCGCGCATATTCAGTCCAAGTGTTGATGCGCAGGGGGAGGTCGAGAGCTTCTCGTGGGGGCCCCAGTCCCCTTGCCTCACCCCTTCCCTCACTGATGAAACAAATTCCTGTTTACTCCTGGAGTCCTAGTGCAAATCAATCACGCCGAGCGTAAGTTACAGGGCCCTCGAGTGTTAACGACAGCCTTGGGTTTTCTCCGCGCGCTGCTGGGGCAACTGGCCCATGATGAAAGCCGCAAGATTATACTTACCTCTGCAAAAGATTGGCCTGCAAGGGCTACATGCTCCATCCTGCCATACCCGTTTTACCGAATATAGCCTAGAGAGCGAGCACAAGAGGGACCTCTCGACCCTTTCGTGGACTTTGAAGGTCGAGTGGGTAGCCTTGTCCAAAAACGCAGTGGGGGCCGAAACTTGGCCCCCACTATCACCTCGGCATGGAGATTTTACGCGAAGTTCCTTTTAGTGCGGCCATCGCACAGGCTGCACTGCCAAAGTAGCTCGTGGGGAGTCCCAATCTGGTGCTCCGAGACGTTCAAAGCTGCATTTGGCCGCAATGCTACCCCCATGCTTTCGACGGACGGCGGAGGAGAGTCACAGGCGAAGAGGCAGACAGTAGCGGGACGGGGAAAAAGGTACGAACCACGCCCCCTCCGTTCCCATTCTTTTTGCCCCTCCCTGTCCGCCCTCTCCCCGGGCCCGCGTCCGCGCCGGCGCATCTGAGCGAGGTGCGTAGATGACGATTCCCAGCATGACCCGCCGGGCCCCTATCCAAGGGCTTCGATGGTGCATCGGAGGCAGTCGTGATGGTGAAGAAGATGGCTGCAGCGAGACGGAGGCGCAACATTCAGTCGAAACAAGACCCCGATCAGTTGGGCCAAGAACATACGCCTAGTCGCCGAAGGCCCAAGGCTTCATGGAGATACCCAAATCGTACAACACTTCCAGGTGGAGGGCGCAAACACGGAAAACATGAGGATACCCCTTCCCACCAGAGCTGGGATTGTAGCTCATCGTAGCTCGTCCTCCTCCTCTTCTTCCGTCTGCTCCTCCTCTTCCTCCTCACGATCAAGAAGTAAAGCAAAACATGTAGGAGGAGCAAAACCAGCCGCGGCATCATAAGCACTCATTTCTTGACCATCGCCGTACACCCCGAACGGCTTAGTACGGCTTAGTACCACAAAACCATTGCAACAAATCGACGAGGGAGCTGCCCATCCAGCCTCACCCTTGAAACGTTTGCACGCTTTCTGAAGACGAATCTGCGCGGTGGAGCGAGCGCCACATTTAGAACACGACCCGCCCTCCATCCTTGAAGCCGCTGTAAACATCAAAACGAATGTGCGCGGTACTGAAGCGAGGGCCACATTCTGGAAACCAGCCGCCATCCATTCTTGAAGCTGGTGCGGACTTTCACAGGGCGACGGCGCCCTGGGGTGCCATCCGAGCCCAGGTGATTAGCTGATCAGCGGCCGAGCAGCAGCCGATCCACCGAATTGCCGAACAATCCTATCGGCTGATCGATCGGCTGCTCGGACGCTGCTCGGCTGATCGGCTGCTCGGCCGCTGATCGGCTCGTAGGCCAGTCGGCCGATGATCCCAAGGTGGCCAATACGCCCAAGATGGCACAAGAGGGCCCCAAGAGGGCCTCCATCTGAGGAGCTCGACCTGAGATTTCAAGCACTGCGCCTCCAGAGGGGAGCCCGAAATCGCCAAGAGGCCCCCAAGAGGCCACCACGAGGACCCGAGAGGCCCTCAAGAGGCTTGGAAGAAGCCCGCACAGGCCCCCAGTCCTGCTCTACGGGCCCCCCAGAGGCTTCAAAACTGTCTCCAATAAGCTCCCCAAAGTTTCCCGACGAGACCCCTATAAGCATCCAAGGGGCCTCTGACTCAGACCCACAATCCAAGCACGGTGGCGGGATGGGCCCGGAGGCCAGTAGATACCTCTTGAAAACGGCAGCAAGGCCCCCAGGGGCCCCCAGTACGCTCCCAGAGGCCCGTGCGGAAGTCCTCTAAATGAGGCTCCCACTGGACATTAGCAGGACAAGCGCCAGCCAAAGGGAAACGAGAAGGACGAGGGACAGGAACAAGGGTCACGCCGAGATGCCCCGCAACGCAAGCCTTGGATGTTCAGTGAAATCCGAGCAAATCCGAAAGCCTGGCCATCCTGTTCACTCCTCCTCCCACTCCTCTTTAGCAACTCCCTCCTCCCTGTCTTCATTTCAACATTCTGTCCCCCTCCGCCTCTCTCCCTCCGCCCCCCTCCCCCCATGGTTCCCCCTGGTCTGCCTCGCGCCGACGCCCGACGCCCCCGAATCCGGTCGAAAGCTCTTCGCCGCGAAAACCGACAATGTTTTACCAGGATGTGTTTCCGAAAGTTCTGAATGCACGCGGATGCGTCAAGATAAAATATGTTCTCCCGTGCGTAACCCCGCTCCCTTTGTAAACCATTGTTTCCCAGCTTCCTTCTCAAACTACTTGCGGCTACTTGCGCGCAAACGGGGGCGCATCAGCGCGTAGCAGGTAAACACTTGAAAACATACTGCATTTAGAGCAATTCAAGGGTGTCGCGCGGGATTTCCCCACGGCTTGGGCTTGAGTCACAAGGCTCGCCCCGAAGTGTTGTTGCTCCTCCTTTTCCTTATCTTCTCTTCTCTTCTCTTATCTTAACTTCTCTTCTCTTCTCTTCTCTTCTCTTCTCTTCTCTTCTCTTCTCTTCTCTTCTCTTCTCTTATCTTATCTCTTATCTTCCCTTCCCCCTCCGCTTCCAACTCCTCCACCCCCCTCCTGCCCCGTCCTTTCGACTGCCGACTGAATCATCGTCATCGCCGCCCTGCTGCCGCGACAGCGCTAGCGACTGCGACGAGCCAGCGCAGACATGATCGGCCTCTGCGCGCATGTGGCTGCGCTCTGTGTGCCGACGCAGAACCGCAACAGCCCTCTGCGACCTGCTCCGCAGGTCACGGTCTTGAAAACGTTCAAAGATGCTGTCGGCGCACGCGAGCCGAGGCCCGCGCGGACCGCGGCAGACGCCCGCAGGATGGCTAACCTGGTCAAAAGAAGGGTGCGAACAAGTACCTAAGATGGTCGAGGGATGCGCTCTCCGTCTCGTCGAGCTCAACTCCGACCGTGACGACGGTCTCCAAGCGCTCGGCCAGGAAGGAGCCCCGCTCTGCCCACGCGGGCAGGCGCCCCGTGCCGAGGCGCCGGGCAATCAAACCTCAAGAAAGCGAGCTGGCTGAGAACCAGCGAAGCGACGAGGTGCGGGCGCCTCGCGGGATCATCCCTTTGAGACGCTCCCGCGGGCGCTCCGCGGGCACAGTGCCCGACTGAACGAGCACTCCTGCGGCGCGGATCGCCAGAGCCGCCGGCTGCCAGGCCCACAGGCCTTCAACCTTCAGAGGCTGAACGCGGCGGCAGTAACGCGCTCGTGCCTGAACGGTCCAGGCGCTGCGAAGGCCGCGGACCTGCTCAGGCTGCGTCCTGTCGCGGAAAACTCCTCGACGCCTGCGGGTGGAGCGGCGGCCCGGCTTGTGCCGCCCGGCATTCCCGTGGACTTCTGCCTTGCACTCTCTGGGGGAGGCGCGCCCGCGAAAACCCATGGACGAGTCCATCTGGGCCCTGGCACGCCGCGCGATGCGCGGTGGCACTTCGACGCGCTCGGCAGCTGCGAGTCTCGAAGGTCCGCGGTCCCGGCGGCGTCCGCGCCCACAGGCTTGCCTGGAACGCCCCCGCGGTCTTCTCGGCCGCGGCCCTGCGCAGCAGGACGCCCGCCGCCGAGAGATCCCGGGGGGGGGACAGGCGCGCGGGCGCCTGCCCCGCGGGCAGCGCGCGGGGAGACGGCGCCGATAGAAGCGACGAGATGTCCCAGTGGTCGGAAATGAGCTCGCGGCAATCGTTGCACGACGGGCCCCCGCAACGCCGCAACGCAGTGACCTCGGATGGCCCGCGATGGACGTCGATCGGCCGGGCGGATCCAGATCGGCCGGGCCCCGGGCGCCGCTGGTCGGCCAGGGCATCGATCTCGCCGATCGACGGCGGTGAAGGATCAGCCGGATTTACGATCGCCTCCGGCCCGCCGCGGCGCCGCGGCACATGGCCCGCGCGCTGGAAGGGCCGCGGCGCTAGGCCGTGACGCGGCGCAGGTGTCAGCGGAGGCGGGCGGACCGTCGCGCGGGGCGTCTGCTGGGGGGCAGGCTCGCGCGCGCTGACTCGATGATCCTCAGAACGCGCGTCAGTGCCTACGCGTGCTTGTCCACCGAAACCCTTGATAATGCGATTGATAATGCGACGCAGGCGGTGTCACGTGGGCCAGCGCAAGTTGCGCGCTACTGGCGGAACTGAACGGGGCAACGCACGCAGGCGAACTGGGCGAATGCACGTCCTGAAAATCATCGAATGTCAGAGGGAACGCAGTCAGACTGTTCGCCGGCGCCGCGGCGTCGCCGGCGATCATGAAGAGCGCGCGACGAAGAAGGGTCCGAGAGCGCCCCTGCTGCGACGGCGCCATCGGGACCCCCGGGCACTTGCCCTCGGGGCGCGGGCGCAAACGGATAAGGGCCCGCAGACGCGTTCCATCGGCGACTCTTCCAACCCACAGGCAGGAAGAAGAGTTCTCGGCAGGGCGGGGCGATAATCACAGCCTGGGTGCTGATGGGCTTTTGCCGCAACTATCATGCGAGTTCGCCGCAACCTTGGCGGCCACTGAGCAAGGTCAGCTCGGCGACCTCCCGCGTGAAATCGCGCGCGCAAGTCGGCTGTCATAGGGGGTGACTCGGCATGTACTACGTCGTCAAACGTGCTTGCTCTCCTGAACCAGCGAAGCACGTGACGCCGTGGAACTGCTCATCCTGAGGGTCGCACCCCGCCACAAACCCGCGTGCATAACACAAATTAGCGGTGGCTTGCCTTGCAATCTCAAACATGGCGCTGTGGGATTTGCCCCATGCTGCGTCAGTCAGAAACCAGAGAAGCGTTGAGCTGCAACTCGTCGCGTAATTAGCCATTCAACCGGTGCCACATTTCACCGCTTTGTTCTGGGCCAATCCCAGACCACCGACGAATCGATCTACACTTATTCTCCTCGACGAAAATGTCTCGTCCAAAATCGGCTGTGGCGGACTGGGGGCCCAAAAACAGCTCCCGGGCGTCGAACTCTGAAGAACCTTCGGAACAATATCTGTCGAAACGGAAGAGATCGCGGGACTTGGCTGCGATCAACAATGATGGCGTGAATCCTCTTGGTCAACGGGCGGGTGGTGCTTCGACTGTCGATGCTGCGTCGTGCACCCTCGCGGGGCGAGCACGCTCCAACCCCTCTAGGGAGGCTGACACGTGAGACAGCCTGGCACGTGAGCGGCATCATTCATGCACATGCACGTAGCATGTAGCCGCAGCTGTTGCCCACTCACCTTCTGAAGGGCGGCGGCCTGGAGTGGCGAAAGCTCGTGCTGCTGGAAATGCACAGCCGACCGTCGCACCTCTCGCTTGGATTCATTTCGCAATTGATCGGGGCGCACCTCCATATCAATGATGGGGTTCGGTGCGGTCTGCTGCGACTGCATGGCCACATTGAAAATCAAATCCACCCGGCCCGCGAGCGCGTCGAACTCGTAGACCTCCTCCATGTTCCAAGGAAACGCAGCCAACTGCTCCTGCGTTGCGCCATGGTTGCAATCACACCCAGCTACTTCGTGATCGAAGAAAGCCCCCGTGTGACATCTGCAAATCCGATATCACCAAACATAGAGAGGGAGGATTGCCGAGCGTCACTGGATAGGGCTGCGGCAACCCGCCAGGCAGTGCAAGACCCACGCCGCTCTGAATTTTCGAGCCAGGGCGGCCACTTGATCCAGAATGGAGGTGGAGTAAGTTATGGTGATGCCGTGCGCTGCGACGGTGATGAACTCAATCGCAGCGCCCCTGCCCCCGTTGCGCCTCCTTCCCGCCCACTTCCGCGTCCATTCCCCTCCTCGGGAACCATATTCACCTCATCTGTCCGACTTTCATCTATTCCTACTTATATACTGTTCTAAGGCCGGGGACCCCGGACGGACCCCGGACGCCCCCCCCCCCCCCAGACGAGTTTCGGCCTTGCCCGAGATTTTCGGGCGGTCCCAGAGGCGCCCCAGACGGCCCGAAATACTCCCAAGAGGGGTCCACGAGCGCTCCAAGACAGCCCAAGAGCGCTCCAAGAGACCCCGAGACCGCCCAAGACCGTCCAAGGGGGCCCCGAGACGCCCCAAGAGGCCTCCAAGAGGCCTCCCAAGAGGGCAAGTTCATTGATTTTTGTATGGTTTTCAGACGTTGTTCTGGTTCTCCCATTTTCGGGCCAACATCAGCCCGAACCGGCCCAAGAGGCTCCAAATATCGCCCCAAGATAACCCAAGAGGCACCCCAAAGAGCCCGAAAACGATCCAAGAGAGCCCCAGGACAGCCCAAGAGGGCTCCAAGACGGGCCCAAGAGAGCCCCAACAGCGCCCAAAGAGGCACCCAAGAGGGCCCCGAGACGCCGCCAGGAGAGCCCCACGACGGCCAAAGGCCTCCAAGACGCCCCAAGACGACCCAAAAGGGCCCCGAGACCCAAGAGAACCCCAACAAAGCCCAAAAAGGAATCCAAAAGGCCCCAAAAAGACTCGCAAGAGGCCCCAAAGCGCTACAGAACACCAGGGCTCCCAATACTGAGTTTCAATGGCGTCCCCAGAAGCCTTACAATATTCCTTGTCCTTCATCCTTCTTCCCCCCGTCTCCCTCCTTCTCTTTCCCGTTATCCTCCTGTTCCTCTTCCTTTTCTGTATACTCTGCCCCTCCTCCTCTCAGCCTCCTCCTCCTCCTCGTATGTTTCGCTTCTTCTGTTCCTCCTCCTCCTCCTCTTCCTCCTCCTTCCCCTCCTCCTCCTGATCATTTTCATGTTCCTCTTTCCCACCCCGTCAATATTCTAGCAGAACCAGTTTCCCCTCTCTCCCACTTCTGTTCTGCGGAATCCTTCCGCAGACATCTCGGCTGCACCCCAGATCTCCTGACAATACTGAACAATGCCTCCTGGAAGGGCGGATGCGTTCGCGTGCGCTTCCTGCGCTCAACGTTTACCGGGAAATGAAGGATGAGGGAAGGAATGGATAGGGAATGGAAGACCTTGTCAGATCGACACCCACGAAAACGCCAACAAGGCGTTATCGTTTCCTTTAACTATGTACATATCAGTCTTCCCGCCTGCTTGCTCAACTTGAAGGACCATGGTAGTCTGGCCACTTTCGCCTGAGACCCTTGCACGTTTGAGTTGCGAGATGCCCAGAGCAACTGGTCAGGCCACTACCGCCTGAGATTCGCAAATGCATGCGCACACATAGTTACACATACCATTTGCATATACATGTACATATCCATACATACGTAGATTTATATGTACATATGTAGTATGTTTCCATAGACGCATGTGCGTGCGCATGTACGCACGCCCGCACTCCGCCAACGTGCGAAACGCTAAAGGTCCAATGAGCATGGCGCGCAGGGCCAATGCAGTCATATATATATATACATATATATATATATATATATATATATATATATATATATCAGAGCGCTGCAATATACAGTTGAAAGAAAGACGACTGCAAAAGACGTTATAGACGGCCACACATTGCCCCACAAGTCTCGAGACCTACTTTCCGCTGACACTCACCGTGGTCATGCCCACACTTGGCCCCGTGCTGACGCTCCATCCAGGGCATTTACAAGGTCAGGAGGATCTGCGCATCAAACACGGCACTGCGATGAGCAGGGTCGAGATGGAATCGCAGAATGGATCTAGCCCCTGGCGTGTCCCCCATACAATCGACCAGCGGCCGCCACGGCATGGAACAGGAGCAGGGGCCCCATCGCCGAGAGCCCAGACACGAAGAGCAGCCTTGGCTTTGGTCTGAGCTTCGGTACCCTCCAAACCCAGACATCGGGCGTCTCGAACAAAATCGAGACGATGTTGTTCATGGTGTTTGGCCTCTCGGGGCCCTCGCCGGGCCTCGGGACCGTCAAACAGCGGCTCGGGATGAAAACACGGTCCTGGGGAAGTGGTCTGGAGGTCGGGGACCCGCGTCTCGAAAAAATCGAGACGTCAGATGTCTGGGAAGCTGAGACTAAAGCTAAGGTTGTGATTGACCTTCGTGCCAATTGTTGTCGCCTTTGCCTCACAGCTAGACGTGGGCGAAAGCCCTTCGAATGAGGGCCCACACCAGGGACTTGATGGAGTCTATGATCATGAGCGCCAGCTGGCTGAGCTTGCTGAAGAAGCGGAACACACGCACCACACGAACAATCCTGAGGGTGGATGGGCACTGCGATTCGGCACCGCTGAAGCACCAACAGATATTATGGAAATCGAATTGCAGGAGCAGGTGGCTGCATGGATTGGGCATGGCGGAGAGTAGAAGGACGCAGAGGGAAAACGAGGAGGTGTGTGCCACGTGTGCGCATGCTGGAAGAGATATATTGAGGTGTGTGCGTGTGTGTGTGCGTGTGCGCCAAAAACACAAAACAACGTCCCAAACATCCGACGTCTCGATTTCTTCGAGACACGGGCCCCCGACCCCCCGACCACTTCCCCGGGACTGGCTTCTCACCCCGGGTCGCTTTTCGACGGTCCCGAGGCCCGGCGAGGGCCCCGAGAGGCCAAAACCATGAACAAAAATCGTCTCGATTTTGTCGAGACGCCCGATGTCTCGATTTTGTCGAAGGCGAAAACGACGAAACACCGCCGTCTCGATTTTTTCGAGACGCCCGATGTCTGGGGTGCACTCTCTTCTCCCCTGCCGCGCCCGTCGTGCCTCTGCCCCCGTGTCCTCAGCATCTTGATCGTCTTCAGGCCCATCCCGACGGTGGAGGCCCCGCCCTGGGTCGCCAAGGATATGACGTCGAACATGGACATCACCACGAGGACGAAGTCGAACCAGTTCCAGTTCCTTACCAGGGCAGTTTTTTAGTACAGATGATGCTTAAACATATCGGATTTGTGATCCAGGATTCATGCATGGATAAGTTTATGCGTGAGCTCATCGTGGTTTTCAATCCTAAACCCCTGCATTCTTAATACATGATCCGCACGCGGAGCATGTATAAAAAACGGCACTGTAGGCGAGGAAAGGCCCACACAATTACAACACGTACACATTCCGTTGACGCGGTGCTAAGCCGCACCCGCAAACGGACTGCCCGCATGGCGCCCGGATAGGCCACCGCCCAAGTTCAACATGCAATTGATAAGCCAGCGCATGAACGTGTGGACGTATCGATGCGTGTTTGCGTGAAACTGAAATTGGGCGACGGGGCCTGGCTCTAGTGGGTGCTGCCCAGCTGCCCACTGTGTGCACCTGCCGCCGCTCGGACGGGCTCCCTGGGGGGTCCAGCGCGATGGCACCATACGCGTATCCGAAGCGGGCCTCGGTTGAGGTCGGGCATATCCTCCTACAAGCAGATTGTGGAAGACCAATGAGACATAACTAACCGGTCTCAAGCATACTTACGCAGGCCGAAAAATGTTCCTCTTGAGCCCCACATGTGGGAAGCGACGCGACGATCCCTTCTGTTCTACTCCCACCTCATCTTGCCTCTTCCCTCATCCTTCCCCTCTTCATCCTGGGAAGACCCCCTCCCCCGTAGAATCATAGCATTGGTCTGCAGATCCACAGCTCCGTGGATAGCATGATGCTTCACCTGCGGTGCTCCGCGGATCCTATTTCCCCTGGGTCCCGGATGTTAACTATTATGATATAGATTCCCGGGAAATCAATGGATCCATCGTTTTTTCACACACAGGAAATTGGATCCGCGCAACACAGAAATAGGATCCACGAAACTCTCCCACACCCGAAAAGGGATCCAATTGGATCCATTGATGTTGTCATATTTTAATCCAAGAGGAAAAACTCGGCCTGGGGATGTAGTCAACAGAACACGAACCATCGTCTCCATATTATTGTTTTACAATTCTGGAATACTCCTAGTGTAGAGGGAGATGCCCGACTTGAACCTCGCTTACATGGGTCCTGGCTAGCGTGCGCCAATCGCATTGATGTTGCGTTCCCTCGAGGGCCCAGTAGAGTGCGTTCTTACTCACGGAGGGGGTGAGGAGGAGGAGGAGGAGGAGGAGGAGGAGAAGGAGGAGGAGGAGGAGGAGGAGGAGGAGGAGGAGGGAGGAGGAGGAGGAGGAGGAGGAGGAGGAGGAGCAGGAGGAGGAGGCGGAGGAAGACGGCGCATCTTCGGACCTTCTTCGCTGGCGGAAGCCAGGGAGGGAAGGTCGGAGAAGGCGGCTCGCCGACGAGAGCCGGCGAGCGTCGCTGCCATCCCACACGTGCCACTAGCAACGGGCCAATCCAAGACAGATGAGCATCCGAGCAGGCGCGTTTTGCCCAGTCTGCGAGCAGCACACAAGAAACTGTGTGCTGCGACTCCAGAGGGAAGTTCTCTGCAGAAGCAAGAGGTCACTCCGCTGGACCTCCCATGACCTCACCAACATGGCAGCAGATGCGGAGGTAGCAACACCCAGAGGGAAAGGAGGTCTGGCCAAGGTCTGTTTAGGACCGCTCTCTGCTGGACCCCCCCCGCAACCAACTCACGACAGACGCGACAATTTCGGACCTGGCAACGCCCAAGGAAAAGAGATGTGGACTGGATCCGTTTAGGACCGCAATCCACTGGACCTCTCAGGAGCTCGCGAACGTGGCGGTACTTGCGAAACTGGCAACGGCCAAACAGATGAGAAGCTTACTTTGGTCCGCGCAAGGCGTCACTCCGCACGACACCCTGGGAGCTTACCAACGTAGCGGCCGTTGCGCAAGCGGCAGCGCTCAGTGAGAGGAGCCATGGGCGTACGACAATTACAGAATTTGCATCGCCCAAGTAGGGGAGCATACAGTGGAGGCCAGGTCCACAAGAAACCTTCCACAAGAAACCCAGCCCTGAGTCCCCTGGACAACTATTGAATACGGGGTGTGGGGACGTGCCGCTGTCCATCGCAAAACCGTCGAGACCCAAGGAACCCAGGGCACCCCGGAGGCGAGCAGGGTGTTTCTTGGCATGGGTCTGCACTGTAGTCGGGATCTGGTTGAGACCGCACTCCGCTGGACACTACAGGAACCAGCAAACGCGGCGACAATGTCGCGCAGTCGACGGCTTCCAGGGAGGGGAGGTGTGGTACGGGTCGGCTTGGACGGCGTTCCGCTTGACACTCCAGGACTGCACCTTGCCATGGCCCGGACGCCCATGCCCCGTGTATGTGTCGGTCTCGTGAGTGTTTGCTTGTTTGCCAGAGTATCCTAGATGCTCCCCGATGGCCCTCGCCGACGAAAGAATCAATACGTCCGAGCGATGCCCAGTGCACATCACTTGACCTCCCAGGGACGCACGAACGCGGCGACAGTTGCACGACTGGCAACGCACACGGAGGGGAGGGACGAAAACGCACAGAGATGTCAAGCGCGGCCAGGTGGCAGGTGGGATGCGCAAAAGCAAGACGTTCGCCAGGCCGAAGCGGTAGCAATACTCTCACGCGAAATGAACGAACGCGAGAACGATATGTTGCTTTAGCGGGCGCGGCGGCGACTGGGCGAGCAAAACCTGCACGCCGCGCCCAAGCGCGAGCGCCAATTCCAGCCAAATATCTGCACGGCACTTCGGAGATAGCGAAATCTTATCCGCTCGCGCGCGATCCCGCCGCGGATGGACTGGCGAGCGAAAGAGGTGCACCGAGCCGAAAGCGACAGCACAGCCTTCAGAACAACCAGTGCGGCGCCGCTGTGCCGCAGCGCCGCGGCGCGAACGGCGCTTCGCCCTTGAGCGCGCGCGCGATGTTCCCCGCGTGCCAGTCCGCCGCGCGGCTCGCAACGTCGACGAGGAAGCGTGCATGGCTGAATGGAGCAACGCTGCCCTTGCAGTTTGATGGGAAGGACGGGCGGGCCTGGAGAGGGGTGCCGGCAAAGCGAAAACCAAAGAGGCGCCAGCACTTACGAATCAGGAGGGGGGGCCGAGGAGGAGCGGGTCCTGGCCATCGCTCGGACGTCCATTCCCTGTGCTTTTTTCGGTTTCGTGCGTGGCCTTTTCGCCAAATGATCAAGGATGCTCCTCGATGGTCCTCGCCGAAGGAAAAATGCACACGCCCGAGCGATGCCAAGGGGCATGCTGGCCGGCTGGAGCGACCCGCCGGACCCCGCCCACGCCCGGCACCCCTCCCACGGGAGTGGGAGAAGGTGCAGCACAGCAGACGTAGGTCGGGCATTGAAGGGGCCCCAGAAAACACAAATAAATATTCACAAAAAAAAAAGTTCCCCATATTTTCCAGTATTTTTTGGGTTTTCGTCTTCCCCCCCACTTCCCATATTTTCCCATATTTTCCTGGGACTCGACGATGAATTGTGTCTGTGTGTTTTTTCTCCTCCTGAGGCATGTCCTCCTACAGGCGGACTTTGGACGAACAATGGAAAATAATCAGAAAACATTTGCAACAAATAGGCAACAATGATCAGAACATCGTCCCCAGAAGATTATGGTTTGACTATGTATGAATGTTCCTCCTGTGCAGGGATGTGCCCGACTCAACACTAGACATGTGGAGCGGGGCCGCGCAGAGCTGGGCGGGACCGGCACGGGTCCGGCAGGCAGGGCCAGGCGGACACCAGAGCAAGAGCAGAGCAGGGCGGAGCACACCTTACCAGCCTCGAACGTATCCCTATCCCTAAGATTGACACGCCAAAAGGCGATGACAATCTTAGGGATCCGCCCTCAAAAAATAAGGGAATCCATAAGATTGGCATCGTGATGAGGAGGTGCCCAGGATAGGGATAGAGATATGTTCCAGGCTGGTAAACACCGGTCTCAAGACAGGGCTGAAGGGATTTGCTCGGAGTCGAGTCGAGCAGGTGCCCGGTCAAATGCACGACATCCGCCTCACTGCTTCATCTGTGCGCCGCGAGCTCCCGCCTGGACGCAATGCCGGCAGCCATGGTGGTATTGGGTTGGGTCGCAGGGAGGCCCCCCCCACAGAAGACAGCCTCAAAGAAAGCGCTCCCGCCGTGAGGCGCGTTGACGGCGCCTGGAGCTGGCGGCGCGCGCGAGGGGCGGGGCGAGCGGGGTCGCCATCTCACAGGAATGCGGGGGGGCTCCGAGAAGCCTTCTTGGAACCTTCTCAAACCTCCTACGGTAGGGGCTCGACCGCAAGAAACCTTGCGCACGAGACCCAGCCCTGAGACCCACGTCCATTGACTTTTGGCGTGGGAGCGTCACGCTGTCCATGGCGAAGCCATCGGAGCCCAAGAGGCCCAGGGCACCCCTGGAGGCACGCAGGGCGTCTCTTGGCAGGGGTCCCCACTGCGGGAGGCCCCCCCCTTTCCCGAGGGGGAGAAAATTCACCCTATTTTACTTGGTGTTTTCTGTGAGTGCAACAAGCTTTATTTTGACCGAGTCAATGTACACATGAGCCGTCGTACGAGCTGCGGACATATGTATACGCACGCATGCATTCATAAACACATATGCCATCCTCCTCCTCCTCCTCCTCCTCCTCCTTTTCCTCCTCCTCCTCCTCCTCCTCATCCTCATCCTCCTCCTCCTCCTCCTCCTCCTCCTCCTCCTCCTCCTCCGCCGCCGCCGCCGCATCATCCTCCTCCCCTCCTCCTCCTCCTCCTCCTCCTCCTCCTCCTCCCTCCTCCTCTCCTCCTCCTCCTCCCTCATCCCCAATTTCCTCCTCCGCCTCCTCCCCTTCCTCCCTCCTCCTCCTCCTCCTCCTCCTCCTCCGCCTCCTCCTCCGCCTCCGCTTCCTCCTCCTCCTCCTCATCCTCCTCCTCCTTCTCCTCCTCCTCCTCCTCTTCCTCCTCCTCCTCCTCCTCCTCCTCCGCCTCACCTCCTCGCTCTCATCCTGCGCATCCTCTCTCCTCCCCTCCTCCTCCTTCTCCTCCTCCTCCTCCTCCTCCCCTCCTCCACCTCCTCCTCCTCCTCCTCCTCCTCCTCCTCCTCCCCTCCTCCCTCCTCTTCCTCCTCCTCCTCCTCCTTCTCCTCCTCCTCCTCCTCCTCCTCCTCCTCCTCCTCCTCCTCCTCTGGACAATGGACACCAAGGAATGCGCTCATCCTGTGGGTCACGAGCCCGTTCAGCCTTTCTGGGCCAACGGGGGACCCTCTTGGGGAGCTTCGGGGCAGCTTTGGAAGTCATCCTGGGCGTCTTGGAGGCCATCTTGGGCGTGTTGGAGGCCTCTTGGGCTTTCTTGGAGCCCTCTTGGGGCCATCCTGGAGGCCACTTGGGCCGTCATGGGCCCTCTTGGGGGCCTCTTGGGCGATCTTGGGGGCCTCTTGGGCCGTCTGGAGCAGTCTGAATGCCGAGAAGAAACACATTCCAAAATCCTTCAACAACCTCGGGAACATCAATGATTTTGGCCTCTTCGGGCCCTCCTGGAGGACCTCTTGGGGGCCTCTTGGGCCGTCTGGGAGGCCTCTTGGGCCGCCTCTTGGGCCGTCTTGGGCCGTCTTGGACTCTCTTGGGCCGTCTTGGAGGCCGTCTTTGGCAATCTTGGGCGGACTTGGAGGCCATCTTGGACCATCTTGGAGGCCATATTGGGCCAGTTTGGGCATCTTGGAGGCCATCTTGGAGTGTTCCCCGAATCTGTTTGGAAAGCCTTCGGGGAACACGTGGGCGCCTTGAAGGTCATCGTGGCCGTCTTGGAGGCCTCTTGGGCGATCTTTCGGCGATCTTTGGGGGCTCTTGGGCCGTCTCGGGCCGTCGGAAGGCAGAAAAGAAGGACATCTCAAAATCCGTTAAAAACCTACGAATAATCAATGTGCTTGGCCTCTTATGGCCTTCCTGGAGGCCCTCTTTGGGGCCTCTTGGGCCCTTTTGGGCCAGCTTCGAGCCAGCTTCGGCTATCTTGGTGGGTTCCTGGCACGTCTGACGCCGTCGGGAGCAGTCTTGGGGGCCTTTCTGGGCCAACGGGGGACCCTCTTGGGGCGCTTCGCTGCCGTTTTGGAGGCCATCTTGGGCGCCTTGGAGGCTATCTTGGGCGTGTTGGAGGCCTCTTGGGCCGTCTTGGGGCCCTCTTGGGGCCATCTTGGAGGCCACTTGGGCCGTCATGGGGCTCGCGATCTTGGGGACCTCTTGGGCCGTCTGGAGCCGTCGGAATGCCGAGAAGAACCAAATTCCAAAATCGTTCACACACCTAAGGCAACTCAATGATTTTGGCCTCTGCGGGCCCTCCTGGAAGACCTCTTGGGGGCCTCATGGGCCGTCTGGGAGGCCTCTTGGGCCGCCTCTTGGGCCGTCTTGGGCCGTCTTGGACTCTCTGAGGCCCTCTCGGAGGCCGTCTTGGACCATCTTGGGCGGACTTGGAGGCCATCTGGGGCCGTCTTGGAGGTCATCATGGCCGTCTTGTGTGGCCGAACGTTGAGGCCAGACCTGCCAATACATCGGACCATGTGTTCCCCGAATCGGTTTGAAAAGCCTTCGGGGAACACGTGGGCGTCTTGAAGGTCATCGTGGCAGTCTTGGAGGCCTCTTGGGCGATCTTTCGGCGATATGTGGGGGCTCTTGGGCCGTCTCGGGCCGTCGGAAGGCCGAAAAGAAGGAAACGTCAACACCCGTCAACAACCTACGGAAAATCAATGTGTTTGGCCTCTTCTGGCCTTCCTGGGGGCCCTGAGGCAGAAAATAATAATAAGACACATTGAAAAAACAAAAACAAAAAAAAAGCTGAGACTCTCTGCGATTTTCAAATATACCACCAGAATGTAATTGATTTTACTTACATGCTGGCCGTGGATTTGAAAAAAAAACGCAGAGAGTCTCAGCTTTTTGTTGTTTGCTGTTTCCATTGTTTTTCGTTGTTTTTGTTTTTTTGGGTGTTTTCCCCTGGTAGTTTCCCTGGGCCTCTGGCCCTGGGTCGGCCCAGGAGGATACCAGGGAAAAAAAGCAAAACAACCAAGGGAAAAACAAACAAAGCAAAACAAGCAAAAAAGCGGAGATTCTGTGCGCTTTTCAAATCTACCACCAGAATGTACTTGATTGTAATTGTAGTCTGGTCGTGGATTTGAAAATCGCAGAGAGTCTCAGCTTTTTGTTGTTGTTTCATGTTCTTTGTGTTTCCCCTGGTATCCTCCTGGGCCTCTGGCCTTCGGTTTCAAATGGAATTCCTTTTGGGAGGATTACAACTTTAATCGAATTGTAATCCGCCAAAGGAACCCAATTTGTGGAGATTCAAAAAAGAAAAAGAGAAAGAAAGAGAGAGAGAGAGAGAGAGAAAAACAAAGAAAGAGAGAGAGAGAGAAAGAGAGAGAGAGAGAGAGAGAAACGGAAAACAGAAAAAGAGACGGAGACAGAGAAAGAAACGCAAACAAGCAAGAACGACCCCAAGTCAAATAGGGTGAATGTTCTCCCTTTCCTCCCCCCCTGATGCCTTCTCGGAAGGCCGCTCCCTCCGGCCCCACCCACGTGTACGCTCCGCCCATGGAGGTCGCACCTCCCCAAACCTTCTGGGATTAGCTCGGGCGTGCCCCCCTACATGGGGGGATTTTCGGCGAAAAAAACAGACCCACAAAATACTCCCAAATGTTCAAAAACAAAAAAAAAAAGTCCTCCGACTGTTTGTTTGATTATTGTTGAATATTCCTCCTGTGGAGGGACAGGCCCGACGTCATTCTAGGAGACCGCCCTTATGCCTTCTGAAAAGTCCACCCCCCTCGCCCCGCCCCACGCCGCACGCTCCGCCCAACGGAGCGGCCTGGGCCGCCCTCGCCCTCCCCCTTCGCTTAAGTCGGGCGTGTCCCCCTACAGGGGGATTTTGGGCGACAAAAAAAACAGATTCCAAAAATGCTCACAAGATGCCCCAAAATACGAAAACAAAAAAAAAGTAATCCCCAGACTATTTTTTGGGCCTGTTCTTGAATATTCCCCCTGCAGAAGGACAGGCCCGACTTCACCCTTCGCGCAGCCGCCCCGCCCCCCCCCCTGCCATCGCTCGGACGTCCATGTCGCGTGCATTTTTCGGTTTCGTGCGTGTCTTTTTTTGTTTGCTCGATGGTCCAGGATGGTCCTCGATGGTTCTCGCCGAGAAAAAATGCACACGTCCGAGCGATGCCAGGCCCCCCCCCAGCGGGAAGAGAGAAGGCTCTCTCCGGTTGTCGGAGAAGACGAAGAAGAAGCGCGGGCCGTCCGCCGTGACGCGGAGCACCTGGGGGGGGGAGAACGCAGGGGGAGGCGGCAGGGACTGGCCCGCCCGAGCGCCGGAGGAGCAGGCCCCGGAAGAAGCTGGCGAACACCGTACCCCCAAGAACGCCGACGAGCATAAGAACAGCGCTGACGTGCAAAATGATGTAACGCAGGCTGCAAAAGGAAGAAGCTAGCGAAGACTCGTGCCGCATGCATCTGCCAATGTCCCCCCCCCCACTGTTGGAGGCCCGGAAATTGGCACCAACACCAAGACAGGGGGTTGCCCCCACAGGGGGGAGGTGATCCTAGATTTTCGGTGTTGGTGGCAATAGTTCGGCCACCTTGGAAGCCAGAATATTACCACCATCACCGAGATCGGGATCGTCTTCCCTCGGTGGAGGCACACCGCCGAAATTGGTGTTGGTGTCAATCTCTAGGCCTGCGAAGCCAGCGAACACTCATGCCGCATGCATCTGCCAATGTCCCCCCCCCCAATGAGCAACGTTGGGGGTGGGTCGAATGAGCTGCACTTCGACCGCGGTCTTCCCCGCGCGTGCCAACCTTGAGTCTGGGGGAGCGGGGGGATGTCCACTAAGTGTTTCCTTCTGCCGTAGGGGCAGGCAGGCGGGATGCTCACTGTTGCCACTGCAGCCTTGGCGCAGCATATCTTGCTCCAGTCCGGAGGGCCAGCAGCGGCCCGTTTCCCTTCCCAAGGGGGGGAGGGGAGCCTTTCGCGGGCGTGTCCGCGAAGTCCAGCAAGGAGAGTGGGGCCACGCGCGCGCGGGGAGCTGGATGGTGAAACCGACACGCAGTGGGCGCGCACGCGACACGCGGACCTCCGACGACCCGAGCCGCCAGCCCCCGGGACCTCTCGACGAGCTTCGCTGGACCAACGCTCCGTCCGGGGTCGATGCTTGACGGTCCCGAGGGACCCGGGCAGGGCGTCTGGACGCCGAGCGTGGCGGAACACCTCTGGCGGGATTCGGATCGGGCCGCCAGAGGTCAGGACCCCGTAGCAACGGTCTTTGATGGAGCAGAGCATCGACACACCCGAGAAAGCAGCAACCCTGGGACAAGATACCGTGCGTTACGTGTCTTGCAAAAGTATGGTTTGCCATGTCCTTGTTTGCGAGGCCCCGAAGAAGTCTTGGCAAAGTGCATCAGAAGGAAGAGGAGGGCGCCACCTCAACAGAACTGTTCCGACTACGGAAATGTGCGAGCAGCACCGTAGCGCCCAATGGCGCATCTCGAGAAATCTGCCTTCCAACGAAGACCAGTGCTCAGTAGAGGAGCAAACAAGATACGAAGTGTCGTGTCTTGCGTCAGAGCCGTTCGTTCGCATGTAACGTGCGACACCTGCGGGAAAACGTATATTTCTAGCATATTCGCACTTGTGCTTTCACTACGTCCAAGAAGGTCCAATAGACCCAAGAAGGCGCCAAGACGGCCCAAGAGGGCCCCAAGACGGCCTCAGACAAGACGGCCCAAGAGGGCCCCATGACGGCCCTAGGAGGGGGTCCAGAAGGAGGAACCCGGACGGAAATTTCGAGCCTTCGGTCTGAAGGCGCCCCCAGGTTTCGCAAAGAGGCTCCAAGAGGCCCCCAGTGAGCCCCAAGAGGGCACCAGCAGGCCTCCAAGAGCCCTCCTGGAAGCCTCCAACAAGCCCAAAAGCTGCCTCCAAGATGCCCCCTAGAGGCCCCACACGAGACCCCATCAGCCATCCGAGTGGCCTCAGACCCACAACCCAGGCACGGTGGCGGCCTGGGTCCGTATCCATGCTGTCTGGAGACCTTTATGGGCAATTGTACTGCCCCCTGGGCACGTTTTAAAGCCTTCTTGGACGCCTTCTGAGACGTGGCCGGATCCCCGGAACTCGCGGTTCAACGAGCACCTGTTCGGGTCCTCGGAACCGCTGGTTCAACGGACACCCCTGAAAGGACTCGACGGAACCAACGGGTTCAACGAGCTCCCTGCAAGGTGCTGGGAACCCACAAATTCAACGCAAAGCCGTCCGACCACAAACCATACTTCAGTGCATCGCCTTCGCCGTCGCCGACGCCGTCGTCGTCCCCGAGGCTCGTACTTGAGCCCTAGGAGGACGTCGACGAAGACGACGACGACGACGATGACGACGACGACGACGACGACGACGACGACGACGACGACGACGACGACGACGACGACGACGATCGCGCGGCGGTGACGAAGACGAGGACGAAGGTGCGACGGCGACAGGCGGCAATCGAAAGGCCTCCAAGAAGCTCAAGGAAGCCTGATACTACCCTCCGATGACCGCCCATGGAAGCCCTAAGGCGCACTCAGGAAGCAAAAGCGACGCTCCCCAGACGTACCGGAAAGATCATGGAGACCGTACTACAATAAAGGGGTCGGCGGATGCGGCGTAAGCCTGTTGAGTAAATGAGATCCCCATCAAGCGAACCCAATCGAAGAAACAAGGCGCTTTGAGTGGTAAGTATTCAAGCCCGTTTCTATCCTTTCAATGGACTCCCATGGGGGGTTCGGCCAATTCCGCTGGCCAACCGCAAAAACAGAGAATACTTAATATCCTTAAAACTCGCCTCCACGAAGACCGCGACCAAAATGGCCCAAGATTGCGCCCAAGTCGGTCTCGCAACTCTTCCAGGACGGCCAATATGGCCTCACATGGCCTTCAAGACGCATCTAGGACGACCAAGATGACTCCAAGACGGCCCCAGCTGGCCTCAAGACGGCCCAAGAGGTTCCTGGCACAGCTCCGAGAGAGTATCCAGGAGGGCCCGAAGCAGCCAGCGATTTGACAACCCCCATGTTTTGAAAGATGTTCGCGCGTTCTCGCCCAAGTGGGAGAAGGAGAGATAGAGAGGGAGGGGCTGGAAAGCCCGACAACCAAGGCGGGGCCAACCACAATTGGGGGTGCGGACAATGGAAGGAGCAGGCTTCTGAGGAGCCCTCCTGGCTTCTGAGGCACCCTCCCAAAGGCCTCCGATCGCCTCTTGAAGCAAGGTCCGGGTGACGAGAACGCTGGGTTCGGTTCGGACAAACTGGCGGAATATGTGAGGCCTGACCGCCACGGCCGTTCCAGAGCAGCTCAGCGCTTCGAGGGCGATCCAGAGCCCTCTGTCGTGGAGGGTTTCTCCCAAGAGCTTCGGCGACCCACCTCCTCCTCCTCCTCCTCCTCCTCCTCCTTCTCCTCCTCCTCCTCCTCCTCCTCCTCCTCCTCCTCCTCCTCCCCCTCCTCGCCCTCCCCTCCTCGGGTCGATAAACGGCCCCAGGGGGAAACCGTCCACTCTGGGGCGGTGCGTCATCATCGCCGTCCTGAACGGGGGAGGCTTTCCCCTCTCGCCCGCTCCACTCCGGCGCGCCGCAGACAGGCGGGCCGCGGCGCGCCAGCTCGCAGAAGAAGAAGAGGGTGCACAGCAGCCCCAGGATCTTGGTCGTCTTCGGCTCGGTATCGTCCACGGTCAGCCACTGGGGGGCCACTCGTCTCTGCTCCGGCCACGTGCTCCCGGGCCTCCAGCCGCGCCGCCCGCAGAAGGTCCCGACCGCAGACTCGCTCCTCGACTTCGGCCTCCGGAGGGCCCTCGCCAGGCCCTGGATGCCCACGGCCTGGGCCGAAGAAGCGGCCCGGGGGGAGAGAGGTCGCGAGCTCTGGCCGAGGCCCAGGTCTCGAGGAGCTCGTGCCAGAGATCAGGGTCTCTTCGGGCCGGGCGAAAAGGGGGGGACAGCAAAGGGGGGGATTGAGAATCAGCTCACGCGGCTGACTTTCCTGGCGCCTCCCGGCGCCGGAGGCGGCCATGTATCGAGGAATGGGCCCCTCGGTGGGGCCGAAACTAGCTGCATGCAGCAGATTTCGTACCCCCCCCTTTCCCAATCCCCCCCTTTAGTCCGGCCCGGTCTCTCTCGTCCCCTCTCCCTCTCCGCCTCGCAGCCACGAGCAAGCCAGCTCCTGCTCGCTGGGTGCACGCGTCGGAGGACTTGCCGTCGCTCGGACGCCCACTCCCCGTGTACCGTTCGGTTTCGCGCGCGCTGATGTCTTGCAAGATGATCCAGGCTGCTCCTCGAGGGTCCTCGCCGAAAAAATTGTACGAGGTGCCGAAAATAGAGGATGCTCCTCGAATCCCGCTGGAGGTAGAGGTGCTGAAAAGGATGCTGCTCGAGGGTCCTCGCCGGAAAAAAATATATCCCACTGGAGGTAGAGGTGCTGAAGAGGTGCGTTTCCAGAAAGGAGTGAAGCGATGCCTGCGTTCTGAGAGTCCCGTTGAGGGCCTCCTGGGCCGTCCCCGGGGGCCTCTGGAAGCCCTCGGAGCTCTTCGGGAGCGGCCAAGAGGGGGGTGTCCAAGAGGGGGGGGTGCAAATCATGACAGGCGGCATGTGCGCGGCCCAGCGGGGGGGCCAGGGGCGTAGTGAAATAGGAAGGGGCGCCATGAGATCTGGGGCAAAAATCGTGGCCCCCGCCATGATATCCCCCCCCCCTAGTCATCACCCCCCTCTTTTCCGCCCCCAAGCTCTCCTGGCAGCCACCCTGGAGGCCTCTCGGGCTGTGTGTGCTTTCGCCCTCTGGAGCTCCTCTGGGGCCGCGTTGGGAACATCTGGGCCGCGGGCCAGGCGGGCGGGCGGGCCACCTGGGCCGTCCTGGGGGCCTCCTGGGCCGTCCTGGGGGCCGTCCTGGGGGCCACCTGGGCCGTCCTGGGGACCTCCTGGGCCGCACTGGGGGCCTCCTGGGCCGTCCTGGGAGCCTCTGGAGGCCCCCGGAGCCACCCTGGAGGCCTCTCGGGCGGTGTGTGCTCTTGCCCTCTTGCGCTCCTCCAGGGCCGCGCTGGGCTCCTCTGGGCCGCGGGCCAGGCGGGCCGGCGGGCCACCCGCCGCCCGCCTGGCCCGCGGCCCGGGCACCCTGCGCACCCCTGCAGTCAAAAACCCTAATGAGGACGCGCGGTTCAGTCGGTGCGTTGACCTAAGGAACCCTAGATAAGGAACGGGGCCCCTTCCTCCCATAAGTTAAACTTCGATTTCCCATGGAAAACCTCAGGAAAACCCGAGGCAAACTTTGAAACAATCAAGGAACACCAAGCCCCTCCCCAACGAAAAGGGTTCCTTCTTCAGCGCCCCGACTGTAGGGACGCAAGGCCCTTGGAAGCCGAAGTTGGGATTTCTGGGGTGGCGGGCGACGAAAACCTCACGGACGCAAGAGCGCAAGGAAGGGCCAGGACGCAAGGGTACCCTGAGCAAGGTCGCGCGTGCTTCGGGTTCTTGACCGTACCCCATCACGGCGCCGCAGGACCCGCAGCGGGCGGGCACTGCCTCCACCAGGGCGCCCCCCCCCCAGCGCGGGGGCAGGGCGCCGCGGTCTCGGCGTCGCTGCGCTGCCCGGGCCGCGGGGCCCAACCTCCTCGCCCTCCTCTCCCAGGTAAAGAGGGGAGGAAAGTACAGAGGGGATCGAGGAGGATGAGGGTGGAGGAGAGAGGAGGAGTCGACCGCGGGGGTGGTGTACATTCTCGGAGCCCGCAGGGATCGCGAGCTCGTCCACCAAGTTGGAGGGCTTGCCGTCGACTCGGCCCCAAGTCTCAACGGTCTACGGGAGTCCCGTAGACCGTGGCTGCGGCGCCATGGCCTTGCGGGCGCCGCGTCGTTGCGGCAATGCTGGCGCGCCCGGACACTGCGGGAAGGAGTTGCGATCCTGTTCGAGCGTGTGCTCACGAAGGCAGACGTCATGTGCGCAAAATGCCTTCTTGTTTTTCCCAGCGCCCCCTGCTCCGCGCCTCCGCGCAGGCCTCTAGGGTGTGACCCCTGGGCGTTTTCGATGCGGGACGACGGACTTGCCTGAAGGGGCCCTGGGACACACAAATACATACACACAAATGGAAGGATTCCCAATCTTTTCCCATCTTATCTGGGTTTTTGCCTTCCCCCCCACTTGCCATATTTTCCAATATCTTCTGGGGAATCGACGATTAATTGTGTCTGTGTGTTTTTTCCCCTCCGGATTGCCCCCCCGTGCCCGGGCACCGGGGCCTCCTCGCGCTGTGCGCGCCTGCCCCGGCGGCCGCGCCCGGCGTCGCGGCGTGCCGCCGGCAGACCGCGCGCGGCCCCGCGGCGACGCGCCGCGCCGTCGAGAGGGCGCTCCGGGGCCGCCGGGTGCCCGAGCAACTCCGCATCCAGAGCGGCTTCCCTCCTCCTCCTCCTCCTCCGCCTCCTCCTCCTCCTCACCCTCCCTCCCTCCCTCCCTCCCTCCCTCTCTCTCTCTCTCTCTCTCGCTCTCGTCCCGGCCAGAGAGGATCCTTCGCGATGCCAGGCCCAGGCGCCTGGCCCCGCCGGTTCTCACTGCCCTGGCGACGCTGCGCGGTCTCCGGACCACTTGTGGGGCCCCCCCACTTCACCGTTCCTCTTCGCGCCCGCGGCCGCCGTGCCATGGCAGGCCGCCGCAGCACTTGTGGGGCTCTGGCCAAAAGGGTCCACGAATCCAGGCTTGCTCGCAGAGGTGCCTGCGTGACTGCGCTCCAAGACGCAGGAGCTGATCGTGCGACTCCAGCACTCGGCTTCGGCCAGTTCCTCGCCGTCGCCTTCTCCAAAGTCGACCGCCGCGCCCGACCGAGCTACGCAACGCTCTCCAGCGCCTACGCGGGTGCCACAGGTACGAAGAAGCAGAACGGATGCTCACCCAACTCCACAGGCAAAACCAACCACTGGCCCTTGCTTGCGGCTTTGGGGCCAAAATACCCCCAGCACCCAGGGGGCTGGGATGGCCACCCTCGTGCTGCGCCGCGACGCTTCGGCCGCAGAGGCACACGCTGCGCGCGTAGACGGCGCGGCCTACCGGCTCAGTTCAGCACCAAGGGGGCGGTCTCACAAAAGACGCTACCCTGGAAAACCCGAGGGTTGGGGGAGAGCGCGGGGAGCGCTGCGCGTTGGGTAGGCACGCGCCCGCGGGGGGGGGCGAGCGGCGCACTCGTCGCTCGCCGCTCCCCGCGGGAGCGCGCGGGTGCAGCGACACCCCGCGCCCCACCCCAACCAAAGGAGCGGCGAAGGGTGAGGGGAAACAAAAGCCGCCACGGCGGCCCGCGACGCGCGCACCGAGGGCGCCAGCCTCGCGTTCGGCCGACAAGCGCCCTCGGGGCAGCGCGCGCGACGCGGGGGTATATTTACCCTCCCCCCACCGCAGGGAGACGTGGACAAAGAACACGAACAAGACGAGGAACACGAAGTCCATGAAGACCTGAGGCGAGCCACCCCAAACGCACCCCCCAACCGACCCAACCCGCCCCACCACAGGCACCGCGGCGAACCGCGGCGCCAGCGGCGGGGCGGCAGGGGTAGAAGGTTCCCAGGTCCGCGTTTTTGTGACAACGAACAAAACTGCGTTGTGTTCTCGCCCACAAAAGACGCTACCCTGGAAAACCCGAGGGTTGGGGGAGAGCGCGGGGAGCGCTGCGCGTTGGGTAGGCACGCGCCCGCGGGGGGGGGCGAGCGGCGCACTCGTCGCTCGCCGCTCCCCGCGGGAGCGCGCGGGTGCAGCGACACCCAAGGCCCTTGCTGCACCTGCGCGCGAGGAAAACCCAACGCTGTTCTCGCCGAAGGTGTTCTATAGGCTCACAGCCACCTCAGTCCTTGTCTTCGTCGCTGGACGAAGCGCCGCCGTGCGCTTCCCTGACGGCGCTGTCCTCAAGCGCATCCCTGTCTAAATATGACAGGAAGGCGGCGGACCGCCAATCTCCGGCGCGAAGGATGTCGGCCAGCCGCGAGCCACGCACCGCCATGTCTTGGGCGTGGCCCCGACGAAAATCGTGGGTGCGATAGGCATCGTGCCGCGGCACCCCGAGCTCTTGCAGGGCCGCTCTCAACGCCGATAGGACAGCGTCCGGGCGGAAACCCGCAAAAGGCTGCTGGGCCGCGCTGTCGGCGCAGAATTTCCCCAGCGCGTGCACGGGGCACGTTGATGGACAGCGCGCGCACCAGCACGTGCGCGTCATCGTGAGCGGCGTGGCGCGATTCTTGCGCCAAAGCAACGTCAGCGAGATCGAGCCGTCATGCAGGCGTAGGCAGCTCTTCGGCTCGACCGCCCGCGGCGGATCGCCGTCCCGAGCGACGTGCATCGGCAGTGCTTCCGACGGCAATCGCAACAGGAATATGTACGCCGTCAAGAAAAGCATCTGCAGCTCGCGCCCCGATTGGTGGCGTTCGAGATGCTTCAGTAATCTGGTGAGGAGCGCCTCCCGAATAAACATCTTGGGCCTGGCCTGCCAAGTGTTTCGCGCTTGCACCGCGCGAGCCGCGCGCTCGACTGCCGGGTCGCTCAGCGCGTCCAGCGGGACGCGCAACAGGATGCAGACTAATCTGACGTGCGAAATATAGTTGTCGAATGTTCCTTTACAACGGAAGCATGTGCTCCACAATGCAAGGCCCTCGGGCGACGGCGGAATCACTTCCCCCGCGTCGCAGCCGAGCACGGTCATGGCGAAAGTCGCCCAGCAGCGGAAGGCGCTGACTACGCTGGGCCACGTTTTCGGGCCCGCGGGGGGGGGGCGAGCGGCGCACTCGTCGCTCGCCGCTCCCCGCGGGAGCGCGCGGGTGCAGCGACACCCCGCGCCCCACCCCAACCAAAGGAGCGGCGAAGGGTGAGGGGAAACAAAAGCCGCCACGGCGGCCCGCGACGCGCGCACCGAGGGCGCCAGCCTCGCGTTCGGCCGACAAGCGCCCTCGGGGCAGCGCGCGCGACGCGGGGGTATATTTACCCTCCCCCCACCGCAGGGAGACGTGGACAAAGAACACGAACAAGACGAGGAACACGAAGTCCATGAAGACCTGAGGCGAGCCACCCCAAACGCACCCCCCAACCGACCCAACCCGCCCCACCACAGGCACCGCGGCGAACCGCGGCGCCAGCGGCGGGGCGGCAGGGGTAAAAGGTTCCCAGGTCCGCGTTTTTGTGACAACGAACAAAACTGCGTTGTGTTCTCGCCCATGAAAAAAAACGCAGGCGGGCGAAAGGCGAGCGGATTTCCCGAAGTTGGCGTCGCCGGCCCCTGGGTGGGTCACGTCGCGAGTCAGCACAGATTCCCCGATGCGTCTTCGCCAGAAGGAGTGGGTCGGTGCGACGAAGACAACGATGATGACGAACTGCGGAAACTGAGCCCCGTGAGCCTCATGGGCCCTGTGAGTCCTCCTGCGAGCGGAGAGAACCACGCGTGCATCTGGCGCTCCGGGAACCAGCGCGGGGTCAGTCAGCCTCAGAAGAGCAGCCGGCAACGCGCGCCACCCCCGATGCCGCGCGCGAAGGAAGCACATGTAAAATTGGGACTCTGGGAGCCAAGGCGCGGCAGGTCAGCCTCGGAGGCGCAGCGAGCGACGCACGCTGCCCCCCAAAACGCGTGAGACAGACCAGATCTAGATTTGGGATTCCGGGGGCCAGCATGGGGTCCTTTGGCTTGAGACCAGCAGCGGGCGGCGCGCGCCGCCCCCGGAACGGAGCTCACCCGGGAAGCTCACCCGCCTGGCTGGAAAAATCGCCGCACGGAGCCCTGCCGTGCAAGCGTTCTGGGGGGGAATGGCGAAGGCGCTTGCTGAACCAGTCAAGCGTTTTGGGGGGGAATGGCGAAGGCGCTTGCTGAACTAAGTCCCCTCCCCTCCATGGATGGGGCCTTCCCAGGGCCCTTCTGGTCCTCGACCTTCTGAGCGTGTGCCCCGCTGCCTTCCACTTCACCGTTCCCTCGACCCCGCTGGTTCTGCTCCTGCCCCGCGGACAAGAGAACCTGCGCCTCGCCCGCCCCGGGCGCAGACCAAATTTACGTCGGGCCTGTCCCCCTACAGGGGGGCTTTCGCCGAAAAGTAAGAAATACCCCAAAAATACCCCCAAAAGGGCAACAAAAACATGCAAAAAATAGTCCCCAGACTATTTTTTGAGCATTTTTTGTTTTTTTTTTTTTCGCCGAGAATCCCCCTGTAGGGGGACAGGCCCGACTTAAAACTAAATCGGTTCAGTGGGAACAAAAAGACACCGCCTGTGAGCCGGGTGTCCTGATGGGCCCTGGTGGCCTGGTGGCATGCGAGCACGTGCTCGTTCGAGCCTCGTGAGCTCCGACGATCAGGGAACTGCACATGACGCCACAACCGGTCTCAAGACTGGTAATCCCCGAGAACGGGCAACGGAACTGGTCTGCATTGCTTATAGCAGAACTCTCATTTCCTCCCGCCTCCTCCTCCTCCTCCTCCTTCTCCTCCTCCTCCTTCTCCTTCGTTGGCGTGATTTCGTGTGCTGGATCTGCACGTCGCAGACGACGCTACAATATCGCATCCTCGCCAAAGAAAAAGTTGCTGCCTGAACCTCGTAACCAATTATGATGGAGTTGTTGATGATCATTATAGCGCAGAGCCTTACATGCAGCGAAGGGGTCATCCAGTCGCGAGATTGCTGGAAACGATGTGAACATGCATGATGAGTGTAAAGAGCACTACATAGCCACGAGGCCCTGCCTGACAACACTTCTGTGAATGACGGCATGGAAGCTATAACCATGCGCGCATTTCGTCTTGTTCCGGCTCGCCCTTCCCCGCGCCATCCTGCTCCTCTCCACACCACCCCTGATTATCATTCTCCTCATCGGTTTCGTGTTCCTGTCTTCCTCCCCTCTTCTCTGACACATGCGTCTCGCGCATGCACTAATGACAGAAAGAGGGGAAGCAATGACTGAGAAGCGGCAGGGATAGAGGGGAGGAGGGACCAGATAGGAGGGACGGAAACGAGGCACGGACGCCGCAGCACGCGCTTGCGCCACTAATTGCCGCGGCGGCGACGCCGCTGGCCCGCTGGTGCGCACCAGGTGGATCACGCTCGGAAAGAGGGCCCAGGAGGGGGGACGAACGATCCAGGAGGGTCCCCGGGAGGCCGCCAAGAAAGCCCCGAACGGACCCAAAATGGGACCCAAAATGAAGTTACGCGCGGGCCTCCTGGCTCCTTGGGTGACCAGTCGGGGGACTCTTGGGGCCTCCAAGAAGGTACTGGGAACATATTGGGAGCCGCATGCGCCAGGATACTTCCCCAAAGCGATTCTTGGCTCCCTCTGAAAGCCCTCTTTGCGCCCTCTTGAGGGTCTTTCGGGGCTGTTTTGGGCCCTCATACCGGATTCTCGGGCAATCTTCGCGCCCTCTTGGACCGTCTTGGGGTCCTCTTGGGCCGTCTTGGGGCGAGCTGGGGAGCACCTGGGGCCGCCAGGGGCTGTCGGAATAGCTTCGACAAACGAGAACGCCAAGAACCTTTTAAACTAAAAGAAACATCGACGGATGCCTCCGCAATCCGTTCTGGGGGTCATCATGGGGCTCTCTTTGGGGTGCCTAGGGGGTTTCTTGGGCCGTCTTGTCTTGGGGATGAGGGCCGTCTTGAAACACCGAAAACCCGGTTTGGGCAAGTCTTGGCGGTCTTGCGGGGTTTTTGGTTCCGGCTTGAGGCGGTCTACGGCCGTCGTCACCCACCCCGGGGCTGAAAGAAGCCAAAGCAGGCCCCCAGATGCCCCAAAGAGGTCACCGAAAACCCACACACCGCACCAACATCGCCTCCGAGACGCTTCCGAGAGGACGCCCAAGAAATTCTCTCACACATCCAAGAGGCCTCTGTATAGCATTACGCGGCACAGTGTTGGAATATGGTGGCATGGCAAAATGACAGCTTGTGATTAACAAATCTGTCGGGGACGTTATTTTTTGTGTTATATATACATATATATATGTATATATATATATGTATACGTATATCGAGAATTTTGCGACTCGGGCGAATCGCAGGGGGGGCGCCCGCCAAATTGAAACGCACGGCGGCGGCGCTGGTGATTAGCGCCGACATCAGGCCGACGACAGCGACGGCGACGGCGACGGCGGACGACGACGACGCACTGCGGATGCTTCATGGAGGGGGGGGCGGGGGTGCTGCGCATGCCGCGCATGCCCGCTGTAGTCGTCAACGACGACGGCGACGAGAACGACGACGACGACGACGACGGCGACGACGACGACGACGACGACGCCGACCACGCCGACGACGACGACAACGACGACGGACGACGACGCACTGCAAAAACCACGATGACGACGACTGCAGTCGACGACAATGACGACGACGGCGACGACGACGCACTGCAGATGCCTTATTGGGGGTTTGCTGCTTAGGCCCGCTGTAGTCGACGACGACGACGATCACGACGGCGACGCGACGACGACGACGCGACGACGACGGCGGCGACGACGACGACGCACTGCGGATACGGCATTGGGGGGGGGCGACCACGACGACGACGACAAAGAAGACGGCGACGGCGACGACGTCGATGGCGCCGACGACGACGACGACGGCGACGACGACGCCTGAGAGGGGGATAAAAATCGCCTCGGATGTATACGACCCCACCACTAACGTCTAAGCGAAAGGCAATCGTTTGGAGGCTGCCATGCAGGGGGGATACACGATCCCCTGGGCGACGATTTAAACAACTGTTGTTGTTTCGCGCCCCGCGGGGTCTATTCAACAGCGCCCGGGTGGGGCGGGCATCATTTCTTAAGCAAAAGCTGACATTACACAGAGCGTCATCATACCACATCATAGCATCAAGGTACGTTGACATCGGGCCGAGGCATAACACAGTATACATATCACATCAAAGCATAGCACGCGCATGCCCCAAGTAGCTTAACCCGTACCACCCAAAACCAAACAACACGCCAGCCTGTTCCGCCCCCCCTCCCACACAAGAAACACCGAGACAATCAGCATGATCTGGAAAGGGGGCATTGGGATCCTGGGACCCATTTCGCCTGTTGGTTGAAGGAGCCCAGGAGCCTCGAGTATATACATATATATAGATATCGAGCATTCTTCGCATTCTGGGAGACACATGCGTCTGTCTGCTTACTGCATGGAAAGTGTTGCGCATGTGTGCATGGCACCGACATGTATTTTGGGGTCCACGCACCAGGACCGCTGATCTACCCTTAGCAGTCTAAGAGCCCGCAGACGCTCGCGTGCTAGGTAGGAGCGTCTCCCCGTACATATGCACGCCGTCCCTGGCATTGAACTGATCGGGGCCAGTTCAGCGCAGCCGCGTTCGCGCCGAGCGCCGCGCGTGTCGAATAGCCCGTGCTCCACGACCTTCTGCAGAAAAGTACGTCCCATGTAACTATTGGCACCGCCCTTGATCTTCTTCTTCCGGCGTTGGTTCAGTTTGTCCACTACTTTTCTGAGGCAGGGCGGGGACGGTGGAGGTAGAGGATCACGATAAGCAGAAACACGAGAAGCAGGATGACGCCAGCAGAAGAGCAGAAACTGGACGACGGGGGAATCAGGACGAGGAGCTCAGAATGACTTCGCGGCCGAGAGAGAGTGAGAGCGGCATGTGATATACCAGAGGCAGGTCAACAGAAACAAGAAATTCAACATTCTCTGACAACTCCCGAATCGTTGGGTGAGCTTGGACGCAGACGAGCCCTGAGGTAGAGCCAACATACAGTAGCCGTCGCAGCAGAGGAACTGCATGATCAAAGAATAGCAAGGAAACGTAAGGACTCGAAGCCGTCCGAGCTGGGGGCTGGACCGCGCATGGCGCTCCTGGAGCTCTCGTCCAAAGCTGGCCGCGCTCGTGCCCCCGAAGACGGAACACGCGAGGAGAGGGCGACGCCATCACTTAGGCCTCCCCTCCTCCTCCTCCTCCTTCTCCTCCTCCTCCTCCTCCTCCTCCTCCTCCTCCTCCTCCTCCTCCTCCTCCTCCTCCCCCTCCTCCTCCTCCTCCTCCCCTTCCTCGGGAGGGGAGAAGTCCCTCTACACCCATCCCAGCCTCCACGAGCCTGCTGTGGGCCCGTGCTTCCGGTCGGCACCGTGGGGGAGCCCGACCCCGCGAGGCCTTCCACGGGAGAGCCGCCCAGCCCTGCGAGAACCCAGGGCGTCCCTGGAGTTTTGGCGTGGGGACGTCACGCGCTCCGTAGCACAGCCACCAAAGCCCGAGAAACCAAGGGCACCCTGGAGGCAAGCATTACCAGCCTCGGACGTAGCCCTATCCCTAAGACTTTGACGCGCCAAACGGCGATGACAATCTCAGGGATCCGCCCTCAACAAAATAAGGGGATCCCTGAGATTGGCGTCGTGATGAGGAGGTGCCCAGCATAGGGATAGGGATATGTTCCAGGCTGGTAAAGCAGGGCGCTTCTTGGTACAGGCTTCCACTGCGTTGCCTCCTGGCCTGGCCAAGGGACGAGATCAACCACGACCCGGGCCCAGACCTCCCACGGACAGCGTATGTTCCAGAAGCCCTCCCCTGGAGCTCTCCATTTCGTCCTCGACAGCTTGCCATCCGAAATTGATCTTCCACAGCACCCGATCCAGGAACGGTCCTTCAGGCGCCGGGGGATGGGACAGACAACCGGAACTCGGTGGTTGCTCGAGTCGTCGGAAGTCAGGCCTCCGGTCCGTCCTCCCGAGGGCGCACCTCGGATCCCAAAAAGTTTGCACGTGGCGTGGAGGGGGCGCAGGAGCGAAGCCCAGCTGAATGGGCCTCCCGACTCGACTGGCAAGGCGTTCGTGCCTGGGGCTCCCCGAGACCCCCCCTCCTTCTCCAGAACGGGGGGGGCTCGGAGAAAGAGGAGGAGGAGGAAAAGGAGGAGGAGGAGGAGGAGGAGGAATCCTCCTCCTCCTCCTCCTCCTTGCCCTCGTCCTCTTTTCTTGTTCTTTCCTCCGTCCTCCCCTTTCCCTCTTCCTCGCCCTCCTGCCCTCTCTTGCCCTCTTGCCGCGCCGCGCGGGGAGGAAGCCACCGAGGCGCCGGCAGCGCGAGCGAGATGGGGGAGACACACGGGTCGGGGGGGGGGGGGGCAGAGGGCCGCCCTTGCCGCGCTGGGCCCCACGCGACCGCCTGGGCGCACGATCGTACCGCTGTGCGAGCTTCGGAAGCCACGAGCACGGCGATGCTCTCTCCTCGTTCTTCTCCCCCACGCTTCCTCCTCCTCCTCCTCCTCCTCCTCCTCCTCCTCCTCCAACACCTCATCTTTGCTGCTCCTCCACCACCTCATCTTTGCTGCTCCTCCTCCTCCTCCTCCTCCTCCTCCTCCTTCTCCTCCTCCTTTTTCGCTTTTCCTTCGCGCCCTTTGGGGCTCCGCGGTCCGGCCGCAGCCCCCCCCCTACTGGGGCCACGCTGGCCGGAGGTTTCTTTTCATCATCGCCGGGGCGGCTGGCGGAACGGTGCCCCCAGCCGCTCGGCGCCACCCTCCGCGGCCGGGAGCCAGCGTACGGGCGCCCGTCGCGTCGGGGCTCCCTGAGGGTGCTGGGGGCGGCGTGGTGGCCCTCCCCGAGGCGCCGCCACCGTCCTCGTCCCTGCCCCCGGGGGCAGGGGCACCGACCGCGGCACTGACCGCGACGGCGGCGACGACAGCACAGCGGCAGCAGCACCCGCGGGAGGAGGAGGACGAGGAGGGGGGAGGAGGAGAGGGAGGGGAGGGCAGAGAGCGCGGCGGCGTCCCCCATCCCAGGGCGGTCTGGCTGGGCCAGGGACTCTGCGCCCCCCCCCCCCCATTGCGCAGCGCCGGCGGCGCCGCCCGCGCCTTGCGCTGCACGGCGCTGGCAGCGCTGCTGCAGGGCTGCTGCAGGCGGCGGATAGCGAGCGCCGCCTCCACCGCCGCCTCGGGCGGGCTGTCCCCGTGGAACCAGCGCGCCCGCTGGTCGGGCTGCGCCGGGGGGGGCCCGCCGCCGTGACGCACCATCCGTCGGCAGGCCGGCGGCCTCGCCGAACTGGGCGAAGAGGCGCGCCGCAGTCTCCGGGGAGGCCTGGCAGAGCCGGCACGGCCGCAGGCCGGCGGTCTGGCCTGCCTGGAAGGAGGCCCCCCTGGAGCGCGAGGCGCGCCCACCAGGCGCGCACTGCATCTGGCGGACACCCGGCGGCCGCCAGGGCTGGGACTCCCGATTGCCGACCAGAGGTTCGCTGGAGCCCCTGCACCTGGCTGCTGTGGCTCCACCAGCGCAGCTCGTCGGCGTCGTCCAGCGCCTTGTCTACGCGCGCGCGGTGCTGTCAGTGTAGGCGCCGCCGGGCCGCCGCTCTGCTGGCCGGGTGCGCCCGCGGGGGCCTGATCTTCAGGCGCTTGAGCGCGACCGTCACCGCCTCTCCCCACGAGCCCAGCGCCTCCTCTGATAGGCGAGGACCCCCCGCGCCCCCACGACTCGCACCAGGGGTCCACGTCCACCCTGATCTTCACCATGAGCGCCATCTGCTTGTAGTCCGTCGAGAGCCGCGCTGGGCCCACCCCAGCTGCTCCAGAAGCGCGCCGCGGGGCAGCGGCCCCGTAAGTCCAAGCACGGCGCGGCCCCACTCCTCTTGCAAGCGGTTGACCTCCCGCTCAAACTCGGGCAGGTGATAGCAGGGTTCTGGCCTCCAGGCATGCCCGCAATTGCCCCTGCACCGGGGGGCCGCCGTCTCGAACTACTCCCAGGCAGCGATAGGAGTCCACGGAGGCTACGTCTCCGCATGGCCTGGCATCCCGCAATCCGCGTGCAAGGGATGCCGTCTTCGAAAGCCATGCCTGAGATGCCCCCGGTACTTTTTTTTGAACCTTGTATCAGGGCCTGCGCTACCAGCCCGCAGTGGCCCGCGAGGACGCCTTGTCCCGCAAGTCATCCACGAAGGACCGGGCCCCGACACGGGTCTCTGCTGTGCCATCGACCGATGCCAGTCGCACATCAGCCGAGGACGCGCTCGCCACGACGTGCTCCCAAGTAGCTCTGGCCGCCATGAGCACGCACCACTGGTCCACCTCCTCGCTATCCAGCTCGTCCACGTCCGAATGATCCCAAGCCGCGCGGTAATGGGGCCGGGGTCCAGGCCAATCCCCTGGCCGGTCCGCTCCTGCAAGTGAGTCCTCAGCCTTGGCGGCGTTGTCTGCGCGGTAGAGCGCTGGGCTGAGCTTCGTGCCCTCGGGCATCCCCCTGGGGTCTGATGGCGCGCGACCTGCAATTGTGCGCCGCAACCTGGATGATAGTGCCCGCCAGCATTGCCTCCAGCTGGAGCCATCCCCGGCCAACGATGGCTGCGCGGCGGTTTGCTGCCACCAGCGCCCATCGCCTGCACTGGGAAACGAAGGCCTCTGCCTCGTCGGCGTTTGCTTCCGCCACCGGCTGGTCCTGGCTGGCGCAGAAGCTGTAGCATTCGAAATCGAGCAGGGACGCCACCAGGAATTTGCCCCCAGATTCCTGGGTCGACGGGATGGTTCCTTCGATGGCCGCTGGGTGCCTCTGCGCCCGAAGTTCCTCCAGGGCTCTGCCCTCCGCCAAGCACAAGGCCAGGACGCGGAGGCCCGTGTAATCCAGGCGGCTTCTCCCGGGCTCTGTTCTACAGTAGTTGTCCTGGAAGAAGCAAATCTCCGCCGCCACCCCGAAACGTCGGCTCAGCGTCATCACGATGAGGGAGGAGGGCATGAATTATCTCGACGTGGCCGTCCAGCACTGCTGCGCATGGGATGCCCCGGCAGCAAGCCCCGCGGCGGATCTGGCGCAGGCCGGCTTGGAGTTCCTCCAGTGTGTACAGCCTCTGCTGGGGCCCACGCCGCCAAGTCTCGCCGCGCTTGGGCGCGGAGGTCCGCGACCTCGGCGTCCAGTCTCGCACTGTGGCCTGCGTTCCGCTCATCGGCCCACGGCGGCAAGTCTCGGCAAAGGATGCAGCGGGCCGCTCCTTCCACAGCTGCCGCAGTCCCCACGTGGAACGCCCCAGGCTTCTCCGGGTCCCGCACGACCCGCGGGAGACCCAACCCTGGCCCGTGGGTCAGCCCCTTCAGCGCGGCCGCGGCTCCCTGCGGACTCTCGTCGAGGAGCGCCCCGGAGCTTGGCGCCAGACTCTGCCTGCCCCGCCGCGCGCGCCTCCAGTCGGGCGCTCCGCAGGCGGTCCCGCGCGGCGCTGGCCTCGCCGGGCGACGCGCCCCGCGCGATCTTTGCTGCCAGCGCGCCGGACGCTGCCGCCTCCCCTGCAGCTGCCCCGTGGGTGCGCCGAGGGGGTTCGCGCGCCGCGGCCGCGCAAGACCCGCCGCCAGCGCCGTCAGCAGGAGGCCCGGCCGCCACGCCCGCGCCGCCAACGCGAGTGAGTGCAGGAGCCCAAGCGCGCCGAGTCCTGCCTGCCCAGCTGGTTCGGTGCAGGCGGTCTTCCCAATCCGCCCGGAGGGCCTGGAACTTGCCGTCGCTCGGACGTCCATTTCCCGTGCATTTTTTGTGGTTTCGTGCGTTTTTTGTTGCTCGATGGTCTAGGATGGTCCTCGATGGCTCTCGCTGAGAAACATGCACACGTCCGAGCGATGCCAGGTGTCCTGCCTGCCCAGCTGGCTCGGTGCAGGCGGTCTTCCGCCTCCGCCCGGAGGGCCCGGAGGAGCCCGGCACCAGCGAGGCGTAGAGGAGGCCGAGGGCGTCGTGCCAGCCGGCGGCGCCGCCCGCGGAGTGTGCAGCACGGGCTCCCCGCCCTCGGCCGCCGCCTCTTACGGGGGGCGTGACCCACATCACTTGCCATCGCTCGGACGTCCATTCCCTGTGCATTGTTCGGTTTCGTGCGTGTTTTTCTTGCTCGATGGTACAGGGTGCTCCTCCAGGGTCCTCGCCGAGGAAAAATGCACGCGTCCGAGCGATGCCAGGATCGGGGGTGGTGGTCCAGGTCCCTAGACATCCGACGTCTCGATTTTTTCGAGACGCAGGCCCCCGACCTCTCGACCTTTTACTCGGGACCCGTTTTTCATCCCGAGTCGGTTTCATGACGGTCCCGAGGCCCGGCGAGGGCCCCGAGAGCCCGAAAACGACGGAAAACCTCCGCCTCGATTTGTTCGAGACGCCCGATGTCTGGGCGGGTCGCGCGAGCCCAAGGGCTCAGCTCTGCAGCGGCACGCAGGGTGGGTGCAGCCACCCTTGGTGCAGTGGGCACCGTCGCGAGGAGCAGCGCGCCAATGCCCCGCCCGTCGGGCCCCCCCCACGCACGACGTCCAGATGTGCCTGCCTCCCGCGTGGGTGAGCTTGGTCTGCTGGGCTGCTGCCGACGAGGCCCCACCTTGCGAAGAGGCCCCGGACCTGCTCCTCGATGTCGGGGCCCGGGCTGAGGTCGCCCGCGGTGTGCACTGCCGCCGCCTCGCTGCGAGCCGCGCGCCGCGCCGTTCTCGCATTCTGCGAACAGGGCCCCGACCACGTGGCTCTGCTGCGCTTCGTTGCTGCCGCGCTTCCGCGGCGGGACGCTGAAGCCGCACCAGTAGGCTCTTCCTCCTCCCTGTCCTCCTCCTCCTCCTCCTCCTCCTCCTCCGCTTCCTCCTCCTCCTCCTCCTCCTCCTCCTCCTCCTTCTCCTCTCCATCTTCTGATTCCTCCCCCCTTGGCATGGGTGAGACAAGGGCCAAGAGGAACAAAAACTGGTCCTATGCCCCGGGGCTTTCCCTGGGACCGCCTTCTCATCCCGAGCCGCTCTCTGACAGAGCCAGGGTCCAAGAAAAGCCCTGGAGCCACGAAACAACGAAAAGCATCATGACCCCTTTTCCACAGGACTTCGGTTTGCGTGTGGTGTTTTGCCTGGCCGCCTAGCCTGCCATGCCAGAGGAGAGGACCAACAGGCGTGTCTTGGGGAGCGCGCAAGGGAGAGAGAGAGAGAGAGAGAGAACGAGAGAGAGAGAGAAAGAGAGAAATAGAGAGACAGCAGCATAGAGAGAGAAAGGGATAGAGAAAGAGAGAGAGAGAGAGAAACGGAGCTATGCATCTCTATACTTGTGTACTAGAACCTCGCGCGCGCTTCGCAGGCTTAGGTTATAGTCGAACTCGGCTCCTATGCCGTTGCTGCTCCTCTTCTTCTGCCTCCTCCACAGCCGTGCTACAACGGCGGCTGCGACGGTGACGGCAAGGAGGCACAGACAGATCCGGGTATAGTGGGGAAGAGGGAGCGAGGAGGACAAGCGAGGGGAACAGGCGGAGGAGGAGTGGGGGAAGAGGCTGGAGCAGGAGGATTAGGAGGGAGATCAGAAGGAGAACGGTGGAGCAGAATAGGGAGAGAAGAGTGAGAAGGAAGAGCGCAAGGAAGAGGAGCAGGAGGAGGAGGATCATATTGAAGAGGAGGTAGCGGCGACACGACAGTAGAGCTTGTGTGTGTGAGAGAGAGAGAAGCAACAAACAAACAGACAGGATGAGGACGCGGAGGAGGAGGAATAGGATGAGGAAGACAAGGGAGAAAGAAGGGAGGGAGGAAAACTACCCCCCACAAGCGGGAATCACTTTCAAGACAACGTGTCCCTACACCTCCTGCTCCCTTGCCATCCGCATCGTCATCCTCTGAACTCTCCCATTTCCTCCAGCGCATCCTCGTCAATATGCCAGTCCTCCTCCTCCTCCTCCTCCTCCTCCTCCGCCTCCTCCTCCTCCTCCATAGTGTCGTTGTTTCCGCGAGGCCTCTTGTAAAGCTGCTCGGGGTACTGTCGGAGGCCCCCCCCACACACACAGAGCCTTTTGGACGCTTGCCTGGGGTATCGAAAACCATCACAAACAGCTTGATGGGCCATCTTGAGGGCGTCGGGTGAGTCACTGGGGGCCGCTTGGAAGCCTCTTGGGGGTTGGCTGGCGGGATCGGCGTCTTTTGGGGCACCTCTTGAAGGTCACTTTGGGGCGTCTTTGTTACAACTGGGAGACCTTTTGAATCGTCCAGGGTCACTATTGGGCCATCTTGGTACCTCTGGGTCCCTTTGGAGCGGTCTGAAGGGTGCGTGGGCCGCGTTGTGCGATCGGGATCCAAGAAGAGCAGGAGCGGTAAAATCACTCGGGAATCATTTGCAGTGGCACCAGGCGCGACCCAACAGCCCAGATACTTCCCCCCCCCTCCACGGTCCAAGCATGCCAGTCGGCCTATGGGGGAGAATTGCTTGGCACGCCAGCGATGATGGGTCGTGGCTGTTTTTCCAGCCGCTTGAGGAACCACTGATCACAAACGTTCAATACGTTACAACAATTTTTGGCTGAACCAGCAATTGCGCTTTGGCAGCTGCTGGCTGTGGCCTGAAGGTGCAGGAAGCACGGACGACCTCCTGCGATGACAAAGCCTAGCAAGGTAGGCGACAGAAAGCACGAAACGTGTATCGCATTGATCGTGGTCGCGGGAACTTTCATCAGACAGCAGGCTCACTCTGGCACGTGGGTTGACGGCACAACTCACGGACTTCCCAGGAACCCCCCGTGCCTCGCTGAACACGCATTCTGAGTGGGACGAGTGCGGAGAAACTGACGTGCGGACGTCATCAAGAGGTCCCCAGCGGTAACGGCACGACTTGCACACCACATGCAGTCGAGCTTTCTTTCCGCCCATCGAATTGGTCAGAGACTGCGCTGGCCAGGGCGGATTGGTCAGAATGAATGTCTTGCGCTGGGGCGGACCAGCACACAACTCTGGGCAGTGCGAACTGACCGAACACAAAAGCAGCCGCGGATCAGCGGTGTCCACTGGGTCCACTGAGAACCTCAAAAAATGAGCCAATACCGCTACGGAATGTTAGACATAAGAGAGGGAGAGAGAGAGAGAGAGAGAACACAAACAAACGCAAATACAAAAAAATCGCCGGCCCAACGGGCCAGAGGCGTGCTAAGATCTTTGGTAACTGGCTAACAATATTTCTAGTTCGCGCGCGCGCGGGGCGGCCCCTGGGGGTCCCCGGGCGAAAAGTACCCAGGGCGAAGCCCAGGAGGAGACCCCGGACCAAGCAATTTTTCGACACCCCTCACGAGGATCGTGGCCTCCGAGGGGGGAGCCGCAATCGACTACCCCCTCCAGCCCCAAGAGGCCCACAAGAGCCCCCCAAGAGGCCCTGGGGGCCCCCAAGACGCCGCCAAGGAGCCCCAAGAGACTCCCAAGAGGTCCCCAAGAGGCCCCCAAGAGGCCCTAAAGAGGGCTCCAGGGCCGGCGGAATGAGCGAAGCGATTAAATCACAAGAGAGATAGAGAGAGAGAGAGACGAAACAATGGAGAGATGAGGGATGAACGAAATGAGAGAGAGGTGGTTCAGCACATCCTCCACCCACTTCCGCCTACCTTCCCCAAAGCTGCCTGGTGACAGCTGGTCCGATTACTTCTTCGATGCCCAGCAGGGCCTCACCAGCCGGCTTGTCACCAAAAGGTTTTGGATGGCTTGGAGACTCGAGAGAGGCCCCAGGCGCTCGAGACATCATAAAACGGCCCGCTCACCCGGAGCCACCTTTGGACTCACCGAACGGCGTGGTTTTAGAATTTCCAGCCCCTCCTCCCCCTCCTCCTCCTTCTCCTCCTCTTCTCCTTCTTCTTGTTCTTCTTCCTCCTCCTCCTCCTCCGCCTCCTCCTCCTCCTTCCCACCGCATGTGGATGGCAGGCAACTCCTCCTCCTCCTCCTCCTCCTCCTCCTCCTCCTCCTCCTCCTCCTCCTCCTCCTCCTCCTCCTCCTCCTCCTCCTCCCCCCCCCGCGCACGCTCCCACGCGCCTCTGTTCTACACCCTTCATCATGGACGCCACCTGCGACGTCACCTGCGCCGCGATCTGCAGCTCCAGGTTGCTGCCCTGAGGTTCGAGAATCGAGGTTGTGATGCTTGTTTCGGCTTGGGCCTCTGGATGCCTCTGGAAGCAGGAAGCGCCACAGACCTCGGGATAACTCCGGAAACTTTCAGTGGACGGGCCTGTCCAGGCAAGTGATTATATAGTGCTGGGGGCGAAGATCTGATGCCTGGTATCTGGCATGCCGCGTCCCAGTGACTGTAGGGCTTATGCACACCAACACTATGAGCGCCAAATTGTCAAAGTTCTCATCCACGCACTGGTTGTCAATATCATGTCAGACTCCGACGCCCTACACTGAGTGTGTGAGCACTGGAGAAGCGGAAAGATGTGGCAACTCGCTCTGAACAGAAATATGCTCTATAGATCTCTCAGTCGTATCGTGGTCGTGGTCGCGCAGCAGAGGCAGAGGTGAGGTATGACAGACGCGGCGTGTGCTGAACGGTGCGGCACTTACGCACGGGGCTTTCGGGAGCCATCCCTTCATGTAAGCTGACATGACCCGACTGGCCGAAACGCCAATCAAGCATACGTAGCCCGTGATGGCACGGCGCTACTGGGAAGCCCTGGAACACTTCCTCATGTACAAATGTTTGCAACAACTGGCCCTTTGCTGCCTAGTGCGGCGACGGTTGTCGCTCTGTCATGTCGCCTGTCTGCTTGCAGTGGAGAGATGTTGCACACAAGAATGACATCCTAGCCGCGGAGCACCAAAAGTTAGACACCAGTCCGTCAGACTGCACATCGCCACACAGGCAAGATCGTGCAAGAGTGACGAGGAGGACGGATGAGAAAGACGGAGGAGGGTGACGACATCTCCCTCGTCCTCCGTGCTCCGTGCTCCGTGCTCCGTGCTCCGTCCTCCTCCTCCTCCTCCTCCTCCTCCTCCTCCTCCTCCTCCTCCTCCTCCTCATTCATATCCAACAAAAAATGAGGAGGGAGAGGTGGGAGGGAGGGGCGACGAGGGGGGAGGAAGGTTGGAGGAGGGAGGAGGAGCACAACGACGACGACTTTCACCCTCCTCTTTCCTCCTGTGCTCCATATCGGCCCCAAACCTCTCCCGCGGTGCTAGATGGCCAGAAGTTCGCACCGGGCGCAGAACGCGGCGTCCAGATCCTCGATCTTCCTCCCCGAGAACTTGGCCCCGCGGACCCAAGCCGTCTCGATCCTCGACAGTCCTCCCTAAAACTCTGTCCCCGCAGGCCCTGGGGAGTTCTCCCAAGGTCCGCAGCGGTTTCGGGAGGTCCCTGAGAAGCCTGCAGAAGTCCCAGTGCGGAGTAGAGGGCGGAATGGCCACCCTCGTAAGAAACATCCCACACAAGCGAAGCCTTCACAGTAAATGCACCTACGGAAGGACCCGAGCATGGCAGGACTGTTTAGCATACCCCCAGGACCGACTACCATTTTGGGGGGGCGGCGTGTTTTTTTTTTGTTTCCCCAGGACAAGAATCCAGAAAGGGGCAAAAAATGCCCCAGCAACCTCGATCCTCGATCCACGAGCCTTCTCAGGACATGCGCCTACGAAAGGACCCGAGCACGGCAGGACTGTTCAGTAGACCCCCAGGACCGATGACCAGTTTGGGGGTCGGGGTGGTCTCTCCTCCTAGGACAAGAACCCAGCAAAGGACCAAACAATGCCCGAGCAACCTCAATCCTCGAAGACATAATGATACCAGAGAAAAACCCAATGATAATCTTTTTAGGGCTACATGGCTATGGGGCTACAGGGCTATGAGGCATTGGGGCTATAGGGCTATAGGGCTATTACCCCTACAGAGGCAAGCTCTGATTGGGGAATTGAAGCACATCGGTCCCTCAGGGCCGCCAGCGCCGCCGCCAGGACGGCGGCGACCGCGGAGGAGGAGGAAGAAGAGAAGCATGAAAAGGACGAGGATTTGTTTGACCTCCACCGTCAGAAGGCCCACAAGCTGATTGGGCAAACATAACAATAATAACAAAAAAGGCTCGAGAGAGTCCCCGACATTCTTCGCCGAGTCCTTTCCCGAGCCTCCTCCGACTCTCAAACTTGTGGGAATCGGCGAGAGGCTTGCGCTGATCACCAAGCATAGCGCGGCGTTCTCCAGACGTGAACGCATCGCACCGCCTACGTGTACATGCGACAGGCTCACCACTGCAATCCAGCGTCAGTCACGAATGTCCAAAGCTCCGCAGAGCCTGCGGGCGAACTTTTAGGCGCTTGACGCACCTGCCGCGAAGCGGCATCAAGACCGAGCGGGCGACGCGCAGACAATAAGGGCTGGGCCCGTCTCCTCCTTCGGCGGATTCTTGACTAGTTGGACTCCGTCCAAGCGCGTCCTGGGCCACCGGGGCATGATGCTGGCCGAAAGCTACACAACAACCCTCGACACAACCACTCCAGATGGTCTACTCGGCTGTGTTCCTCCTCCGACGCATCGGGGTGCAAAGCCGCCCGCGCCAAGCTTGGCGGCCCTGTCCGCCCAGTCATTCCCGATTCGCCTGTGCAGCTCATCCAAGGACACGTCCAGCTCCAGGTGAGCAGCAACTTGACCCATGTCAGAGATAACCTCGCCGGCCAAGGTGTCGGCCTGGAGTGCAAGGCCGCGAGGCATGCGCTGATATACCAGCAACGCTCGGGTCTGGCTGAACTCTGGAGCTTGACGACGCCGCCGCGCAAGCAGACGAAAAACGCACAGCCTCAGACGCGAGCAAAAGCGGCCGCGAAAGCTGGGGCTCCGAGCTCAGTTCCCTGAGTCTTGTGAAGCCGGGCATGCCCTCCTACAGTGGGATCTTGGACGGAAAATGAAAAACATGCAACATGATAAACAAACTTTGGTGTTTCAAAATGTTTAAGAAATGCCCCGAACAAAAACTGAACATATTTTCTACTATTTCGGAATACGGTCGGGGCGTTGACCTAAGGAACCCAAAATGAGGAACGAGGCCCCTTTTCTCCATAAGTTAAACTTCGATCCCCGATCGAAAACATAAGGAACACCTGAGGCAAGCTGCGAAACACTTAAGGAACGCGGAGCCCCTCCCCAACGAAAAGGGTTCCTTCTTCAGGGCCCCGACTGTACTCCTCCTGTGGAGGCACGCGCCCGACTTAAGACTCGCCCGCGGAGAGCTGGCGGGCGGCGGGGCCGAGCGCGGCCGCCCTCGCCCGGCCGCCCGAGGCGGGCTCGGCCGCCCCCCGCCGCCCCGAACGCCCCGAGCTCCCCGCTCGGAGCACTCCTGCGCAGGCCACCGGAGGCCTCCCGGGTGGGGGCGTCCTTCTGGGTAAGAGTGACCTTTAGTGCGCGGCGTTGGGGGGGCCGCGGGAAGGCCAAATCCAGGCGCGCTAGCCGCTGCTACTGCTTCGTTCTCGGCCATCTGAGGGCCCATTTGTGCCCGCACCAGAGGTCACTCCGGCGAAGGGTCACTCTTACGTCTAGTCGATCTTAGGGGGCTGTGCACGCGGGGAAGGGGCTTCTGCGGGGTCGCGGGATTCGGCTCGTCTTCCTGTCGGGTTCCTCGTGCGTGTTGCTGGGTTCGGCTCGCGCGCAGGCGCCCTGTTCATTGGGGTCGGGGTCTAGCGCTTTTTTGCCAGCACAGGAGACACCGCCTTGGACTTGGAGGCAAAACAGTTCCTTCCCGATTCCTTCCCCCAGTCACGGAGCAGCGAACAGGCAGAAGTCGGAGTTGATCGGGTCGGAGGATCGCGCCGCATCGCCGATACATTCAATGACCCTGGGCAAGAGTGACCCTTGGTGCGCGGATTCACGGGAGACGCGGGGTGGCCAAAGCTGAGCGCGCAAGCCGCTGCTGCCGCTTCGAGCTCAGCGATCGGGGAAGCCCTTTGGGCCCGCACTCAAGGTCACTCCGGCGAAAGGTCACTCGTACGTGTAGTCGATACATCGACGATGAATCGGTGATGCACCGGCGATGCACCGGCGATACGTCGTCGACGTCGGCGATGCGTCGGCGACGTCGACGTGAAGCCAACCGGACCCCGCATCGAGTCGCATCGGCGATGCATCGGCGATGCGGCGCGACCCTCCGACCCCATCTACTCGGACTCTATCTGGGAGGCCTAGTGCCATCCCGGCAAACGTCCCCAACCAGAACGCGCTCCGAGTCGGAGGAAACGGCGAAGCCCTCCGCCTTCGACGCTGAAGAACCTGGAATATTGCTCACATGATACATCATCTTGTCCGAGGGTTCTGGGCCACCAGTCGCTGGGATGCGGGAACAGGCCTGTCCCGAGATGCAGCATTCCTGATTCCATCAGCACCCCCTGCCAACTGAAATCGACAATATTTTTTCGGGACGAGCTCCAGACCTGTTCCTCGCAAGACTTCCATGTCCCAAAGCGGTGGTAAATTCTGTCACCGGGCATTTCGCGCAGAGGGCGCAGGTCCTTTACTTGGAATCCACCTGCAAGCGCACGAGACATCTGCCACGCACCTCGGCAAGCAACGGCGCGGATGCTGCCCTTCTTCAGGCCCGAAAACGTCGTGGGTGACGAACTCTCCAAGATGGCGTCGGAACATGACCTCGGGCCAGGCGCATGTTTAGCCCCTGCTGCATGCTCATGTAGCCTGCAGGCGAAAACCCTAAGAAATGTCTTGAGGAGGCTGGGAGGGGTGGGGGCGAAGGAAACAAGGGCTGCCAGATCATCGCGAAGCCCGAAAGGCCCCTCCATCGTCCAATCCACCCGCGCAAGGCGAAGGCGCGCGGCACCCAGGGGGCCCTTGATGGTCCTCCAGCTGGGGCACGGCGCACAAAAGCCTTCTCCGTGGCTGCAGTCTGTTGAGCAGGGACCGACCGTCCCGGCATTCCTATAGTCCTACCACGAAATGTTCTTAGAACCCAGAAATGCTCGAATAACAAAAACACGGTACTTAGTACATACTCCCAGTGTGATAAGACAAGACAGTCCCAGCCAGACATGTTCTAAGAACATTTCGTGGAAACCACAAGAGGTTCTTAGAAAATGCTTTGGTAGGGCTATAGGCGAGCCAGGACGCTTCGCCACTGCTTGAGTCCGTCTGCGCCAAGCCTCGCGGGCACGACGCCCAATCGGAGGAGCCTTGCCAAGCCGGGCCGGGCCGCCTCCCAACCAGAGCAACGAGCATATGGCGATGACCTCGCCCGGCAGGCTCTGGACCTCGAGCCCTGGCATCGCTCGGACGTGTGCATTTTTTCTCGGCGAGAACCATCGAGGACCATCGAGCAAAAAAAAAAAACACGCACGAAACCGAAAAATGCACGCGAAATGGACGTCCGAGCGATGGCAAGGTGAGCAGTTCACATGCCAACGCGCCGCTGCCTTCACAAGCGCACTGCCAGGCGGGACGGGCCCCGGCACCCCAGATCCGCTTGGCCCGACTGTCCAGGCTGGCCGCCTGGCTCCTGGGGCGGGCCGTGCGACGCGAGACGTTGGCTGCCCCGGCCTTCGCCTGCTGAGGTCGTCCCCTGACTCTCCTGGACTTGCCCCCAGTGCCGCCAAACCCCAGCCAGGCTCATCACCAACTCCTCATCAGGCCCCAGAAGGAGCCCGAAGTGGTGGTGCAACGTCGAGGCGACAGCCGTAGAAGACGAGACCATGGCAGCTTTGTCCGTCGAAATCTCGGCCACCCTCATCTTGGCAATGCCAATCTGCAGCAACCCACCAGCCTCAGCGAGCCCTTGAACAACCTGGTCAAGAGAACTGACAGCTTCTGAACGGGTATCGTCGATGTGAACATCGAGGGGCACACCTTGGGGGATCGGGACGGCATCGACCGCATCCAACCCAAAGACTCTGATCACAGTGGTGGCGAGACTGCATCCCGCCACGATCCCATTGCCAGCGTGACCAGGATGGGCGACCGAGCATCATCTATCTCCCAGAGCGGTAGGCCGGCACGCGAGCGGCACTGACACCGGGTTGAAGTATGCCGCCTGCATCGGAACGTACAGAAGCGCGAGAGGGATCTGCTCTTCGTGCTTGAGCATGTCCAACAAGATGCTCGCAACCGATTGACCCTTGAGCACCCTCGCCGCGTAATCTGCGCGCTGCCTCCAAGCCATGTCCTACACCCCTTTGAACGTTCCCGCTGCCCAGTTGGTCCTGTCATGTCTAGCTTCCCACTCAAGGGCCAACGGGCGACGGGCATTGGCCCAGACGCGGTAAGGGCTCGGAAAAACGTCGATGGGTCTGAAGCCCGACGAGGACTTGGCCAGGAGGACAATGACAAGGGCCCTGAATTGCCCCAGAAAGATGCGCGGGGCCGACCAAAGAGGAAGCCTGCGCGAGCGCCGCGGAAGCCTCGTCAGAAAAGCACGCATAGTGACGCATGTGAAAGCCATCCAACCCGACCGTCGTTCTCCTCGAGAGCTTGCGCGGCAAAGTCCCGGTGGCATCAGGCTCGGACTTCGGGGTGGGTGGGTGGGGGGGGGGGGGTCGTTTCGAAAACATCGAATCTTGGGTGGCCTTTCCGGGGCCCCCCAAAGCATCCTAAGCCGCTCCGACTCGGCCCTGAACAGCTCCCCAGGGCCAGAGACAACGGGGCCGAAACGGGACAATGGTGGTCGGTCTCCAGGCAGCAGGTCAACCGTCACTCGGTGGACCCTCCCAGCCTCATCGTTCACCCCATTCAGAGGCCGCGAACTCCAGTCCTTCTTGGACTGTCCTTGGAAGACGGAGCCGCTCGCGTCCGGGACCACGGCCGCCGCGGACCTTTGCCCGAGGACGGACTGCCAAGCTTCGCCCAGGTCAGGCTCGCTAAGCCACGCGCGCACGGCGAGCTGCGCATCGGAGAAGGCGGAGGTGTAATCTCCATGGTTGGATTCGGTGAAAGAGGGGTGGGAGCTAAGCTTGGCGCTGCGCACGGCGTGGTCCACGCCAGCTTCCATAGCGCGCGGCAGAAGGAAGCCAGCGGGCCGCGCGCAGAATCGGGCACCTCGGAGAGCCGCGATCTCGGCCCAGACCGGGCCCCCACCACGTTCGGGCAGCCTTGCCGCGGGCTCCGATACGGGGAAGGGTAACATCTTGTGCCGCGCAACTCTGAAGGGGCCCTGGGACACATAAATACATACACACAAATACAAAGACTCCCCATATTTTCCTATATCTTCTGGGGTGTTGTCCCCCCCCACACACTTCCCATATTTTCCCATATTTTCTGGAGAATCGACGATTCATTGTGTCTGTGTGTTTCTTCCCCTCCTGAAACTCACGCTCAGCCCAACTGGCCAGCCTCAGCCGACCCGGGGTGGCCCACCGCGTCCCGCTGCCGAGCGCGAGCCCTCTGGCCCGCTGCTGAGCGTCTTGTGCCGCGCAACTCACACGCAGCCCAACTGGCCAGCCTCAGCCGACCCGGGGTGGCCCGCCGCGTCCCGCTGCTGGGCGCGGGCCCTCTGGAGCCCCGAGGCCACCGGCCCCTCGACCTCGCGATGGCCTGGGGGGCCACGGGCGGGCCCTAATGGGGGGTCCACGGGCCCAGACCTCCTGGCAACGTGAAAAGATCACGACGGGAGGTTTTCCGCTATTTTCGGCATCCGGGGGCCCTCGCCGGGCCTCGGGGCCGTCAAAAAACGACGCAGGATGCAAAACCGGCCCCAGGAAAGGGGTTCAGACTTCTGGGGGTCGACGTTGTGACAAAAATCACGACGTCGGGGGTCTGGGGGGATCGGCGGGGGCATTCGAAGAGCCAGCGATCGCAGCCGGCCCAGGCAGCATGAAGTTCGGATCCGAGGGCCTGTGCGGATAGAAGGCAGGGCCAGGGCGCAGCGCAGGTGAGCTCACAGCTTTCGCGCCGAGGTCGTCGTGGGCGCGGAGCGGGCAGGATGGCGAGTGGGCTCGTCGGTGGCAGTCACCTCCGGCTTCGGGTCTCGGGGCAACTCCGACGTTCCCCCCTCGGACGCTTCTTCGTGGAAATCTCCGCCGCGGATGCGCGGCAGGCCCGAAGCGGCCACTCTCGCTCCCCATGAAGTGAAGACTTCCAGGTTCCCTTCCGACAGCCCTTCGCAGTCAGGCAGACGGACCGCGCCGACGCAGAGGACTGCCCACCGCTCGAGGGGCGGGCCGCCGCCGAGGAGAAGCGCCGCGGGCCCGAGAGGGCCAGGCTCGGAAGAGGGTCGTGGGGCCCCAAGGCATCTACGGGCTTCAAGGAAGGGGCCCTGGGACACACGAATAAATACACACAAATGAAAAGATTCCCCCTATTTTCCCATACTTTCTGGGTTTGGGTCTTCCCCACCACTTCCCATGTTTTCCCATGTTTTCTGGGGAGTCGACGATCCATTGTGTCTGTGTGTGTTTCTTCCCCTCCCGATTCAATGGCCACTCCCGAGGACGGGGGCCGCCGCCGGGGCCCGGGCAAGCCATGACCCCTTCAGCATGTCTGCCGTAGCGCTCGTCCAGCTGCAGAAGCTCCTGGCACATCTGTGAGGCCAGTGCCTTCCGCGTTGTGAGCTGCTCTCGAGGGTGGCGACACGCTGGATTTCATTCACCACACGATGACCGTGTTTTTGGCCCTGTCCCTCTGACATCGAGCCAACGGTTCCTCCAAAGCAGCAGGGGCAGCAACAGGACGTAGCTGAGCCAAGTGGGAGTGGCACCTAGCAGCCTCCGTGGCGCTGCCGACGTTTTCGCGGGCAGATGAAGGACTCCAGCTCCTGAGCCGAAAGCCCTGCCAAGGCCTGCTGACGAGAGGGTTGGTGTCCTTGGAGACCTGGCGCGCGAACTGCATCCTTCCGTGGCTGCTCGAAGAGGGAGGCACCGGACCTGTCTTGCCACGCCGACCGCCATGACTGCCAGCTCCAAGGTGCTTAGAGGTGCCAAGGAGCTTGCAGAAGAAGTGTCGAGCGGGATTGCGGCGATGGCCACACGTTGAGCAGGCCCACCTCGTGCACGACAGAGGAGCGTCAACATCGGGACAAAACTGTTGAGGACCCGGTACAAGTGATGGACACAAACCCACGCCACGGAGCCGCCGTCGATAAGAAGCTTCCTGGGGGCTGGCTCCATGCGGCACGCCACGGCCGCCATGATGCCCCGCCTCCGCTCTTCCCACTTTGCCAGCCATGACCCCTCGCGAATCGTGGTCGACAACTACTCCACCAAAAACTCCACGATGAGGGAGTCCTCGACTGGAAAGTAAAAGAGAAAGGTGGAGGGCTGGGATTCCTCAAACTGAGGTCAGAAAGAAATTAATCTGCAGTGCGCCGTTCTGAAGATCTGCACTTGCAAGCGCAAGCACAACGCCCCCGTCAGAACGGCTAGAAGGAAGAGGAGGACGACGGCGAGGGCGAGGGCGAGGACGACGACGACGGATGACGATGACGAAGAAAGACGGCGACGCAGGACAACGACGATGACGAGAACGATGACGAACGACGACGGCGACGACGGCGACGACGACGACGACGCTGACGCCGACGCCGACGCAGCGGCCGCGCTGGGGATCGCTCCTCCACGACGGCGTTGCGCGAGTTGACCTTCGAGACGTCAACCTGCGGCTTCGAAGCCCAGTCGACCTCCGCAGGGGCGTGCCTCGCCGTCGTCGTCGTCGCCCGCCGTCGCTGCCGAGCGCACGGGTTCATCTTTTCTGTAGAAGGAGCGAGCGAGCGAGCACGATCCGTCCCCGCTCGGAGGGGAGGAAGAGAGAAAGGAGAGGAAGAGGAAGCGTGCGACCGCGGCTCGCCACGAACAGACGCCTACACACCGAATCTAAATAACGGCACCTCCAATGCCATCCGACGCTGGCTCGGAAATGACAGCAACGAAGGGGGAGCACGAGCATGCACGGCCTCATAATGGTGATGGCACAGACCTCTGCGTGGGGCACGGCCCAGGACAATCCGAGCGCGTCTGAGGGCCCCTGGTTGGAGGGAGAGAACCCCGTGAATCCAGCAGGCGGGCGCCCATAGCGTGCCCGCGCACAGGGGCGAGCATGGGGAATGGGGGGTGCCCCGTGGGCCTCTTTCAAGGGGCTCAAGGACACACAAATAAATACACACACGCACACAAATACCAGGATTCCACCATATTTTCCTATATTTTCTGGGGTTCTGTCTTCCCCTCCACTTCCCATATTTTCCCATATTTTCTGGGGAATCGACGATTAATTGTGTCTGTGTGTTTTTTCTCCTCCTGACTCTTGGGTTGCCCCATCGTCGCCACGGGCGCTGGATCCCCTTCGAAAACGGTGCCTGGGTGCGGCCCGCGACCGGTGCACCCCACTGGCAGAGTCGAGGCGCAGCAGGGGTTCGCCGACGCGCTCGGCTGCAGTGGGAGCGCTCTACCTGCGGCAAGACTGCTGCACGTACGGCTCAGCCTGGGGGGCCGACCATTTTGTAGTTCCGCAGCCGCAGCCATGCGATTGGCCTCGGAGGCCGATGCAAAGGGTCTCCAGCTGAAGGCATCTTACCGCTCGCTTGCTATCACGGAGCACCACATCCTAAAGCGATCCACCATTGCAAGATGCTTGACACCATGTTGCTCAAAAGGTCACCGTGGGACACTCGTGCACCCAGTCGGCAAGAAGGATACGAGACAGACAAGAATGCAGTCATGGGGCTAGCGTCGTGAGCAGCACCAGCAAGGGTCGCAGCCGAGGCGAGGATCGGCAGCAAGGGTCCACACGGTGGCTTGACGACTCGCAGCGCGGTGAGTCCAACTGGCCAGGGCCAACCTGTCCAGGTGCAACTCAGAGGAAGAACATGACCTGCTCCCACCCTTGCCCGAATCTGTTCCTCTCGACATTCATCCCAAAACTCTTCTGGAGTGCATCCGGACAGGCCCTTCGGTCTCGTCCCAGCCATGGCGGCGACGGCCTTCCACGAGAGCGAACGGAAACGCCAGAGAGGGTGCAAGTGGCAAAACAGGAAGACAGAGAAGAGCAAGCGGGCAGAAGCTATCTTGGCAACCGGCGTGGTAGCGGTGGCAGCGTCAGAGGCTCTCGGCAAAAAGAAAGAGCCCTCGACCTGTGAAACGCGGCAGGACGTCGACGACGTGTTGTCGGACCTTGCGGCGAGCAGCGACTCAGACTGCGAGATTGCCAATCCAGGACCTCCGACGTCGTGACTGTTTCACCACTTCGGCCTCGCAGCTTCCAACCTCCTCCTCGAGGCAAGCTTTCGACCCTGATATGCTCTTGATGGTCCCGAGTCTCGAAAACTGTCTCCAAAAGCCGAAGCCACACAAAAGAAACACGATTATTTCGCCATACGACGCTGGAGGTCTGGGCTTGGCGGTGTCAAGGGATTGGGCGCCCAGGGGGGCCGCCCGAGCGGGGCCAGAGAGGATATTGTCGGACGACCGCGCCGCGACGCCGACGCTTCGGCGACGTACGAATAGAGAAGATCGAACATGCCACGATACAAAACACATAGACTTATGATGTTCCCACCTACTTTAGCCTAGCCTTGATCACCAGAAGGAATTTCGAGCACCAGGAAAGTACCGACAATTGAAGGCTTTCCACGTGCCGGGCCCTGGGAGGCGACACTCGTTCGACACTGTCTCGACACTTCTCTGGGTGCTAGAAATTATTTCTGGGAAGTTGTCCCTGAGTACGATGGGGGCAACATAAACATCGATTAGCTTCCGGTGGTCCGCGCAGAGTTTGTGGGTCGGCGCAATGCGATCCTCCTCACACGCCGTCCTCTGCGCGCGCAGCGCGCGGAGGCGCCGCAGGCGCCGCCACAGGTGCGGGGGGAGGAGGGCGCAGCGCTGACCGAAGAGATCCGCGCGGAGCCCCTTGAGTTGGTGTTTGTGTAGTTGCTTGCTTCTCGCTGGATCGCGTCGCATCACCGATGCATCGGCGACACGGCGCGATCCCGTCTGTTCTGGCCCCGTGCGCGCGGCCTGAGGGGCTCAGACACCGCGCCCCGCCGAAAAGACTCGGAGCGACGGGGGTGGCAACCATCTCCGAGGAAGACCGTCCCTCGGCAGCCCCGAAGCGTGGCGGGGAAACTCCCCGACCCCACGAGCCGCAGCTCAGTCTCAGCTTCAGTGGCAGCCTCAGACGCAGCCAAAACCGCAGCCTCTGCCGCAACGACAGCCCCAGCCGCAGCCTCGGCCTCGGCTTCGGCCTCAGCGTCCACCTCAGCATGAGCATTGGGTGCAGCCTCGGCCCCCGGTTCGGCCCCAGAGTCGGCGGCAGTGGCCCCCAGAGGGCGCCCCGGGGACCCCCCCGTGGAGGCCCTGTGAGGCAAGGCGGCGGAGACCACTGGATCTTCTGGGCGGGCCGGTCCTCGACACCCCGACGGCGCGGCGTGGAAACTCCCCCACGCCAGCCGAATCGCCACCTTTGGGAGGCGACCTAATTTGGGAGGGCCAGTGACATTGGGGATCGTGGGCCTTTTCCGCAGATGTAGCGAACCAGACCGCCCAGATCTTGTATCCCGGATGCAAAACCAGGGACATCAATGAGGCTGCGCCTCCATCATGTTGCTAGGGTCAGAAAGAGTACGTTTGGAGGGTGAAAGTGGGGGTCGGGCGCAGTGTCCCAGCAAAGGTGTTATATGAACCCTGAATGGGCGATGCATCCTCGATTGCTGTGTTCGGCGGGGGTACCAATTGACGCTCCCCGCCTGCGCCCATGCGCGAAACTTGAGGGGCAACGAAGCAAGGGGGCGCGGGGCTCGGGAAAGGCGACGAAGGCAACGTGCGCCGAGGGCGCAAAACGAAAAGGTGTAAATAAACGAAAGCGGTGAGGTGAGTGTCAAAATCTGCCCAGCCAGTCTGACATGTGGAAAACTGCGCCTCAGTTTTGGGGATCTTGAAGGCTAGGGCACAATGTGAATTCACATTGTGGGGGAAAGCAACATGTGAATTCACATCGTGAGAAGATGGCAAATTTGAATTCACATGTTGAGAAAAAAGGGGCATGTGAATTCACATGTTGGCATTGTGTGTCGGAATATCCATGAAGGGGCCAGAATGTGAATTCACATTTTGGGAAAAAGGGAAATATGCATGCACATTTGGGGAAAAAGGAACATGTGAATCCACATTTTGGGAGAATCGCGGGACCCGTTCCAAATCTGCCTTGGGGGTCGAAAAGTCATCGTTTGGGAACATACGCGATCATCAATCGCACAATCAAGACACACTTGCACTCCACTTCGCCGCCCCACGCGCAATCTGCAAGAACGCCCGCAAGCATGAACGATAATGGATGGACGGCGCGTGTGCCCGCGCGGGCAACGCGCGGGCACGAACGGCTGGCCCTCCATGACCGCCAACATTGGAGTCCAATCGTACCCGATCCCATACATGAGCGATACATTGAGCATACATGGGCCATTCAGCCCCCATTGAAGACCCCCTGTTGCAGACCCCCTCTTTCACCCTCCAATGCGTTGGCATTGCTTGTTGTCCTTGAGTGGCCGGTGAGCTCCCCACGCCAGCTGCACCGCCAGGACTGTCCTGCCCTGGGCGCCTCGCCCTCAGAGAGGCCATGGGAGTCCGAAAACTTCCGGCCGCGCCTCTCTGGCCGTGGGAACCAGCAGCCCATAATGGGCCTCGAACTTCGTCCTTTCCTCTGCGTCTTCGCTCGTGACCCCGCCTCCGACCTAGACTCGGCCACGCTACACTCGCTACGCTTCTCGCCCTCAGGGTGTCGGGTGGCGGCCGCTTGATTCAGTCTCACCCCTGCGGTCGGAGGGGGTTTGTGTGCGGTGCGGGTGTCCTCGTGAGCCTCCTGGAGGCCCCTGACACCTCCTGGAGGACCTTGAGAGTCCTTGTAAGCTCCCTGGAGCCCCTGGTGGCGCACCGCACGTACTTCCTCGAATTTCCACAGAACCTCCTGGAGTCTGCTGGAAATCCTCCTGGAGTCCTCCCGATCTCCTCCATGGATGCCCGTGGAGGGTCGGGAGAAGCCTCGGGGAGCCCCACAAGGCCCATGGAGGCGTTCCGTGAACCACTGCTGGATGCACCCTCGGAAACCAACAGGCTGTCATCTGTCAATTTTCCCTTGGACACACAAATAATTACACACAAATCCGAGGATGCCCCATATTTGTCAATATTTTCTGGATTTTCGTTTTCCCCCCTTTGTCGATCTTTTCACATATCTTCCTGGGAATCGACGATGAATTGTGTCTGTGTGTGTTTTTCCCCTCCTGAATCTGGACCTCCTGGAGGCACTGGCGGCCCCGCGGAAGCCCACCGGACGCCTCCACGTGACCCTCACTGGAAGCTCCCGGGCGCTTCCTGCGGGTCAGCCCCCGGAGGCCCCCAAAAGTTGCCTTAGATCTGTGAGGCCCGTGAGGCACTGCGTCGTGCTCCGCGCTCCCCCTGCGCTCACGGGGACGGGCGCGATGGGGGCTCTGGGGCTGCCCGGCATGCGAAGTGCGCTGCAGAAGTCCGGCCTCCTCCGAGCACGTCGGGGAGAGCTTGCTGCAGGTCTGTGCGCCCTCGAAGCATAGGAGCTGCCGCTGCTGCACATGCAGCTGCCTGCTGCTGCCTGCTGCTGCCTGCTGCTGCTGCTGGTGCTTGTTGCTGTCTGCTGCTGCCTGCCGCTGCATGGACATGTCATCCGCTCAAAGGGGTCGGGAGGCGACACGCGCCGTGAGACGCCATAGATCTGCGCGAACGCGCAAGATCACTCGTGCCCCCCAGGCGTCACCGCGCTACAGGGCAGTTTTTGATACATAGGATGTTTATGACTTTTGGATGTTTAACATAATTAATGTATGAATAAATGTATGCACGAACTCATCGTTGTTTTTGATACTGAATCCCTGCATATTTGAATACATGATCCGCGCGCGGAGCATGTCTTAAAGACGGCGCTGTCATGAGGCCCGTCCCAAACCAAGCGACCTTTCAGGGACCACCGCCGCCCTGCTCGGGGCGGCCCCATGGATGCTCTCTGGAGGACCACAATGAAAACGTATCGTAAGGACGCGTGGTGTGGACGCAAGACCCTTGGAGGCCGACGTTGAAGTATTCTGGGCAGCAGGCGGCCAAACCCCCCGGGAACCTGAGAAACTGGCCTGCGAAAATTGCTGGGGACAGGCCGCAGAGGCTGAGGCAGGCAAGGACCCAAGAGCACCCTTGAAAAAGTCGTTTGTCCTTACTATGCGCGTTGACTGTATCAACGATCCCGAGGAGACGTGTGCTGGTCCTCAGACGCACTTGCGTATGTGGAGCGCGGTGCGCTGAGGGCCTTGAAGGGCTCCAAGGTTACCGCTGAGGAAGACGAGGCAGACTCAAGTTTGGACCTTCGACCCTCCATTAGGAGAACAACACGTGACGTAAACATAAAAACTCGGAGGTCCGCGCGGAATTCTCAGATCGGCGCTGGACCCCCCTCCCTGGCGCGCGGAGCGCGCCAGGGGCGGCGCCGGAGGCGCCGCCAGGGGGGTCCGGCGCGGATCCGAGAAATCCGCGCGGACCTCCGAGTTTGTATGTTTATGTCATTGTTCGTTCCCCTATCCATGGGCCATCGACCCAAGAGGATCGCCTGGAAGCCCCCAGGACATCCTGCGGAAGAAGCTCTGCCCTCCAAGACCCTGGACGACGAAGCCGCCCGGGAGACCCCGAGGGCGTCAAGGTCTGCCGTCCGTGCCAAGGGCGTGTCATGCAGGTTAGCGATCAAGAGATGCATGGGGGACTCAGCGCCGTGGGGGATGACTCATTAAAAGGGCTCCAGGCCTGCTCGTGGGCGTCGCCGTCGTTGGCGAGATCATTTCGATCGCCGTCTCCGAAAATGTCCGCAACGGCAGGAAGCCAATTGTCCGATCCTTGCCGGCCTGCTGTCTTTTCTTAGCCGGCATTCTGCATCAACGGGGCAGGCGTGACGTCGTGCAGCGCGGCGTCCCAGATCTGCCCGTCCCCCTTGCGGAGCACACGCTCGCGAGACACATCTCGTGGCCTTGCGAGCACGCGCGTGGGAAGCGGCCCCTCGGGTCCTGAAGGACAGCGGTGTCTCGGCCCCCCCCCCAACACAAAAAACGTCCGCGCGGCCCTCCCCGGGGGAAACCAGAGGCAAGCGATGTGCCACGACGTCCCGAGCCTCGCCCTACGGCATGTCCGCGTCTCGACGACGTCGGCACTGGCTTGTCGCAGCGCGTGGATCGCTCGACCTTGAAGAGGAGGAGGAGGAGGAGGAGGAGGAGGAGGAGGAGGAGGAGGAGGAGGAGGAGGAGGAGGAGAAGAGGGAGGAGGAGGAGGAGGAGGAGGAGGAGGAGGAGGAGGATGGGGGGAGGAGGAGGAGGAGGAGGAGGAGGAGGAGGAGGAGGAGGCGGAGGAGGAGGAGGAGGACGGGATCGCTCGAGGCTGGACGCTGCCGTGCGCATGGCGGCACTCCACCTGGGACGCCCGCACTGGGGTCGCCGCCGCGTGCAGCGCCGCGCGAACCTGACGCAGGGCCACCGAGAGGGGAAGATTGGGCCGCGATACATGGGGGGGGGGGGGAGGAGTGGGCGGGCGGCGAGGGCCGCAGAAAGGGGCCTTCTGGGGCCCCTAAAGGACCCCTTCAGGGCCCAGAATGACACTTTTTGAGGGCTCGGAGAGGGCACCTTCCTCCCCCCCCCCACCACTGATCACCCCCCCGGTTAACTCGCGCCCAAGAGGGGGACAGCGAGCCGCAACCGGGGCGGCCGGGCGCGCGAGGGCCGCCCATGGGCGCCTCTCTTCCCAGAGGCTCGCGGTGCACATCTCGCCCGCGATCTCCTGCATCAGGTCGGACCTCGGCGGCCGGAGGCCTCCTCCTCCTGCTCCTCCTCCTCCTCCTCCTCCTCCTCCTCCTCCTCCTCCTCCTCCTCCTCCTCCTCCTCCTCCTCCTCCCCCTCCCTCTCCTCCTCCTCCTCCTCCAAAGGAGGAGGCGAGGGGGAAGCGAGAGAAAATGATGGGGTCGCGGCCTGAAGTCCCGCGACGAGCCTGGCGCCCAGCCACCTGCGCAGCGGAGGCCTCGCTGTCCATCGCTTCGCACTCTGGGGAGGGGGGTGCGGGGAGGGGGAGGATTGAATGGCATCGCTTGTCTCGTCAAAGCGTGCTGCTCAAGCTCACAGCATTTCTGGCTCCAGCTTCTTCGTGTAAGTGAGCATACTTACATTCACAGTTGCGTCTTGATTCTCACTCGCTCTCTCGGTTGTGTGGGGGGGGGGGAAGATTTTGTTACATCCATTGTCACATACTCCAGATTTCGTAATAAAAGGGAGGGGGTCTGGACCCTCAAAGACAAGCCATTTCAGACCTCCCCCGTGGGAGAACCCTCCAAAACATCGTCCCCAGACCCCCCAGGCCCTCCAAGATAGCCTCGAAGAGACCCCCCCCGAAATGAGAACCCCCTCCCTTTATTACGAAATCTGGAGTACCCCTTGTAGATGCCCCCCCCGAAAAAAAATCAACTGAGACACCGTCCCTCTTGGGGTGGAGACCTTTGCCCAACGTTTTCCGATTCATGCTCTTGTGCGGGTGAGCGGGAGGCTTGCGCTGTGCACCCAGCGTCGCGAGCCGCGCGCCAGAGGTGGGGGAGCCCCACGGCGCCGCCAGATGCGCGCACGCGACCCGCCACGGCAGCCCAGCACAGGGACGCTGCCCCCCAGATCCCGCAAGTCCCGCGGCCAGACACGGAAAGAGCCTGGTAAGCCTACCTGAGGGATGAAAAAACGACCCTACCCTGGGTTGTTACAAGTGCGTGGTCTGTAAACCTCCTGGGACCCCCCAAAGCCTAGAGCCGTCAGGAAGCGGCACATCACGCAGGGCTTGCCCTGTGAGCCCACAGAAGTTTCAGCGCACAGCGCCTCGTAAACCAGGGTAAGGGCGGTTTTTTATGCCCTTGACCTATCCCTATAGGTGGACTGGCAGGCGAGCGGAAGCCTCGCAGGCACCGAGGAAGTGGCCAGAATGCGAGGCGGCCTGCCAAGCAGCGTCCGCTCGTGGGGCGTTGGTGGCGGGCTCCGTCCAAGCAGGTGCGCGGCCAGAGAGGCAGAGTCTTGGCCAAGAGCTTGACGAGGGCCCTCGACACAGAAACAGAGTGATCAACGCGTCGGCACTCGGCCTCCGACGCGTCTGGGTGAAGGCTCGCTCCGAGCTTGGCCACCCTATCCGCCCAGTCGTTTCTTCTGCGCAGATCTGACTCATCGGCATCCAAACAACGTCCAACTCCAGATGGGCAAGAACTTTGTCCACCCCGAAACGACACCGTCGGACAAGGCGTCAGCCTGCAGGAGTAATCCCGCATACATTCTCTGGTTAGAATAACGCTCAGGCATGGGCAAGGACCAAGGCTTCACAACACTATCGTAACCAAACTTAAACCAGAAACTCAGAGCAGACAAATACGCGACCGTGAATGCAAGGGGCCCAAACTCAGCTCCCTGGCTGGTCAGGGGTAGCTGGAATGCAAGGGCTCACACAAACGTGGTTGCAACTGGCCGTCGTCAGAAATCTTGGCTGTCCCCCAATCAGCCCTACAGATCTGTTTGGTGGTGACCCCCTACAAGAGCCATCCAAGGACATGTCCCTCGCCAGAACGCGTTCCGAGTCCGAGTGCACGGCGAAGCCTTCAGATGTCCCGGTCCTGGGAAGGCTCGGCCTCCCTGTAAACACTTTAAACACGTATGCCGGAAACGCCTCGTCCAGACCGAAGGCTCTGGGCCACCAGCCACCAGCCTGAGGGAACAAACCAATCTCGAGCTGCAACGCTTCCATCGCCGATAACTCATCCCATCTGGCATGCTCGCGTTCAAAAATCGTCACAAACCCTTCTCTATCCGATCCACCGGCTGTGCACATCCATAATCGATGATGCATCGTATCTCCTGGTTGACCACACAAAGGACACATGCCATCCACTTGGCAATCTGCCGCAGCTGCACCAGAGAGGGGCCGAACCCCACGACAAGGAACAGTACGAACGCAACCTTGGTCCAGGGCAGAATACTTCTTGGGCGCCAAACTCGCCACCACGATATTCAAACAAAACCTGGATCCCAAAACATACTTGTCCCCCGCCTCGCTCCAAGATCCTGCAAGCAGAGGCTCTAACAACCGTCGTGAAGAAGAATTGTGTCACGTGAGGCGTGAAACGGAATAATTGGCGAAAGGCGGCCGTCAACTCGCACCCGACCGTGCGCCGAGTATTCACATGAGCGGTGAAACATACAGGTTGACGAAAACAGCGAAGCGGCAGGAGATGGAGGAAGAGGAGGAGGAGAGGAAACAACAACCAGACATGGGCGCGCGGCGACATCAGAGGTAGACTTTACGTGTCCAGACTTCCCTGCTGTGTGCTGTTGTTGTTGTTGTTGTTGTTGTTGTTGTTGTTGTTGTTATGGTTGTTGCTGTTGTTGTTGTTGCTGTTGTTGTTGTTGCTGTTGTTGTCCTCGTCTGCCTTTCGTCTGTTGTGTTCTTTGTTTGGCTTGCTCCTACCCGCGAGGGTCTATGGTGCGAATGTCACCTGCAATGCCTGGTCGGTGTACGCACGCGGGGGCTCCTCTTCACGCGCCCGTGTGGGACAATCCTGCGATCCGCCTCCAGCGAAGTCCGAGGTGACGTTCGCAGGCGCAGCCGTCTTGTCGAGGGAGGGGGGGGGTGAGGGCAAACGGGTAAAGGAACCCAACGTCGCCCCTAACCCCGGACGGGTGTTTGCGTTGCCCGGCCCACGCGAGCCAGCGACAGGCGCATGGCTCCCGAGGGGCCCTCGATGGACCTCCAGCTGCGGCAGGGACCCTCGAAGGCCTTCTGGAAAGAGTCCCTATAGATAAGGCCCGAGACGCGCGCTTGAGCCCGCACCTCGCGCGCACAGCGCCGTTGGAGAGCAGCAGTGCCACACCAGGTCGGGCCACCCTCGAGTCTTCGGGGTGAGCAGAGAGATACAAAAACAGAGAGAAAGAGAGAGAGCGTTCGATCGCGGACAGCTTCCAAGTGGTGCCTGCCAGCCGCTTGACTCTGAGCAGCGCGCACTCCGACATGCCACTGGCCTCGCAGCCGTGCCGCAAATTGTGATGAACGACCGCCACGCATATCTTCTTGGTCCAGCTTCTCACAATGGCTTTGTGCCTGTTGAGACCAGCGGTGCGACTCGAGGACTTGGCCGCTCTAGCTTTGGCCTTCCTGTTCCTACCTCGCTCCCCCTGAGCATTCCCCCCCGCGCCGTCAACCCCCAAAGTCGCCCACAGAGTCCTTCCACGGGCGCACAGGGGGCCCAAACTGGTCTGGCAACCTACAGGCCGCCGCCCGAATCGACGAAGCCATTGCAGCTTGGTCGGGCGGGGGGCGGGGGTGCAGACAAGAGCGTGCCCGCGGGCTCTGCGGTAAAGACGCCGTTGGCGCCGCGCGCCAGAAGACGAGCCACGCGTCGTGGGACGCACGGGGAACCGCGCCGTCGGCGAGCGATGGTGCACGTAGATCTCAAGAGATCAAGACCGCCACCCCCGTCGCAAAGCCGATGCCGAGTGTCGATGTGTTCCCATGTAGGCCGAAGCCGCAGGCCGACGGCATCGCAAGACCGAGGCCGAAGACGAATGCCGAGGCCGAAGACCGACGTGCATCGCAAGACGCAGCAGCAAAACCCAAGACGAGCACCGACGCCGTGGGGCACAGGCCGAAGCCGACAGCCACGCCTGACCCATCGAACAACCCACCCCAATAACCGACGTATATGCAAGACTGTTGAAAAGGAAACGACGCTTTCAAGTGCATAGCGTAAGTTGAGAATCTGGAGCCACAACTTAACCAAAACAGAATTCAAAACAATAAGTTGGCACCAAAAACCCTGACACCAAAACGAAAGCGGATTTCCGTTTTGGTCGCCCTCCCTGCCCCCTCAGGGGCCATTCCCACAGACGACCCCCTTCTCTGACCTCCGAACAAAGCCAAATCCAACACCACCCCTCCTTACCCTGCTCCTCCTCCTCCTCCTCCTCCTCCTCCTCCTCTTCCTCCTCCTCCTCCTCCTCCCCCTCCTCCTCCGCCCCCTCCCCCCGTCCTCCTCATCCTCCCCCTCCTTCCCGTTCCCCTCCTCCTCCCCCGCCTCTCCCTCGCGTCTCCTCGCTCACCCTCCTGCTCCTTGTCAGGGCCACCTCGGGGATCTTCTGACCCGGGTCAATCCAGACCCCGGTCAATCAGGCCTGCAAAATCCTGCAAGATCCTGCACCCAAACCCGGGTCAATGCGAAGGATCCTGCAGGATCCTGCAGGATCCTGCACCCAAGCCTGGGTCAATGCGACCCTGACGCTGCAGGATCCTGCAAGATCCGGCGCTCTGGCTGACACCCGTCTGCACTGACCCCCGTCTCGAGGCTCCCGACCACCCCCCCTGACAAGGGCCCCGGCATGCCAGGGCCGTCGCTCGCGGCGCACAGGAGCTCCCCACGGACCCGCCTGTAGTCCTCCTGCACCTGCGGGCCCGCCGCTCTGGCGCAGTGGAGCAGATGGAGGAGGAGGAGGAGGAGGAGGAGGAGGAGGAGGAGCAGAAGGAGGAGGAGGAGGAGGAGGAGGACAAATGCAAGCCAAAGACCCATCAACGAGATTGCACGATATGAAGAGTTCTGCCTTCAGAGGCGCCTGCAAGGATTCATTTTCACTGCGGGAAATTCCCCGTTGGAAGACAGCCGTTTGAAAATCCGGATCTGTGCCAAAACACCATTCCTGGGACTTCATCCTGCGAACCACCGTTGCCCGTGCGCCTTGACGATCCTGACTCGTGGCAGAACGCCACTCTTGGAACTTCAACACCGAGAATCGACGTGATTGTTGCGCCCAAACATCCTGACATTCTGCCAACAAACAGTTTCTGGGACGTTAGCCATGATGACCCATGAAACGGCTGCAGACTTTTAAGACGAGAGCTCGCGGCGCTAAGGCGAGAGCAACACTGTGAAAGGCAACCGCATTCCATCTGTGAAGCTCTTGCAATGTTGAACGAGTGTACGCGGCACTAAAGCGAGAACCACATTTTGAAAACGGGCCGCCCTCCAGCCGTGAAACTCGGGCCGCCCTCCAGCCGTAAAACTCTTGCAACTTTGTAACACGAATGTGCGCGGCGCCGCGGCGCTAGGGCGAGAACCATATTTTGAAAAACGGCCGCCCTCCATCCGGAAACTTATGCAGCGGCGATGAGGCGAAAAAAACAAATGTTGAAACCGGACCGCCCGTCATCTGTGAAACGGTTGCAAATGTTGAAAACGAATGTGCGCAAGGCTAAAACGAAAACGACATTTTGAAAACGGACCGCCCTCCATCCGTGATTATGTTGCAATGTTCAAGCGTCAGGATCATAAGTGGTGAAGAAATCTCAAGCAAAACGCCCAGCCCGCCTTTCAACCGGCCTCGGGGTGCGACAGGGAGGATTTACTCATAAGGAAGAGCGATGGAGGAGGAGGAGGAGGAGGAGGAGGAGGAGGAGGAGGAGGAGAAGGATATCCGAGGGTCGAAGATCCAAAGTCCGAGCAGTTCTCGACACTTCTCGAGCTTCTGGTCGGCGACTCCCAAGGGTGTGGTTTGCCAAGTGTGTGGTTTGCAGCCGGCACCCTGGGAAACATCCTGGGGGGCACCCTAGGGGGCGCGCCGTGGCCTCGATAGAGTTCTCCCGCGCCCCGAGGAGGCCCGACGAGGACGGCGTCGTGCCCCCCGGGCCCCAACGGCGCCGATCGCAGACCACACCCCGGCGCAACCGCACCCCTCGTGGTCGCCGATCTGGAGGCCTCCGGACGACTCCCGGGATCTCCCCAGGAGAGCCGGTGGGGCCTTCAGAGGCTCGAGGGCGCTGCGGCACTGCTGCCTCGCGCGAGCGCAGGAGAGCACGAGGTCACGGCACCCTGCGCGGAGGCCTTCGCAGGCCTCCAGCGTAAGGTCGGGCGTGTCCTCCTACAGGCGGATGTTGGAAGGAAAACTGGAAATGGTTAACACAGGATCAAGCCATAATATCCACCAAATCGTCACCATACTATTGTTGGACTATTCGTGAATATTCCGCCTGTAGAGGCACAGGCCCGACTCAACACCAACGTGGCACACCGCGCGGGAGCAAGGGCGCTTACGCGCGACCTTACGTGGGCATCCCATCGCGAATGTCCCTGCAGCCGGTCCCGTTCTTCTACGTCGCTCGATTTGCTGCCACGGGTCGGGAAATTACGGACGCAAACATGGTCGTGTGCAAGACACTAGCCAGCGCATGCTCACAACTACGAAGAAAGTCCTGCCTGGTTGACATAATATAATACTGCAGCAGGTAACGGGCGAGAGCAATCGGGGAGGTCTGACGAAGGAGCATTTCAACACATTGTCAATGAAAAGAGATCCTTGTCGAGAAGCGACTGGTACTGCACGACCATATCCTGATGAGCGTCACATAGATGTCAAAACCGTCGCTGCTGCTTTGGGCGCAATCGCCGGCCATGATACCGACATCATCCTCATCCTACCTGCCTTGGACCACTTTATTATCATCCCTCATCCCTCCTCATCTCGCATTCTTCTCTTCTCTGGTAGATTCCCCTCTGACGCTGCGAGAGGCACCACTGAAACAAACCGTCGCCAGCCGTGAGAGGGCAGCATCGACGCCACCGAGAACTGACTGACTGACATGTGGACATATATACAACATGTGTGCCACGCACGGGCGTGAACAGGCATCGGTGTTGGCTGCTTCTATCAAGCTCCGGGGGGGTGACCTGACCAGCTGCCTCGAAAGATGACTCAGAAAGGCGATGGGAGAGCGGAGCAGGAGGAGGGAGGAGGCTGAAAACAACAGGCGCATCCTGCAGACCCACCACCTCCTCCCGCAGGTCCGACACCTCCAAGTCGTGCATGGCCGAGAGCGCCTGGGCTTTGCGCCGAAGGGGCAAGAGGGATGGAGGAAGGGCAAGAGGGAAGGGGGAGGGGACGAGATCCGAGGCTGTGGGACCGAGCTTCGAGTTTCAAACATACGTCGCACCTGCTCTGGCACTCCTGGGCGCCCTCGTGGCCGTGGCTAGATCCGCATCGAAGCTCTGATCAGAGCGCGCCCCTGGACAGACGGGGCCACATTTCTGAGGGCGATCCCCGACCTCCAACGTCTTGGCCCTGCGCAGAAAAGGGAGGCGGAGGTTGTTCGCCACTTCTGGCCTCCGGACTCCGAAGCCCGTGCTCGGCTCCCGGCACCGTCACGCACCGCCCAGCTTTACCAACAAAAAGGTCCCAGGGAAGAGGCCGACGGGTCCCGGGGGCACGCACCGAAGAAACGGACGGATGGCCACGCCACGAACAAGAATCAATCGGACGTCTGGGGACCGTTAGTTCTGTTTTTCTGGTGGGCTTTCGGTTACCCCGATTAGCCACTCGCTGGAGCAAGCTGCCTCTGTCTCGCCGCCGACGGAAGAAGCTGTTTCTGGTGGGGTCACGCGTCTTACCCACATGGAGGGGGGGTCGGCGGGGGGGACAACGGCAACGGCGGTTGCGTTGTGCACGCCTCAGGGCACGTCTGTAGAACTGGCAAACCCGAGACCTGCGACCACAGCTACGTGCATAGCAACATCCAGCTTTGGGCGTCGCGGCCCTGCGCGCAGGGGCAGGGCGGAGAAAGTCTGGAACAGCAGTCACGCGCGTGCGCGTGACTGCCAACACGGACACAAGCACACACGGCGGTCCAAACTAGGCCCAAGGCGTCTCCTCAGACGATGGGGGCGGGGAGTGGGCCGCCACACAGAGTGCTTCGCTGGCACGGTACCAGATTCGCCGCAGGCACCCGGGCGAACACACACGTTCGGAGGTCCGCGCACCCATCGGCCGGAAGAAGCAGGCAGAGACATGGAGTAGGAAGGCGTTGAAAGCAGATTGGGTGTCCGCCCGCCCCCTGGAGAGGAGGGAAGAGGAGAAGCCTCTCGAACCTTGGAAGTAGGAAGGCGCCAGAAGAAGCAGGCAGAGACATGGAGTAGGAAGGCGTTGAAAGCAGATTGGGTGTCCGCCCGCCCCCTGGAGAGGAGGGAAGAGGAGAAGCCTCTCGAACCTTGGAAGTAGGAAGGCGCCGACAGTTGGAAGAGGGGAAGCCACTCGAGCCTATGGGAATCCCTAAAGACCTACTTTCAACGACCGACTGGTGGACGGGTTTCCCCGGGGCCGTAGGCGGCCTGAGGAGGGGAGGGCGAGGAGGGGGAGGAGGAGGAGGACGAGGAGGAGGAGGAGGAGGAGGAGGAGGGGGAGGAAGAGGAGGAGGACGGGTCGCCTAAGCCCTTCGGAGAAGCCCTCCACCGACTGGCTAATGTCTCTGGCCAGCGCAAGACCCGCCCAACTCGGCGCGCTCCCCCCCGTGACGCCGACCACCGCACCTTCCAATGCGGTTGCGATCGCCCAGTGTTGCGGCCAGCGCCCATGGACCGACTCTGGGAACCCTGGGCCCAACAACATCGACACCTCACAAATGCGGGATGACGATTAATAAAAAAAATGGGAGAGAACGATTAAAAACATGATTATCAGCTATTTCTGCAATTTTCTGACTGAAGGAGAACGATTAAAAACATAGTTTTCCAGCCCACGGCCGGTTTTTTCTAATCGTCATCCCGGGCGCCGCCGCGTGAACACGACCCCCGGTCATTTATTAACCGTCATCCTCCATTACAGGGAAGGCCAGTCCACAAGAAGCCTTCCGCAGGAAACCCAACCCTGAGACCCCAGGACGTCCATGCATTGTTGGCGCGGGAGCGTCGCGCTTCCCACGGCAGAAGCATCGAAACCCGAGGCACGCAGGGCACCCTGGAGGCGAGCAGGGTGTTTCTTGGCAGGGGGTCCCCACTGTATTGTTTCCGCCACCCTCCGGCCACCTTCCGCCCACCTGCCGCCGGCAGACCCGACACCAAAATCTGCGTTCCACCGGGTGCCGCAACAGCCCTCCGCCGAAGGCGAGGTGCGCCAGAGGCGAGGCCCCTTTGCTGGAGCGCTCCAATCTGTTTTGCGCTCGACGCTGGGCTGCATCTTCAGGGGAAGGACAAGATGAGAGCGGACAGCGACCACCCAGAAGACGTTTTTTTGTTGAGAAGAGGGAGGAAGAGGCGAAAGGGAGACCGCGCACACGCCTGATCTTTATCCACTTCGTGCCGGGGAGTCGGCAAGCAGTCCTGCCGCAGGACCGTCATCGTCCTTTCCTCCCGAGTGAGACTTGCAAGAGACCAGAACGCGACTGATACGAATTGCCCTCAAAACGCATCGGCGGTGACCACCCAGAAGCCGCGCCGAAGATCAGCAGACAGCCTGCCAGCCTCTGCGCCACCCACCCGCGGGGGCGGCCCGCCTTGAGCTTGTCGTGGAAGCCCGCACCGCCGTGCGCGGAGGCGTCCTTCGAGTGCGCCCTGCCGCCTCCGGGGAGAGGAGGAAAAGGAGGAGGAAAAGGAGGAGGAGAGGAGGAGGAGGAGGAGGAGGAGGAGGAAAGGAGGAGGAGGAGGAGGAAAGGAGGGGGAAGAGGATGTCTGGATGAACAGCGCGAGTGGCGGACCGCGCATGCCAAGCGTTATTCTGCCGCCGTGTGTGAGTTGCTTGCCTCTGCCTTCGCGCGTCGGATCGGGGATCGGCACCCAGAGCTGGCGGAAGTGTGAAGTGAAGGCCCTCTTCTCTTTGCCCCCCCTCGCAGATCTTGCCTTCCGAGTCCCTGCCGACCCAGACGTGTCCAGGGATGTAGGCTCGGACTTCGCTGGCCACCACCTCTTGCCTGTGCCTGCAGGGGCGCAGGCCCTCGACCCCCCGCGCCAGACTGCCCGCCCCACCCTGGTTTCCTCCTTGTGCATTGAATTATCGAGTTTCTCTCTGGACTGGACTGCGTTTGTGTCGATCGTCCTTCGGTAGCGAGTGACCGAGGAGGATGAGGAGCAAAAGGAGAGATGAGGAGGGAGAAAAACGAGAAAAGGATGAGAAAAGGAGAAACGGCGAGAGGAGGAGGAAGAGGAGGAGGAAGAGGAGGAGGAAGAGGATGACGAGGGGGGGCGGAGGCCGAGCGTGACCAATGGGAGGAGCAGGAGGAGGAGGAGGAGGAGCGTGCCCAGAGGAGTCCACGTCAGCTAACCTCAACTCCTGCTACTATTGCTGCTACTGCTGCTGGGGCAACTGTAATCCCCATCTGCAAATAAGGAAGGCCATGCAGCATTGCGAAAGGAGGAACATGATGATGATGATGATGATGATGATGATGATGAGGAGGAGGAGGAGGAGGAGGAGGAGGAGGAGGAGGAGCAACGGGCACATGAAGGAGACGCGCCGAGTTGGGATTCAGGAGAGAGCCGACTGGATGGAAAAGGAGAGACTGCACAATCTCTCACAGACAAAATAGAGAACATGCTCGACGAGCGAAAACATATCCTCTCTCTCACACACACGTCAAGCAGAGAAGGAAAACGAGTGCGGCAGCCCAGGACAGACCTGGGGGTGGCATTATGGATTGGGGGCGAACAAAACACAAGCCCCCCAGCAAAAAACAAATGAATCGACAGAATAGTGTGGAGTGAGACCCAGCACTTGGACGGCAGGGTCTGAAACGAGCATTCGCCTCGGCTGAGGAATAGGGTGCCTCTTGCCAGCTCTGGGATGGCGTCCTGAAGCGAAGTTGTCTCGGCGCCACCTGCGCTGGGGATTGCCCTCAAGGGCCATGGCACCTTCGCACTCGATGTGCAGCTGCGATCTGCGCGACCGCTCCGAAAAAAAGGAGCCACACTTCATGCACCCAATAATACCTCCAGCTCGATACGATACGTAGCCTCTGGCAGCCGAAGGAGGAGTGGTCCCGTCAGCTGGGAACACACTGCTGGGACGGGCGGCCCTGGCCCGAGGGGTGGCCGCCGCCAACCTGGGGCGCTTCTCCGGGCCAGGGACGGGTTCCAGAGCACACGGCAGGCTCCCGCACACGAGTCTGGCGGCGCGGCTCGAATTCCACGAAGGGCTCGAACTCTGCGGTCGGGCCTGGTGAACGGCTCCGCTCCCTCGCCCTCAGGACTCTCGTCCCTCCCCCGGACCAAGCCCACGGAGGAGGAGGAGGCGAGGGGAGCGGGTCCGACGGAGGAGGATCGGGGGGCGAGGGAGAGGAAAACACCTCGCCGCGACGCACCTTCCTCTCAGGACCCTCTCCAGCCTGAACGTCGCCCGGAGTGGCCTCCAGGCTCCTCTTGGGACCTCGAACTTCCTGCGGGGGCGCCTCGGCGGGGCCAGCACGGGTGGCTCGGGGCTCGGGGACCTGAGGCTCGGGAGGGGCCCAAACAAAACAGACCTCCTTAGCCGTGCGCTTGCGTCCAGGTGTGGTCCGCGCGAAGCGCTGAAGGACTCATGTCTTTGCTAACTGCCACATGTCGCCAAGGTCTCATGTCTTTGCTAACTGCCACATGGCGCCAAGATCCCCCCTGTTCCCAGGAGCTTGAGCGGTGCCGTCCAGTACCCACATGGCTTACGCTCAGCTGGCTGTCCTTCAGGTGCCTGGTCCTTCTGACGACTCCATTCTTCAAACCGAACATTGACGAAACCACGTCTCGCTAGGGTCCTCACCCAGTCAGGGGGGTCATGTGTGAGATCCAATGATATGCCCGTGCATGTGGTCCATGCGGTAGCTGAAAGAGCCCCCCCGTTGGGCCGCTGCAAAGCCATCAGGACCGCCTCAGCGGGGCCAGCAACATCGGCATGTTTGGGAGAAGGTCTCAGTCGTTGACGCTGCTGCTGGAAGCCCTGCTCCAAGACTTATTTGGGAACTGTTTCTTCCATGGCCAACCATGCTCATGTGTAGGGCGGCCCCGCCGTGGCCAGTAGTTCGGGATGCTCGTTATGTCGAGGCTCGAGCCGAGAGGCCAACCAGGTAGAGGTACCTGGTGGAGTCTTCTGCCATCCAACTAGGACCATGTTAACCATTGTCTTGGGCCGCGTCTTCGTCGCACCCGCGATCTGCACGCCGCAATGCATGGCAGGCCCAATTGCTGGCTGAGCCACAGCACGACCACGCGCAATCGACAAAAGCGGGGAAGGCGACGCCTCATCTTAGCAACACGCTTACGCATTGGCGCATAACGTAGGGCTCGACCTCCCCTGGTCTCCATTCCCAGCACCTCGAGGGTCTTGTATGGTCGAAAGCCATGCTCTTTGACCTGGCGGGCCACCTGCTGCGCAATGTTGTAGCCCGTCGCCAGAACTTTGGCCTTGTCCTTCACGATCGGTAGGTCGATGGCCTTGAGGACACCTGCCAGACGTTGTAGGATGCACACTGGTTGGCATGCGGTGTCCTGCCTCGTGGCAACCACCAGTATCGTGATATCGCCGGCATATCTAAGAAGTAATGCGCACCGGCCTGATGTCCGAAAGACTTATCGCAGACATCGAAGGGCAAGACCATCACCAACTGCAAGAGAGACATGGCCACCGAACAGCCTGGCAGCGGTCATCTGCTGGCACGACAGGCGTACGAGTATGTAGAAAGCTATTAGATCCTCGTGGGCGCGTCGTACATAGCCAGACATAAATGCATAATCTGAATGGGGAAAGCAAAGTGCTCCGCGGCCTGCAAGATCCGACTCCAACAAATTCTGTCGCAACACTTGCTACTGTCAACCAGCGTGGTGGTGACGGCCTTCGAGGCATGCTGAGACAAGGCTTCATCGTCGATCATGATGCGCGCGCACACGTCCAAAGTGCATTTCTGAGGTCCGAGCGCAAAGTAAGGTTGAGTATTCAATGCCACCCATTCCTTAATCTGCCCACCCCGCATCTTGGTGCAAATGCGGTAGATGACTGGCAGCAACGCAATCGGTCTGAAACCTCCCAGGTTTGGCAAGCAGCACGATGTGCAAGTTAAGAATCAGTAGGCCATCTCATCCACGACTCCGCCGCTTAGTACATGTAGACCGGCATGGCAATCGCAGCATCAGAAACCAAAGAGAGGGCCCGCGGCGGCATGGCATCCGCTCCTGGCCCAGTGCGCCACCTGCATGCGCGAGCGGCACGTCGCACATGTTCGACTGTAGGGACTCGTAAAACTGCAGGTGGCAACCGACGAAGAGCCTCCGCTAACTTGTCCTCATCTTCATCCGCAGCTGCTACAGGCGCGGTGCCATCCTCGATGCGGGCCCCCTCCCATATGTTGATCAAACCTGTGGGTTGGAGGTGACCTTCTTGTCCTGCTTAACTTGAGCATGGGCGCAGCGCTGAATCCTGGTAATGGAGTGCATGTGAGCCGGCCCGGTGACCATGGCATCCCTTGCCCAAGCCTTGAACTTAGCCATCCGCTGGTGTGCTGCTTGTCGTTCCACGGTGTCAACATAATTCAGCATGGCCTCCGCAAGCACTCGCAAACACACAATGCGAATCAGTGGTGCAACTGACGACAAGCAAGGCGAAGTACATCCCACGCTCTGTTGATGAACATCCTCCCATTGTCGGCACGGCCGTCCTGCATTTATCCTGGACGAAGCAGCTTTGCAAAATGAGCCCACCATTGCTTCCTGCGCGTCGTGCGCCTCGTGCTTGTCGTAGGCATTGCCCTTGCCTGTGGCGTTTTGAGGAACTGGGAAGTGAAGCTTGGTGGTGCATGTGACAGAAGCCGGCGCAGGCGTAGCCGCGTGCGCGTCGGCGACCCAAACTTGCTGAGGTGACTGCTTGCCAGCAATGCGCCTCCTTTTAGAACTAAGCCCTGTCTCCAATGAAGATGTCGTTGATGTGGTGTTGACCGATGGTGCAGATGCTGGCGCCGAAATACCTCTGGCATCTGCTGAGGACGAGGACGTCTCAATCGTCGACGTGCTAGGTTGGGCCAAGCAACGAGGGTGATGGCCTCTCTCAACGCCATCAACGGCCGTGGTGGGAGGTGACCATACGTCCATGGCCTTCTGAAAATCTGCGACCATGTCTAGAGGCGCTTGGCCCACAGCGCGAAGATATCTCTGCTCGCTGCCTGCCGTCGGGTGCGGACCTGTCTTGGGTCCTCTGGTTGGGCACCGCGCGTAGGATGAGCCATCGGCCCGACCTCTGTAAGCCTCGGGATCTTTCGCTTGGTTGATGCCAACCAGCTCGTCCTCAAGGTGCTTGATGAGGTGGCGATATATAGAGCACCCATTCGACCTGGGCCTCCTGTGGGGATGCAGGGGGACCGCGACACGCGTCAGCCTCGACATGGCCCAAGTATGGGGGGATCGTCGATGGGGCCCGCCAACGGATGACATCCTCCGCGAGCAGGTGAGCCCTTGGGGAAAGCACGCGGGGCTGTGATAGCCAAAGCCTGGGGCACCTTAGGCTTCGCTGCCAGGCGCGAAACCATGGGCTTGCGAGGCCGCGCTGGCCACTTCTGAACCGACGAAGGAGCCTTGCATGCTTTGTCCAAGCCAACGGATGCGACGAAG